GCGGTGATGGTTTTCTTGCAAGGATAAAGAATTGCCCCCTTCATTAGGCCATGGTCAACCACAACCATGATGGAATTGAAGCCATGCAATGGGGGAAGGTCAGTGATGAGGTTGACTGAGACCTGCTCAAAGGGGTGGGTAGCAACAGAGGGGATGGGCATGAGAGGGGGTGTGACTGGGTGAGTGTTGGCCTTCATTTGCTGACAGATAGCACAGCCGGTGACGTAGTTACAAATGTAGATGCCCATGCCAGGCCACCAGTAGGATTTCTTGATGTTCCATTCTGTGATAGTGTGACCAGGGTGACCCGCTGTAAGATGGTTGTGATGGAGAGTGAGGACTTTTTGTCGAAGATCTGTGGGGATGTAGGCACGATCTTTGTAAAATAACACACCATCAGTGAATGCCCAATCAGAGAGGGTGGACTTGATAGGTGGAGCACAGATGCCACTAAGGGCCTGTAGGGCGGTCTGGATGGTAGAATCTGGCACATCCTTCGTGAGGGTTTTAAACTGGTGCATGAGTACGCTGTTGACAAGACATACAAAGATGGAGTTGGGGAGGAGTGTGACATTGGTGTTGTCAGGATCACCAACAACATGGTCTTGTCATCAGGAAAGAGCGTCCAGGGCAGTGAGTTTCGCACCAGGGACATGGTGGAAGGCAAGATTGAACTCTCCAAGTGTAAGTTGCCACTGGGCTTGACAGTGCATCAGTTGTTGTGCAGAGCGGAAATAGAAAAGGTTTTTGTGGTCAGTAAAGATGACAACTGGGTGGGGATTTCCTTCAAGGAAATGATGCCAACTTTTGAGTGTGCAGATGACGGCTAATAATTTGCGGTCATAGATCTGATAATTACACTCAGTGGCATTGAATGATTGGGAAAGGTACCTGCAAGGGTGATAGGCACTGTTCTCATTGGTTTGCAGCAGGACTGCTCCAGTGGCAAATAGGGATGTGTCAGTGGCGAGGGCAAATTGTCTGGTTGCATCAGGGTTTTGCAGTACTTGTTCAGTGAGGAAACTCTGTTTGAGCTTGTCAAAGGCCTTGTCACATAGCTCTGTCCATAAGAAGGGTTGGTCCTTTTTTGTGAGATCAATCATGGGGCATGCAATGTCTGAGTAGTGAGTGATGAAGTGTCTGTAGAAGTTGCAGAAGCTGAGGAATGAGCATACTTCCTTAACGGTGGTTGGTGTCTGCCACTTGCTGATGCCCTCGAGCTTGGCTGTATCCATCGTGACTTTTCCTGGGCAGATAATCATGCTGAGGTATTCAACTTCTTGGGCGTCAAAGGTACATTTCTTGGGCTTGAGGAAGAATGTCTCAGTATGCAACTTTTGGAGTATAATCTTTGTTTGTTCCTGGTTTTCTTCTAATGTTTTCGAGAAAATAAGGATGTTATCCATGTAGACAATAAGCCATCTGGCTTCAATCTCCTTTTTGAACATCTCGTTCATGTATGCTTGGAATGTTGCAGGCGAATTGCACAATCCAAAAAACATGACTTTTGGTTCGAACAGACCAAACAACATGGAGAACACTGCTTTCCATCTATCATCAGGGTGGATTAGGATATTGTTGTATCCAGATCTAATATCCATCTTCATGAAGTATTTGGCATCTTTGAGTTTCACGATAAGAGGGGGAATTAATGGGAGTGGGTAGGTGTTCTTCACTGTCCATTCATTGAGGTAACGGTAGTCCTGGCAAGGGCAAAGGGTTCCTCCTTTCTTTCTGATGAAGAAGAATCCACTTGACTGTGGCGATGTAGATGGTTGAATAAAGTCGTTGGTGAGATGTTTGTCAAGAAAGGCTTTTACTGCATTGGTTTCTTTTGGGGAAAGCGGGTACATTCTGGTGGATTTTGGTATAAATCCTGGTTTCGTTTCAATCCAGTGGTCTACAAGGTGTCAGCTTGGAGGAAGTTGGTTCAGCCCATCTTTGGCGAAAATATTGCAGAATTCGTGAAGGTACTCAGGAACAAGTTCTTCAAAAGTTTTCTTGATTTTTTCTTGTATGTCTTTCATGGTGAATTCCTAGGCTTTGTTGCTGGTTTTCCTGGTTTCCTTGAGTTGTTTGTTTAAAGACTGGGTGAGGACCCACACATTTTGTAAGGGTGTTGGCCTACCAAGTCTTTTGATCTCTTGGTTGGATGTTCCATCCCATACCAGTGAGGAATCAGTGTCTAGGTTTTCGATCATCCATATAGTTGTACCATCGGAAGAATATTCAACTAGGACTTCATCATCTTCCAGCTGGTAGGTGGAGACATCGGTGACCAGTTCAGCAAGATCTGTTCTTCTGATCCAAGTATCTTCGTAGTTATTGAATATCGGGTCAGGTTGTTTGGTGTTTCTTTCTTTTGCTGTCTTCTTCTTTCTTCGTCATTTCTCCGCTATTTCTTCTAGGGCATATTTCGATCCAATGGGTAGTTTCTTTAATGGTGCAAAATCTTCTGTTGTTTCTTCAGTAATCACAGTTTTCCTGAGTGGAGGGAATTCATAGGGTTTTACCCCATTAGATTTTCTTTCATCATTGATCATTTCTTCAATTTTGAGTGATCATTTTGTCCTGGTGAGTGTGATGGTATCTTTCCTCCAGTTGATATCTGGTTGCATGGCAGAGAGCCAGGGTTTTCCAAGGAGGATGTTGTTGTGGGCAGAGAGTTTTGTGATGTTGAATTTTCCAAGCATGCAGCATTGGTCGATTTTGACTGCGAGAATGCAGTAGTGAGTTGCTTTTCCTGATGTGGAAGTACTTCCATCAACAGTTCATATATGGAATGGTTCAGTGAGGGGATGGGTCCCAATCTGGTTCTTTCTGACAAAGAGGTGGTCGATAAACGATCCTCCCACACCTGAGTCAATTATGGCAGTGGTGGCGATGGTTTTTGCATACTTTGTGGAAAAAAGTGTGATGGGGATCCGGAATTCGTTGGTTTTTCCAACAGCATTGGTATATAGTACACAGATGGAAGGGGCTGACATTGTGACAGTCCTTCAATTTCAAAATCCATACTTCTGCCTACAGGGGCGTTTCTGACCTGGGCTTTGGCTACGGTCATGGCTTCGTCGTCATCTTCATCATTGAGCTGGTTTAACCCAGACTGTACCTGTTCCTCCTTCTCAGGCATGGTTTGCCTTCCTTTCAATGCTCCTTTCTTGGGGTGGAATTTGGGGTCATTAGCCCTGTGTCCTGCTTTCTTGCAAGTGAAGCAGAGTCCTTCTCTGAAGCATTTCTGCCTTTCTTCTTCTCCTATTCGGTCAACATCCATTGCATTGGGGTCTCTGGTTTCCCTCTTGGGAGGAATGTATCTCGGGTTCCCATTGTTTCTCTTTTGTTGGAACCCACTGTTGTTTTGTCCCTCTCTCATGGTGATGGCCAACAATTGTTGGTGGTTATTGTCCAAATCCACCACTTTTGCTGAGAGCTTCTCAAATGTTTTGATGTCGCTTCCATTGATGAGGAGTCTCCATCGGAGTTTCTTGTCCAACCCATCTAAAAAGAACTGGTGAAGTGCTCTGTTATCTGTAATGCCTCCTCTTGTGGTGAGCTGCCTGAATGAGGTGAGGTATTCGCCGAGGGGAATGAGTTTGGTGGAGGTTTCATAATTTGGTGAGGGCTGCTCCTACAGAGTCTACTTCTTCAAACACTTTTTTGAATGCTATGACGAAGTTGGTGTTGCTTCTGTATCCTTTTCTGGTTGGGTCTTGAGCACTTTCCATGAAGTTGTCTGCCCAAGTGGCAGCAGTGCCTTTAGTCATGTAGGACAGGGTGAAGACAATTTTCTTCTTGTCGTTGTCACAGATTTTGTTGTTGACATCTAGGTATGCAGTTATGGATCATAACCAGCATCCTGAATCCTTTCTATCTCCTGTAAATTCGGTAGGGGTACCGATCCTTATTTCTAAAGGTGGTTTGACAGTGGTGGCGGGAGTAGATCCAGACATGGCTAGGTGGATGAGCAGGGGAAATGGTCTAGGTGGAGGTCTGTGGGTACATGGAGGGAGTGGGTGAAAATCTTCATAGTCTGATTTAGTGTCTTCCAATGTGGATGATGTATCCAATGGTGTGGGAGCTCTTTCCCAGGGATTTTGAGGTACTCTCGATGCTTCTTTTGATCAGTAGTATGCTCTCACAATGGAGAGGCATTTGGGGTAGAAACTTGAATCTTATGTTATGAACTCAGTTGGTTCTGTGCTAGACACTCACAAGGGGTGTCGGTCTAGTGTAGTGTTTGAAAGTCCAGTTGCTGGACTGGAAAAAGACTGGCAACTGGACTGGACCGCAACTTTTTTGAACCGGACCACAGTTGCAGTTGTATGTTGATCTTTACAGGTCCGGTTGCCAGTTGCTTCATTTGGGCACAGCTAATGAACCGCTCAAAAACCGGTTGCAACCGGTCTACGATGCAACCAGTTGCATATCCAATGGTCAAACTACATGGTATGGCAAACATATTCAAGCTACTAGTATGATCCAGCAAACACCTCATCTTCTTCATACTCCCACTCCCCTGCTTCATCATCCAGGTGAAGGAGTTCTGTGAAGTCAGTGAGTAAGACCTCTTCGGTGCTTGATGACTTGGAAGCAGCACAATCAACAACAGATTTCTACCAAGTGAACTTCATGACCTGCAGCTGTTCAAATCAGTCAGAACCTAAACAAGAGTGGCGATCAGTGGCAGTCTCTGCACCCGCTGAGAACAGCCGTTCACAGGGTACAGAAGATGCTAGCACTGCACAAACATCCATAGTGATCTTGGCAAGTATTGGAAAGTTAGATGCGTGATTCTGATTAACTATATTAACAATGAGATCCAAATTGAAATGAAAGAATGACCTACTGACCACCACTGAATGATGTCACTGTCCTTTGAGACATCATCAGGGACATCATTTAGATACTGCCGCAACTCAGCAGCCCATCCAGAACATTGTTGACAGGCAGCTTCTTCGACTAGTGTGTGTTGGTGACAATCAAACTCGGGCTCTAGTATTTCAGTAGAGGCAAGCATATTGGCTGGGAGACGAGGAGCAAGTGGTGGCACCTGTGGGCACGCATTTTGAATAATCTTGCATTGTCTTCTCTATGATCTTCAGCGCTTCATTGTGCCAGTTTACAGCATTCAGGTTACCAGCAGCGCGTTCAAGTTCATGCTCCTTGGGACCTCCCCAGGGCATCTTGATGTAGTCAAGTTTATAATATGGATGCAGGACTATAGAATATATTAGCAATATCAATAGAGCAGGGATGAACTAATGTACCAAGGGCCAGGACATAAATTGGTTTTTCATCGAACCTTCTATAGTACTTGTTGACCTTGTCCAGTCCTCCCTCGATTGCTGGCTTGAAGAGAGCATACTTTAGATCATCACACTTGGCTTCCCATGCAGTCTGCAGCTCCTCAACGACCATGATTGCTTGCCAGAGGGTAGGTTGTAGTTCCAAGGAGAAATACTGTTGAATGTTGTTGGCATCAGAAATGATGTTCCTAGTAGTATTAACGTGTTCCCAATCCACGGGCCCAATTGTGAATGCTGTCCATGGAATGTGCTTTGCAGGACTTCCAGGATGCCAAATAGTAGTTATCGGCCCAAAAAGCTCATCTGCTGACTTCACAAACATATTGATGGACTATATATGAAGTCAGCGCACTGGTAAACATGTAAAAAGCACATTGCCACACACCTGGCAAAGCTCGTATGCTCGACCTAGCATACCCTCAGCAATTCCCCACCGGATGTTACTGTGAGGTGGGATCTTGAGTGACACCACAGTTGCATTGAAGTGTTTCAAAGTACTCAATGTGTTGACCAGAGCATTGTATCTGCAATGTACATTTAGAATCATTGGAATAGAATGAACATGACGATATACCTTGATGGCGAGGGTTTGCACAGCAGCAATGACATCCAGTGAGTCCCCAAGGATACAATTGTTAGGCAGTGTAGGATCAAATTCTCATATGGCCGTTGTAGTCACTACATTGGCGATCTTTGTGATTGACGACATGAGGGCCACAACAGCAAGGTTGATGACATGCGCAAGGCATGGGAGGTGGTGTTGATTGCTATTGAAAGAGTAGATCTGGCAGTGGTGAAGAATGCGCTTGATCTTGTCACAGGTTGTATTGTTGTTACTGGTATTATCAGTGGTAACACAGAAAAGCTATTGAGAGTTGAAATAAGCTAACTCAAAAAATGGAATGCTAGAATGTACCTTAGATGACCGTCCTGAAATGATTCCAGCTTGTTCACATAATCCAACAAAATAGCGACCCAGATTATCCCCAGAGTGCATGCCAGAGATGCCTTTGAAAGCAATGACATGAGAATGAAGTGTCCATGTTGAGTCCGCTTCGATCCAATGGGTGGTCAGTCCAAAAAACTCCACTTTGGTCTGGTCAACAGACCAAAGGTCAGTGGTGGTTGAAACACATCTGCTAGTGGGTTCTATATATTTATGTATGTCAGCAAGGAGTCGCCAGTGTACTATAGAGAAGAAAACATAGTACCTGGACATCAGACTTGAGCTTTGAAAAGAAGTCAATAAATGAATTGTGTACATAGGTCATAATGTCGTAAATTGAAGGCAAATCAAGCTTGGTGGCACTTGGTCACATTACTACTAAGCAATTGTGAAATGTGACTTTATTTGCCACTATGAGTGACTATCATCAACCATCAGTTATAATGCCACTTATATATTCCTGTCAATACTATCTCTTACCTGGTCATCACAAACAACAAACTCAGCAACTGCATGCAATACATTCCTTCGTGAGAATTCTTTTATCCTCGGTTGTTTCTGGATGATGCCATCCAGATTCTGTTGCCCTTTCATCTTTGCTGCATCTCTCTGCTTCAGCAATGCCCAAGGAACTGAATGATGATGTCCTTGTATCTCCTGCTTCAAGCACTGTTGTCATATACCAGATCCAACCGCTCTGATACTGATATCCGCTCCGCTTTCCAACCCCCTCCGCCCCATCCATCCTCCGCTCCGTCCTATCACAAACCCACATTCTGCCCTACGCTTCCACTCAACCACACAACCAGTCCCCTTCCATAAACCTCTCCATTCAACTAGATCCCTTTCCCCTTTTAGACATACACTTTCCCCTTTGGTACATAGACTCTTACTTCCAGATCACCGGTAATTCCTATTACCGCCCGATCACTGATCCGACGCGTACATATTGATATCCGCTCCGACTTATGTCTTCGCCTATGTAAAGTACTTACAAACTATATCCTTGGTACATAGCTTTACTACATAGTTATCCTGATCACTGCCTCACATAGAAGTATATAACATATCCTGTACTTAGATATTTTTCCTTAGTCTTAATATTACTTGTCTTCTCGCAGTTACTACTTGTGAGAATTCTCAGTAGGACCTTGCCCCCTCTGGACACAAGTTTCAACTTGTTGTCACCTCTGACCCTCCAACCCTCCGCTCCGACTTAGAGCTGTGCTCTAAGTCTCTCCCATATACTTCGCCCCTATCCAATATTCTCCCTTGCCCCTCTGCATCATCCCCCGCCTTCTCCGCCTCTGCCAAAACATTCCCCCTGCCCCTATCCACCCTCCGCATCAACCCCCGTCTTCTCCGCTCCGCTCCTAGTCAGCCCACCGCTAGCAGCTCTTACTCCCCGACCCTCAAAGCGGACCAAAGCAGTCCATTCGTCCTATCGTCGGACAATGTCGGACCTGCTCCAAATTCGGGGCATGTACTCAGCTAAGGGCGCAGCACAAGAGCTGAAGCCAAGCCCCGACCCCTCTGCCTCTTGAGCTGGCATGGTACCTAACAACTGTTCCCGATACAACTCATAATGGCTGCGGATGTGCTGATGACACGACAAATTGGACCCCACATGAAATGCTTTCCTCTCACCATTCTTTTTCACAAACACGTGGTCCTTCCTGTGATTCGATGGTAAGTTTGTATTACTACTATGGGCTACAAGTTACTGACCTGCACTCTACACACCAGTGTCCGACCTTGGTAGCAACTTTGCCCTCTGGACTACAAAACTTAACAGTGATATGTCCTGAAAAGATGGTGAGTAGGTTGTCTGCACTGTTCTTTTTTGTCTGTTTCTTCAATGGGACGTTGTCCTGTTGTTACTGATGGTGAGCTGATATACTACAGTGGCTCAAAAAACTGTCCACATGTTTTCACATTTTTCACTATCTATGATATTGTGTGATAATATACAAAGACCTCAAGGACATGCTGGTACCATATTGTAGTACTACTTCAGGGCTTTCAATTGAGCACTATGCCGTGGGAATTGGTGAAGATAAGGTGGAGATATGAGGCTTACAAAATGATGACTCATGCGGACAGTTTTTTGACTCAAGTATTTTACAGTGATAATCAGGTATTCTAGTACTTTGTGTGACCTCCCCTGGCTTTAATTACTCCCACTATCCTTCTAGGCATACTCTCAATCAATTTCTGGCAATATTCTGCTGTAATATTTCCCCATTCCACTACTACTCTCTCCCATAGCTCCCATACTCCTTTAGGGGGGTTTCATAGGCTTGAAGCTTCATCTTGAGTGTTCCCCAGAGATGTTCAATGACATTGACATCAGGGGACTGTGCTTGCCAGTCAAGAACATTGATATTATGTTCTTAAAACCATTGTCTGGCTCTCCTAAATGTATTCTTGGGATGATTATCCTGTTGGAAAATGATGTCTTCTCCCTCAATCCCTGATTCAGCTATGCTAGGCAGCAAGTGGTCATTTAGAATGTCCACATACTGCTTAGCATCTACCCTCCCCTCAACTTCAGCAAGCATACACACACAATTCCATCCCATACAGCCCCATACCATTAGAGAACCTCCTCCAAATGTGACAGTCCCACTAACCTCTCTGTCTGTTAGAGAATTACCCTTCTTTCTCCATACATATACCTTCCCATCTGACCCAATCCTATTGATTTTGGTCTCATCTGACCATATAACATGCTTCCAGTCCTCTATAGTCCAGTTTTGATGGGCCAAGCCAAAGGCTAGTCTTCTCTGCCTATGTGTAATAGAGAGAATAGGCATGTCTGCTTTGTTACTGCCTTGAGATGAGCCACCTTGAGAACATTCCTCACAGTTTGTGAAGAGACAGTGGTGGTAATGGTGGAATTGATATAATGGGTGGCTTGGACAGCATTATCAGCCTTTCCTGTAGTGATATGTTGGATGATAGCCCTCTTATGAGTAGAGATGGATGTCCTTCACAAGAGTTTTCCTTGTCCAGGTGGCTTTCTTTGATAAAATTGGTCACAGTATACTTGCATACTCCAGTTCTAGAGGAAATTTGATGAGCAGAGAGGCCAGAATAGGACAGGGAGAGGATATTATCTCTTTAAGCAGAGGAGATGGCTTTTATGGTGATTCTGACTATGACACAAGAGACATTCTGGTTTATATAGTTAGATATAGTTTCAAGAGTATGCCTAGAAGGATAGTGGGAGTAATTAAAGCCAGGGGAGGTCACACAAAGTACTAGAATACCTGATTATCACTGTAAAATACTTGAGTCAAAAAACTGTCCGCATGAGTCATCATTTTGTAAGCCTCATATCTCCACCTTATCTTCACCAATTCCCACGGCATAGTGCTCAATTGAAAGCCCTGAAGTAGTACTACAATATGGTACCAGCATGTCCTTGAGGTCTTTGTATATTATCACACAATATCATAGATAGTGAAAAATGTGAAAACATGTGGACAGTTTTTTGAGCCACTGTATCTTTAGCAGATCACAAAATCATACATTGTCGTCATCCAGTCCAGCTTCATCCAGTTCAGCTTTATCTTCATCCCCATCCTCATTCTCCTGGTCCAGTTCATCAACTTTGAGAATCTCTGGCTCCCTTATGTCAGGCACATCATCCACAATCTTGATAGATGCTGCACTCTGACGCAGTGCTTGTTTGGATGCAGCTACCTTTTTTTGGAGGTACGTCTATTCACTGTGATGCTGACATCACTGCCTGAATCTTCCTCACTGGTCTCAGGACTTGGAGCTCGTTGTTTTTGACTCTTCTTTGGTGAGGGCTTAGCATTAGGTGCACGGCTTTTTGGATTGCAAGACTGTGGTACTAGTGCTGTATTGGCACTAGCCTTTTTTGTTGGTTTTTTTTGATGTGCAGATTTACGGGGTGACATTGACGGTGGAAGGGGAGAGGGGATGCTGATTACTAGCACACATACTAATGTATATTGTTCAATTGGCAAGTTGTGTTATGCATGAGGCTTTTTTCTAGACTAAGTGGACCGGTTGCTGTGTGGACCGGTCTGGACTGACCACATGATGTCACCGCAACTGGTGGCAACCAGTTGCATGCAGTCCAGTCCAGTCTTTAGGTTGACAGTGAGAAAACAAAGACCGGTCCAGGTCTGGTTGCATCTAAAATAGATAAAAAACCGGACCAGACCAGACTTTCAAACACAAATGTCGAGTAGCTGCACAACAGATAGAGTCTGAGATGGGATGGTTGATCACATGGAAGTCGGGATGCTGAGCAACTGTTTGATCTCACATTGAGCAGAAGGCGCTCTGGTCAAAAAATACGACCACACGAGAGCCACTCTGAAGCAACGAATGTATCAGTTTGCAATGGCATGACGGACACTTGAAAATGGATCAGACTCACCTGGCAGGATTTAAGACCACGGAGTCTCCAAGTCCACTTGTTGCCATTCAGTACTATGCGAGGCGAATCCTTGACAGGCTGAAGCAAGTTGCTGCAATCACGAAGCACTGGTTGCTGGAGTTGCAAGCGGCGAAGCACCAATGTCCTCACGAATCTATTTGGGTATGGTCACACGTCACATGGACATTCGAACCTGTGACACTGAGTGTGACATAGTCACGGGATGCACGTGACGAAGCTAGTGTCGAAACTCTATAGTAGGCTGATAAGAAACATGCCTAGTAAGCGTGTGTCAAGGACAAAGAAAATAAGTTCATAGAAGCACAACAGTAACACTTAATGACTATCTTCCTTCGATTGGTCTGACTAGGGAAGACCAACATTACATCAATCAACATGCAGCCATATATGCAAGACAATCCTAATTTCAATGAAGTAAAAGAAATTATCCCAGCGCTCTATTCAATCCCTCATCTATCAACGACAGCCCACCTACCTTCCTATTCAAACCTCGCCTCGACTACGCGCTTCCGCAAGGCTCAACTCCATCGCAAACTTCAAATCATCATCTACTTCATCTAAATCCAGGGGCATCTGGAGCTCTTCTTCAAACCGCCTATCGTGAATATCCACGCTCGCAGAAGAAAGTGAGCGCAAGATAGGTGTGTCGATATGTGGGGATGAAGATCCATTGGAAGAAGGCGCCGATCGTGAGGGCGTGCTCCACGCAGGTCGAACGTGTTCTAGGCTGCTGGTCGATGAGGAAATGCTGGAGCTGATCGAGGGAAAGTGCTCGTAAGATGACGACGTGCTGCGAACCACGTCGGGTAAAGATCTCGTAGCTGTCGAAGAACCTGGTAGCGATGTAGGTATCCTGAGCGGGCTGATGGTAACCCCGGCTTCCATAGGTTCTGGAACGAAGGGAGGAGACACCTGTACTTTCTCATTCGTTACGGGACGGGCGGCGCGTGGATAGGCGCGGGAACGATGACTGTAAAGAGAGCTGGAGGAAGACTGGTTCGATCCAGGTGATAGGGGACCATGCGTGGTTGAAGAACTTGAGGTAACTGGCAAGAACGTTTCATCTTCAAAGTCCCCCTCAAAGACACCTTCATCGATGGTGTGAGAAAGTCGGCGGCGCTCCTCTTCCTCGCGGGAGAGCATCAACACATATTCTACTGCCTCTGACTCCGAAAGTCCAAGCATATTTAGAGTGGAACGTTGCTCGCGCTCTCGCCCCATGGTGTGCCGCGTATAAGCTTTCTCGTGTTCCAGTTCACGTCTGGATTCGTTTATGTCTTTGTTCAGATCGTATCGCTCTGCGACATTTGGTCAGTTGAGAATATACACGGATCAAAACATGCGTACGTTGTCCTTTGGAAATTGGGTTCTTCTTCGCGCGAGAATGTTTGCTCTTGTGCGGAGCGTCGCGACCGTGTACTTGTCCCACCTTCCACGACATCACCCTGTTGCCAACAATGATGATCAAAAACTCCTTTTCAACCAGAATCTTGCTGACGCCTCCAACTTCACGACCTGGTGCAGCACGGGGGACAGGGGACGAAAAGAGCCTAAGAGGCTCCAGGGTGAGCGCGTCCCATACCGTCGTCGTTCCGCGTGCAGAGCCTGTGGCAAGAACAAGCGAGCTCCAAGCAAGCGCAGTCACGGCGCCATCTTCCTGGGCCTCAAATCTGCGAGCAGGTGCAACAACAGAAGATGTTTGAGGGATATCCCAATCGTAAATGCCAACGTAACCCAGCTGATCACCAGTGAGGATGAAACTGCAATCATCTAGCTGAGCTGCAAAGGCAGGTTCGACGATGGAGTTGTATCCAAATGAGGGATCACCAAATGCGGTAGTTTCGTATTTGCCGGATGTAAGGTCAACTACGAGACGATAGAAGAATGGGTGATCGGAGTACCCGATGAGCAGTGCTGCCGTTGTCTGTGAGTGACGACGGACACGCAGCGTCGTTGGCTTTGGTGTGGGAATGATTGCATCCTGGGGAGACGGGTGCTCCTTGGAAATAGGGAGCATAATGCGATGTTGTGCAAATGATGTCGGACTGGAGAAGTCGTCTGACAGTTGGGATGATGTCCACAGGAGAATGTCTCCGCTATTCAAAACACCAACGATGATGCCATCCGCAAGAGCAGAAGACACCTTAAGGAATGGATCCACTACAAGCGATAGGAGCTGCTTGTTGCTAGACCACAAGCACACAAGCGTCTTGGTATCCCACAACTTGACCTGCCCGTCGGCACCTCCGGATACAAATCGGCTAACAACAACTGGATCCAAAGTGATCTCATTCACGATACCATCGTGATGATCTTCGACTTTGCATCTAACCAGTTTTGAAGAGGCACGCCCGGGATCCATGACTCGAGCAGCGGTAGTTACCGCCACCTCCCCATTGCGCTTCCCCCAGAAAGCCCTAGCAGTGCCACCATCAGAAGTGAGACTGCAGGCAGAGACGTTCGGTGTGAATTCAACGTTGGGATTTCCTATACCCAACCCTGTTCCGGCAGCATCGAGATACCCCTTGAGAACTTTTCCGCTGAGCGGAAGTGAGCGAGCCACTACTCCATATTGAATCGAAGATGTGAGAAGACCAGATTCGGACATCAAATGAACACCGTCTATGGCAGTGTCCTGAGGGGAATGAGTAAGCGTCCCATTGCGAGAACGTTCCCAGCGCCTGAGATAAGGATCAGAGCGGAACTGAATGTAGAACACATCCACAAACCGCCTCAGGTTATGCCTCATGATAAACTCCCTGCGCCAAGTGCTTTCTGACTTCCTCAGTAAGAGAATCCTCTCATTCTCGAGATCATTCTCGGGACCAATCCCAAGAAATTGGTTGATAAAAGCCCGATACCAGGTATTATCATCTTTTACGTGTTCATTGAGACGTCGGTTTGTCCTGGAGAGTGCGAGGAGCGACGGAGGAGAGAGAAAGGAAGTGATATGAGTGAGAGATTCGGCGGGAATGTCGAGAAGACTGATGCTTTGAACGATTTCATGATGGGGTTCTTGATAAGAGTAGATCAAAGTTGGTTTGGCTGTCAAATTTTCTTTCTTGGATGTGTCTATAAACCTTGTTGGCATATAATAGCAAGGAGAATCAAATAGTTTTGGTGCGACTGCAGAACGTCGAAGGTTCCGTCTGCGATGTGGTGGGGGATCAACTTACTAAACTGATAACTTCCCAGTTACTTATGGTAAGAAGATGATCATGTGATCATGGATACTCCCCGATGGGTGCCGGTCAGGGGCAGCAAGGCTTGTCTTATCTCAATTGAATATGCGCAGCTCCTACTGAAACAACAGTCGGTAACATTCACGCATCGTATAATTTACACCAAGTACAACTTCGTAAAAAAATATTCCAACATCATGATTCCGTTGATCACTTCGACTTTACCATGCCAGCCACGCAATCAAAGACTATAAAGAAAGTGTGAATGCAAGTTCCAGTTCGGCCATGTAACATACCTTCGGATAATTCCTCACAATGGCTTTGCGAGATTCGTCCATGAGCAAGATCCCCAGCGCAAAGATGTACGGAAGCCCCCAAAACATCCCTGGGATAGGCCTCGTGTTAAATACCTGCTGGAAGCCAGGTCCATAGAGGTTCACGATGCAGATCAAGACGGTTCCTGTCATGCCGACAAGCACTAGCAAGTTGCGGCGCGGGCCCCACAGAGGATTCGACTGGAATATCGATACTCGGCGGTTGCGAACCGATAGAAGGGTCCCGTACTGTCCGATGGCCACCGTTACGTAGCTATTGGCCGTTACTATCAGCATTGCGAAAGGAAAAAATGACGACACACTAAATGCATTGACCAACGTCTACGAACTGGGCTAGTTGATCGGCGCTGAAGCCTTGCCAGCCGTCCCCCCATTTGTTGTAAGTCAAGATAACGTTAGAGAAGCTGAGGCCGTGCTGGTGCATGTACAAGAACCACATCGCCATCGCACAGGGCCACAGCATCAGTCCGTAAAACTGGGCAAGTACTTAACACGAGCACACTGTGATCACCTAGGTCATGAAACGTACCAAGTAGACATGCAAGAAAAGACGCCAATCCGTAAGCCTATCAGTCCTGGCGTTGCGTGGCTTGCGTTGCATCAAGTCTTTAACAGGAAGTGAGTACTGAAAAGCTCCTGAGCGCGTGAGCACACACCCCACTCCGGCTTTTCATACATCAGCGAGATGGACATGATAACATCGTTGGTGATGCAGTAACAGACTTGCTGATACGAGTTCATGGGAATCTGCATGCCTAGCAACACGTTCGTAAGGACCGCAATGAATTCCGCATAGCTTCCAGCCTGCAACACCATGAATATCAAACCTGCTGAGATTATACTGCCCACGTTAATATGACTCACAGGCATGAGGTACAGCGTGACTTTCTTCAGGTTGTCAAAGACTAGTCGACCCATCTCTATCGCGACAGGGATGGAAGCAAAGTCATTCTTCAACAAGATCAAGGCGGCTTGAGAGTGATAGTATCAGTATCGTCGAAAGACCATTCAGCAAAATCCTTACCAGCTTCCTTGGCCACATCACTGCCACTACCCATCGCAATACCGATATCGGCAGCCTTGAGTGCTGGCGCATCATTGACACCATCTCCGGTGACTGCGACTGTATTATCTCCGCGAGCTTTGATCTCCTCTACAATTCGCATTTTCTGGTCAGGGGTAGTGCGCGCAAATACGATCTCTGTGTAAGTCCCAATGATGACATCCCAATCGGCTGAAGTGAGAGATGTGACGTCTCCCCCCGTAAGTACCAGGGAGCGGATAGGATCATCATCGGATGGCTTGACCAGAGAAGAAGATTTCGGTGTGACCTTCTCAGAAGCAGCGGCTCTAACTTCTTCGATGGTGTCGATAATGTGCTGAGTAATGATACCGACCTGGAAAAGGGGGTCAGCAAGGATTTCACAGCCACGGAAAATGAAGGCAATTACCTGACGTGCGATGGCTATAGCAGTGAGCTTGAAGTCACCAGTGACCATGAAGACTCGAACTCCAGCTTGTCGAATGATGGAAATCGACGGCGACACATCCGGGCGAGGAGGGTCGCAAATTCCAACCAGCCCAACCAGGGTCAGATCGCACATCTCCGAGTACATAAGATCTTCCATGTCGTTCGGTGGAAGTCCAGCCTTGATCTTTTCTATAGGTTTCCTACATCTATTTCGGCGACGATGTCAGATGTCAGGGTGGTAAGGCAAAAGTAATTATACTGACAGCGCGAGTACTCGTTGACCTCCGTTTGACCACTCCTCTTGAAGCGTGTGGAACGTCTGTCTCGCTGTACTTGTCAACGGGACGACTGTCCCATCGCTTTGTAGCACGTTGCTGCAAGAAGGGAACAAAACATCAGGAGCTCCCTTGACGAGCATCCAGGTTGCCTCCGCCTGCTTTTCCGCAGTGTTGACTTCGGAAACCACGGAAAGCATCCATTTGTTGCGAGAATTGAAGGGGATCTCAAACTGCTTTTGATAATCCTGCTGAAGAGTTTTGGCATCCACACCAAGCTCTGGTATTGAAAGGGCATCGGAGAAACGCAAAAGAGCGGTATCGGTCGGATCACCCTTGATCGCACGATTCTGCACAGGAAGGTGGTTAGTCGCTGTGTCGAATTTCGCGCCGTTGCAAAGCCTCGCGATCTGATGGAGCGCCTTGAAAGCAGAAAATACGGTGGGGTCTGATGCCTTCGTAACCCTATCTGTAATTTCCTCGACACCGAATGTGTCATCGAGGAAGGCAATATTCTCGACCATCTGTGGGTCCATCAGCAAGCCGGTAGCGGGAGCAGGTGCATCTTTAATCTCACCATCTTCCCTGCAGTCAAGGTGCCTGTCTTGTCGGAACATAAAACAGACATGCATCCTAACGTCTCGATGGTTGCCAGATTCTTGACCAAGACCTGACGTTTAGCCATACGACGGGCGATGACAGTCAATGAGAGTGCCACGCAAATCGGGAGGCCCTGCAAGATGTCAACTAAGAAAGCATTGGAAACTTTCACTGTTGGTCACCTACTTGGGGAACGAACGCAGTCAAGCAGCCAATTGCGTTTACGATCGCAGAAGACGGAGTGTCAAACCCAGGATACGTCTTCCGTAACCAAACGCCGTATAGAAGAAGCGACAAGCAGAAGAAGAAGAGAGCGAGACACGAAATGATTTTGGTGAAAAACCACACCTCTCTTTGGATAGTGGTGAGCTTGAACTTTGTTTCTCCCGACATCTTGACAAGGCGTCCCATAACAGTCCTATCTCCCGTGGCGAACACGACGCCATTACAAGTCCCTTGCACCACAAAAGTAGAAGTCAATGCGAGGTTACGAGTCTCCAGAGCATTGTCGGATGTTGCATCAAGTGCTCCTGGGACCATATCGCTGCAACTATACTTCAGCCAAATTCAAGCAAGTAGGACAAGAAACATACCTTTCACCCGTCAGGAGAGAGCGATCAAAGCGAAGGTCGGATGATGCCTGTACAACACGCATGTCGGCTGGGACACGGTCGCCAGCGCTGAGGACGACAATGTCACCAACCACAATGTCAGCAGCTTGGATGATTTGCTGGTTTCCGTCCCTGATGACCGCGGCCTCATGCGCAATTAGGGATTTGATTGACTTCATGATCCTGTTCGCATTCCAGTCGACCAGAGCGTAAAATGTAGCAGAAATGACGATCACGAGGAGCTGTGGTTCATGAGAAGGGGGACACAGAGAACTGGCGCTGAAAGACACAGACCAGCAGCACGGCAACACCAAGAACAAAAGCTTGAGGAGGCCCGAGCGGTTGATACGAGAGCTGAAATGCGTATCAGAAAGGTCGCAAACGTAAACGAACGTTGACGACACCCACGATGGTCAAGATGAACGCGATCCACATGAGAAAGTTAAAGCCACCAAAAATATAATTAAGGATTTTCTTCCAGTAGACAGTAGGTGGAGGACTAATGGTATTCTTGCCATCGCGCTCCCTGCGACGAACAGCAGCAAGCTCCAAACCGACTGTGGGATGACTAGAATACCGGGTATACACTTCCCCGACGCTCAGTAGATGGACATCTATGCTTGCAATGGCATCCGCTGGGTCTGTTGGAGATTTGGGGGTCGTCTGCCTCTCTTCGACGCGAACTGATAATGTACGGTATCTGTTCGTTGGAAGTTCAGCGAGATACTGCGAGGTAGAGATGCGAATAGAATACAAACGCAATTTGAATGCCATAGCCTTGCCCGGGCTTAGGAGACGGTGTTACGTCTGCCATCGAAGTCGTCCGACAAACCAACTTCGTTCTTCTCGTTATTTATCTGCTCCAAGAAATTGCGGGCACGCCGGACGCTCAAAACCTATGCGTCAGTCGTGCCTTGCTGAACCGACATGCCCAAGTTTGAATGTGGCAGTTTTTCGGATTTTATGAAGAGCGGTTTTTGCTATTCATGCCCCAGCCTAGCAGACTCCACGCGACCGTAATTACCTTTCACAGTGTCCCGACATATTGGTCCAATTAGTAAGCATTCCACTTATCCTTTCAACCGAATTGCTCGCAAGAGGTGATTGTGAGTCCATGACAATCGATTATCGCGAGTGATTTCAGCGGTTGGAATTGGAATACGAGCGCTTGGCAAAACCACACAGACAGAAGGAAATTTGGGAGTTTTCGCTGAAACCTAGTCAACCGTGCCTTGTCAAACCGAAACAAGATTCGAACGTGACGGTACCAATGAGTTATTGTTTATGAGGAGCTGTTTTTGCTATTCAATAATTTGGGCCGAATCCGGAATCCTGTAACATAAGATGAGATCATGTCACAGAATGACACGATGGCTTCAGATCAATCTTGGATCGCCAATGCTTTCCGTAACACAGAAAATCCTTGACGGAAATGGTTGAAATCAGGGATGATACGACAGGTGGGAAGCTTCGATTGACAGGCATGGGGACCGGAACTCTGCAGAAATAATTCATCTCAGTCAACTTCCAGCAGGAGAACGCAATAAGGACGAGATGTGACGAGATCCGAAAATTAGGTTAGGCTCAGCACTGCTATAACGCCTGGTTATGTGGTGCGGAGGGTGAAGTTTGAAGGGCAGGGTATCTGCAAATATCTGCCGCAATTCGATTCGGTCGGGGGTAAGATAGCGGCCCGAATGGGGTCCGGACCCAGGTGAGAATGTTCAGTACTATTGGGAAACCAGTCGAAAAAGGACATCTTGCATGGGCCCGTACGGCCCGGGATTCGTGATTTTCACTGCTCTGTTACAGACTGCTGGAGGCTGCTTAGCATAAGGGCAGGTACATCATGATAAGTACGTGAACATTGAAATAATCAGCAGATTGCGTTAACCGACGTACACGTGTGTCCTGGGCATTATGTAATTGCGCACACATCTGAAGGCGATAACTTGTTAGTCTTGGCGACGCACACTCGAGAGTCGACAAATGCCATGATGTTGACAGAGATGCAAAAGGATTGAAGGTTGAACCGAAGCGTCAGCGGTTCGGACAAGAGCGAAAGAAACAAGATCAAGACATCGATCATCACGACTTGGAGTGAAAGAGGGCGTTTACTACCACAATGAAACCGGAAAGAGGTTCTGATCATCGTCTGCGCTGGTGAAATGTCCGTTGACAGCCTGTAGTGAGACGGTGATGGGTGATTTTGGCATCAGGTGACCTTGTGTCCGGGTGATCCTCACCCGTTCCTTCACCTCATTCCAATTCCGTCGATCATGGCAAACTTCAGCTTAGTACTATCAGCCGTATCTCTGGTACTAACCACCAGTCTCCCATCACCGCGCTAGCTATAGCTTTGTTTGTTTCCTGTAGCACACGGAGTGAGTTACACCACGCCTGTGATGTCCGACCCCTCGATGGCTAACTACCTCGATCCCAGCTTATGACCGCCGATTCTCGCTCACATCCCTCCACACCGCCAGCCGCTGTGGTCAAATGTGTTTCTCTCATCTCTTGCTGCTGTCTCTCGTCGACTTTCTACACAAGTCAACGCTCCCCCACACCCCAACCCGACAATCCAGCCCAAGAAAACACATCTGATGGCGAGGCAGACCTATGGTGATCCTTCGCCTGAGCACAAACGATGGGTCATCATTACGAGCTCACTTCACGTCAATTGATCATTGCCTTTACCAAGAACTCGGTTGATACGACGCTTCGAAGTGCCGTTGACCTCTCACGACCCTCCCGAATACAGTATGTTTTACACAATGACAGGGTCACTGCCGAGATCACAAAGTAGTATCTTCAGAACAAAAGGAAGCATGTCAATCACAAGAGGAAGGCTCAGGATGATGGGGATAGTGGCCGGCGTTAGAGACGTTCTCGATTCGACATGGAGAGTGATGAAGAGGCGAAGAGGACAACAGCGAGCGTGGCAGTCGTGACGAGAACGAAGCGCTGGAAGGAGATAACGTGGGTGAGTAAGGTTGAGCTGCTGGTGGGTGTTGGCCAAATGGTCTTTTTTTTTCGAAGGATCGTCGCGGACGCGGAGGATAATAAATGACTTCAAATGCCGAGTCCTCGATGCTAGTTCAGATTGTAATAGAAACAATTTGCTGGTCCATTTGCAGCTTGCCGAAGTAGCTTGGTGGTTATTTCGGTTATCCTTCTAGATAATAGGCGAATAGTCAAAAAATACCAGAAAACATGTTACCCCCACTCAATTACATTTTATTTCACTCATTTTATTTTTTCACAAATGAGTGTATATTGGCGTGTGGAACCAGCGCTAGCAGCTGATAAAATGTATTGGAACCTGCTGGATAAATCATTAAATTCGTGTCGCGGACTCTCAACAATGCAAGCGCGACGACACGACGACGACATACTCGAAATCTCAACTGCAAGATTGTGTATATCATAGCACGTCTACGACGTCTCGGATGCACGGGACGCGTTTTTCAAGGAGACTGGCGAAGACCAGAGACCGGATCAGTGTAGAATTTGGTGTGGTGTAGAAGTCGGTTAGTACGCGTTTTCAGTGGGGATTCACGCCTTTGCGATACGTGCCGTGTCGGTACATCCCAATCTCAGCACGCTTTACAATATTGTAGACCTAGAATAAAATACTTACGACTTCTTGTATTTCTGTTCCATTCCCACTGACTGTCACTCGCAAATGAGATGTATATTGCCTGCACGAAATAAAATGGGCGAAATAAAATGTACAGTGAGTGGGGCTGTTACCCGAAAGGCCATTTGAGGGGATGGTGAAATCGGCAATGAACCGATCATGATCACCTGGTTTTGTGCACATGTATGCATGATTGACTCAGCCGAGATGGTGATTAGCACCGTTATCATCTCCTATGCGGCGGGTGATCCAGCCGGTGACCTTTTATTTTCATAGTGCCATACACCCCTGAATTGCCCCTGAAGCGACCTATAAGGACTCTCTACCCAAACGAGGTTCTCCAACATAAAATAACCGAAGAGGAATGGCCTCCGCGGTGAGGTCCGAAACGGTAGTCCGATCCGGGGCTTCTTTTATTTTTATTTTATGTTCCAAAGGGTTCGTTGGCGACATTCGTTTGCTGTAGGGAGGCAGCCTGATGTACAGGGTGTCAAAAGTCGAACAAGGTTTCGGGGTCTTATACTATGTACTTGTGCTTCATCGCGCGAGCCAACGTGAAGTATGTGCGCATGTATATAGAGAAGGAAGAGATCCTTTCCAATATATCGTGGAGCTCGTTTGATTTGTTGTAGCATCTGCAGTTCGAATGAATTCAGGGGCTGCTAAAGCCATGGCCCCGCGCCTCCCCGGAGTCCCCGCGCATAGCATGAGAGATCAATATTAATGAGAGATACTATAATGGCGGGAAACCGCTAGTGTGAGCACTTGTTGGCGAGCCGGACTTCTACGGTCACTTAAAGCACCAAGCATACGACACTGCATGTGAATTGGTTGGGCGTTCCAGGGCTATTCCTTGGTTCTAACTTCTGTCCATCGTTCCTAGGCGATTGTATACGTACCATTCTTCCGTTCTTTTATTTGCCTTATGTTATCGTTCTTGCCAAGGCCTGACATGATTTTCGAAGAAATATTCCCCATCTGGAAGATGCATTTCGTAGAAATTTCATACTTTAAAGGAGACAAGGTGTGTATTTATATCATTTCTAGGCTATACTATTTACAGATATACGGGTGTCGGTATCTGACGTCCGTTTAACTCATAAGATGGTCCTAGCACTGACAGGCAAGTAACATGCTCGCAGACCAAAGCGAGACACTTGACGACCCAAATGTGTTACCAAGCCATTTTAGCAACAATCGACTGTAATTTGCCATCAGGATCAAGGAAATCGGGACGAGGTTGGTACTTGCCTTCGGATATGTCCTCACAATCAGCTTGCGAACTTCGTCCACGCAGAGAATCCCTAAGCCAAAGGCGAACGGGGGGCCCCAGAACATTCCAGGTATAGGCGTCGTTAAGAATACGTTCTGTAAGCCTGGACCGTACAGATTGATAATCGCGATCAAGGCAGTCGCGACCATGCCAATCGGAACCGCAATATTCTTGCGAGGTCCCCATAGAGGGTTGGAATTGAGTAGGGAAACCCTGCGGTTTCGGATGGCAAGGAGATTTCCGTACTGCATGAATACCATGGTCACGTAGCTTATGATAATGAGTATGAATACAAGGCTGGGGTGAGTGACATCACCACTCACTAGATGCACTGGCCGACATAAACGAAGTGATTGAGCTGGTCCAGCGAGTAGCCATGATAGCCGTCGGCCCACTTGTTATAAGCCAATATCACGTCGTTGAATCCGAGGCCTTGCTGACGCATGTATACAAACCACATGCTCATCGCGCATGGCCAGGACATCAGTCCAAGGAACTAGTAATATGTGACTTGTGAGTTCCAAGCATCGCTTTGTGCAGACTAACTCACCAGGTATATCTGGAAGAACAGTCTCCAATCGGTAAGGCGGTCGGTTCTAGCGTTGCGAGGCTTCCGCAACATGAGATCTATCGCGCATTGAGGGATTGCCAGAAGATGTGCACAATTATAGGCTTACCTGCTTCAGCTTTCTCGTACATCAAGGAAATTGACATGACGACGTCATTGGTGATGGAGAAACAAACTTGTAGATAGGAGCTCAGAGGAATCTGCATTCCAAGGACAACATTCGAGAGCACCGCCATGAACTCCGTGTAGCTTCCAACCTTGAGTTGGGATAAGCAACTATTTTATTTCAATCATGATTGGCTTACAGGCATGAGGTAAAGCGTCACTTTCTTGAGGTTATCGAATACCAGACGACCCATTTCGATGGCAACTGGGATAGACGCAAAGTCATTGTTCAACAAGATCAGTGCAGCTGTAAGCATTGAGAGTTAATATTGATCTTGAAAAAGTGTTGCGACCTTACCGGCTTCTTTCGCCACATCACTACCGCTCCCCATCGCGACACCAATGTCAGCAGCTTTGAGAGCGGGTGCGTCGTTCACACCGTCGCCAGTCACAGCCACAGTATTGTCGCCCCGGGCCTTGATTTCCTCGACGATCTTCATTTTTTGATCAGGCGTGGTGCGAGCAAACGCAATTTCAGTGTATCTCCCGACGATTACGTGCCAATCAAGGGAGGTAAGAGCGCTAACGTCCTCTCCTGTGAGTACCAATGCACGGATAGGGTCGTCATCCGAAGGCTTGATGGCAGGTAGTGGAATATCGACGAGGTGCTTCTCGGATGATGCGGCCCTGACATGATCGATGGTATCAACGTGGTGCTGTGTAATGATGCCGACCTAGTACAATCGAATCAATCCTCGATACCAGGAGGCACTCGCTCCAACTCACCTGGCGTGCAATTGCGACAGCAGTGAGCTTAAAGTCTCCTGTCACCATGAAAACCCTGACACCAGCGCGACGGATAATGGCCACGCTTGCGGCTACGTCTGGACGGGGTGGATCGCGGATACCGACCAGTCCAACCAGAGTGAGATTACATATCTCCGAGTACATCAATTCCTCCATGTCATTTGGAGATAGGTTCGGTTTCAAGGCGTCCAGTGGCTTGCGACACCTGAACGAGCATCAGTAAAGTGTAACGCACAATCATAGCACAATGCATACAAGGCAAGCACTCTCTGTCCTTCACTCGACCACTTGCTTTGAAGATCAGCCATGTGCTGCCTTGATGCTTCATCAAAGGGGACAACGGTGCCATCGGACCTCATCACCGTGCTGCAGGATTTTACTAGCATGTCTGGAGCACCTTTCACGAGTATCCATGCTCTCGAGTCCTTCTCAGTAATATCTCCTTCAGCAGTGTGAGTCTCCTGAACGACGCTGAGCATCCACTTGTTTTTTGAATTGAAGGGAATTTCAAAGAGCTTTTTCCAGGATGATAGCAACGCTGGCGTATCAATCTTCAAAGTTGGGATAGACAGAGCCTCGGAAAAGCGAAGCAGGGCCGTGTCAGTGGGATCTCCTTTGACATTTCGCTCGTGAATAGGCCGGTCAGCAGTCGCAGCGTCGAACTTTGCACCGTTACACAGCCGTGCCGTATGGTGCAAAGCGCTCAAGCCAGCGAAGAATTGAGGGTCTGGTGCTTGGGAGATCTGCTCGTCAATTTCACTGATCAAGAGATGGTGATCCAAAAAGGCGATTGACTCGACCGCCTGGAAGATATTAATCAAGAGAACGATGTCAAATTTGGGCACGAAAAACTTACCATCTTGCCTGCAGTCAAAGTACCGGTCTTGTCTGAACATAAGACAGACATGCATCCGAGAGTTTCAATCGTTGCGAGATTCTTGACAAGAACGTGCCGCTTCGACATGCGACGGGCAATGATGGTCAGTGAAAGGGCAAAGCAGAGGGGTAGTCCCTTCAAGGAGGTGATTTCAGAGAGGCTATTAAGAACATCGAATTGGACTACTTACCTGCGGCACGAACGCCGTAAGGCAACCAATCGAGTTCATGATCGCAATACTGATGGTTTCATATCCAGGATAGGTCGTCCTCAACCACACACCGAAGAGCAGTAAGGATATACCGAACATCGTGAAAGCGATTGAGGAGATAACCTTGGTGAAAAACCAGATCTCTTTCTGGATGGTCGTAAGCTTGAATTTTGTCTCGCCAGACATTCTAACAAGGCGTCCCATGACGGTCCTGTCACCAGTGGCGAACACAACGCCATTACAGGTACCCTGTGTCACGAAGGTCGAGGTCAGTGCAAGGTTGCGAGTCTCCAGAGCGTTGTCAGATGTGGCATCGAGGGACCCAGGGACCATATCACTGAAAAACTATGAGTCAGGCTTTCGAGAGAATTACAATACAATCACCTTTCTCCAGTAAGTAGGGAGCGGTCAAAGCGCAAGTCAGATGAAGCCGACACAATCCTTAGGTCCGCAGGAATTCGATCGCCGGTGCTGAGAACTACAATGTCTCCGACAACGATATCCGTGGCAGGTATAAGTTGTTGCTTGCCATCACGGATTACAGCAGCTTCATGCGCAATAAGAGACTTGATGGATTTCATGATTCTGCTGGCATTCCAGTCCACGAAGGCATAGAATGTGGCTGAGATGATAATGACGAGCATCTGAAAGGGAGTATAAATGAACTGAATCATGACATGGGCTCAGACGTACCAGCAGAGCTGCGACCCCAATGTTGACAATGGCAGGGTTAGGCTCCCCCAGAGGCTTGTACGAGAGCTAAGAAACAGGGTGAATGACTGGTCGGGATAAAACTGATGAACGCGTACTGTGGTGACGATAAATGCGATCCACATGAGGAAATTGAAGCCTCCGAAGATGTAGTTAAGGATCTTCTTCCAGTGTTGTGTCGGAGGTGGGCTGATGACGTTCTTGCCATCCTTGGACCTTCGTTGAACTGCTGCAGACTCGAGGCCAACAGTAGGATGACAGGAGTAACGGGTGTACACCTCGTCTGTGCCGATGAGGTGGACGTCGATGCTGGCTATGGCATCTGCCGGATCTGCTGATTGCTTGGCCTTCGAAGGAAGCGCCTTCTCCTCTACGCGAATAGAGAGAGTGCGATAGCTATATGGAGGGTAGATTAAACATTCGAAGCTGTTATCAGACTACCCACCTTATCTGAATTCCATACCCTGGGGCTCTCTCTGGCTCAGACGATTTTCGAGAAGATTTAAGGTCTTTCATCGTGCAAGCTCCGCGAGACGACCACGCTTTGATTTTTCGTGCTCACTCTTTTATCGAGACGCCCTTGTGAAAGGTTTTTATTATTTTATATATATTTTTTCCTCTGTTTGTACCATAAGCTGCGCTATTTTCGCCATTCAGCCGCAGGTGTCGGATGCGCTGATTTCGCCATTCCCTGTAGATACCGCTTTCAATTATTACATAGAACACCGCTTTCAGGATGCGAGCATTCTGAATCTGATTCAATATATGTATTCACAACATTCGTGTACTTGCCAAATGGTCGCAATGGTAATATCTAGTCTTGACCATCGGGAAGAAGTGCTGCTCCCGGACATCCCAGAACAAGAGTGTAGCATCAAATAAGAAATCCAGTTGGGAATTATTCCTGGACTTCAAGATCCGCGTTCTGCAAACAAATCATGGAGAGAAGGGGACCTACCCGGTATTCTTACCTGATGACGTGCTAGCACAACTGGGCCTCCACGCCAATGAGATCATCACAAAACGACACAATGCTGCAGACCAATCTCGGGTTGCCAAGGCTCTACATCAACGGGAAACACGGAAAATCCTTGACGAAAATAGTTGAAATCAGGATGGTATGAGAATTGACAGATTGACAAGCATGGGGAAGCATGGGGTCCGGGATTTGTGGACATTCCAGCCACCTTCAGTCTTCCAGCACAAGGATGCAATAAGGACGAGATACGACGGTCCGGTAATTGGACTAGGGTCATCCCCCTGAATATGTGGGGCTGTGAGGTTTGAAGGGTGGCGTGTCTGCGATAATATCTGAACGCAATCATTAATTTGGTGGGAGTTGAGATGTGACGGCCCGAATGATATCCGGGGTGGACGAGTGTTATTGAAAAGTTGGTCAAAAAGGGCACCTTGTATGAGCTTGCGCCGGCACGGGGATTGCTGGCCTGCCTAGCGCAGGCCGCTGGTCCAAGGCTGCCTCAAATAACCGAAGGTCAGGTACATGATGGTCACGGTATGTCAGACGCGACCCTTGCGTCAACCGACGTGTGTCCTGGGCATCAATCACGCCTCCTGTACACAACAGCTGGTAGTACAGGGCAAGTGTATACAATCCCGAGCTGATCGCCCTTTTTGAAAGTGATAAGGCCCATATGCCATACTTAGAACCTTGATAGTCTTAGCGATGCAGACTCAGTGATTGGTGTGTGGACAAGAGTTAGAAAGACAAGATCAAGACAATCAAATGTTTCGCTCGATTGTGACTATTACATAAGTAATAACTTAGAGTGACACGTCGATGACACCAGGTGATTCTAATTTCATGTGCAATGATTCAAATATTCATGGACGACTCATTGAGACCAGACGGTCCACTTCCACTGCAGTTTCAGTATGAATTTGCTGGCACCAAATCTCCACCGGAACGTTCTAACGTTGGTTGGCTGAAAAAAATTACGCCAACAATGAAGCAGTGAATTAACTTATGACCTATATATGGTCAAACGACAATGTCCATACGTTTCAAGATAAACGCCTCTCCGTGACCGTGATATGACACTCCGAAAGGACAACGGGAATGAAGCTGCCTCCCCAATTCTCCGTTCGTCGAGCCATGTATCTATGTTTGGCATGATTGTGGGCTTCGACAAGTCTCGCTAATACTGTAAGTGATGATCGCTGTTGCCATCAGTGTCGATTGATTTCAATGTGTCTGTTGTCTAGATTAGATAATATATGCTGGGGGTTGCATCCATCCGCAAGAAAAACTTTACAGTTATGAGAGGATAGCATTACCTGCCAGAATCAGCGCTTTAGTTGGATGTTCAACCACCTTGATTCAAGTTAGGCCTTATCTTCTCTCCAATTCATCGTTGATTTACTACGGTATCTTCAACCGCCACTGTCTTCATAGTAACGCTCCAAGCTTGTCACTGAGATAGACTTCAGAACAGGCATAATGAAGGTGGTCGTTGACTTCTGGTGATAATTTCCCATGCGGGCAGACCTGGGCAGACCCGTTCCATGTGATGGTGTTTCCATAAGAAGTCTAAATGACTTTGAACTTGAAGCTCGTGGGTATGTTCTGGACATCTCTGGAGAAGCACCCAAAGATAAACTTCTGGGGCAGCAACGAAGTTGAACTGAAGCGTGAATTCCTACCTTAATAGGGTTGCGATAGGGTGCTTCGGAGAAGTGTCTACTCGCCGATATTGCGCCGACATACGCTCGTTCGTACGATCCATTCAGCGAACTCTCTAATTTCAAGAGTGCAAGTTATGTGAGTTGACAATGGTGTGGCGGGCGTTTCATAATCCAGCTGAATGTACCTGAGCGATGCATTACAAGGAACGACTGTCTTCCTTCGATTGGTCTAGATAGGGGAGACTAGAAACTTCCGAGTGCGTGCGATGTCTGCGGTTGATGTCTGGACTGCAATGCCCCGAGCCCCAACATATGCTTCCGGGCATCCCAGAACACACTCAAATGAGAATCCAATTGAGAATTGTCCCCTGAACCTGTTCGGGACCTCTGCCTAGGGCGTTGCGGGAACAAATCATGGAGAGTAAGGAGCTTAACCACCGCATATCTTTGCCTGATGACGGAAAATCGGTGCTAGCATAACTAAGTTAGGCCGTCCGCTGAATCTTGCTAGGGCAAGAGAACCGAATGAGATTGTCATACAATGGCTTCAGACCAGATCATGGATCGCCGATGCTCTTCGCCAATGGAGTGGGAAGCACCGAAAATCCTTGACGAGAATAGTTGAACTCAATTGGAAATTGACAGACGGGAAGCTTCGATTGAAAGGCACGGGATCCGGTATTCGTGGGGCCCTGCATAGAGATAATTGATCCCAGCCAACTTCCACCAGGAGAACGCGGTAAGGACGAGATAGGACGAGATCCGGTAATTAAGTTAGACTTGGCACTGGTATAGCCCCTGATTATGTGGTGTGGTAGTGAAGTTTAGATGATAGCGTACCTGCAAAATATCTGCGATATTTTCAACGCAGTCATCAATTCGGTTGGAGGTGAGATGGCGGCCCGAATCATGATGGGGTCCGGGGTGACCTTAAAGTGTCTAGTGGGAAGCTGGTCGAAAAAGGGCACCTTGAATGAGCTTGCACGGGATTACTAAGATAGACTGCTGGAGACTGCTTATGTTGAAGGTCAGGCACATTATGACCAGCAGATGCGACACTTGCGTCAACCGACGTGTATCCTGGGCATTAATTGCGCACGCCTGCTATACACGATAGCGATAAATCCGTGGTACATGGCAAGTGTATGCAATTACGAGCTGATCGCCCATTCTGAAGGTGATAACGGTACAAAAACTCGTTGGTCTTGGCGACGCAGACTCGTGAGTCGGCGAACAGCATTAGGAATATAGAATTGGCGGTTCGAGCAAGAACGAGAGAAACAAGATCAAGACAGCGATCAAATTTCCCGTGGGAAATTTGCTGAATTATTTCATAAGCACGAGTCAGCCTCAACTTGGGACCAATGATTTCACCAACTACCGTTTACCAGGCACCTTCAAGCGCGCGGAGAGGCGCGGAGATTGCTGGAGATCGTGTCCAGTGCAACACCCAGATGACCTGGCAGGATTTGGCCCACTCCGAAGTTCGCTCGAAATTACGAATTGAAGAGTCCATTAAAAAGTCAAGTTAATATTGCTGGCATGGTTTCACATTGACAGTGTCACTGCTTTGCACCAAATCTGAACCGGAACGTTCCTATGATGGCCAAGCCACAGCGGTATTTCTCTCACTGGCTGGCTGAAAGATTTCGCGCTAACAACGAAGCAGTCAACCAGGGCGACCCTATACCACCTTCGAGAAGTCTTGTAAGTGATGCCGTTACCATAAGTATCGATTGATTCAATTGTCTAGATTAGATAATATACGCTGGATTATCTACTATCATCCAAAAATGCTTTAAAGAGAGGACACATTACTTCGCTCACCTGCCAAAGGTCGGGCTACAGTTGAACGTTCAACCACCCTGAACCTTATCTTCTCTCCAGTTCACCGCTGATAAACCTTCAGACTGAAGGAATACCCGGAAGGGAGAACCTAAAGAACCCTGATGAAACTATCCTCAGAGGCATAGCAACACTCCACCCTTGTCGTCAGATAAGCTTCATAATACGCATTATGAAGGTGGTTGTTGACTTCTTCATGATAGTGCTTCTGTAAGAAATTCAAAGGGCTTTGAAGATCATGCACATATTCTGGACTCATCTGTTGCGAAGCACCCGAAGATAAACTTCTGGGGCTGCAACTGAAGGGTGTAGTTGCTTGGATAAGGTTGCGATAGGGTGCTTCGGAGGAATACTCGCCGACATACGCTCGTTCGTATACATGACGGTCGTATAAGCTGCTGTTCAGATGGGCTCTCAGATATCAAGAGTACAAGTTCAGGTGTGATGTGATGGGCTGTTTGTCATAATTCAGCTGAATGTGCCAGAGCGATCATTGCATTGTAATGGTTGAATATTAGCTTTCCGAGGAACTTCCGAGTGTGTGCAACACAATGCCGATGTCGGTGGTACTTTTGGATATCTGGACTGCGATATTCAGCACACCTTTCACATCGGATTGGGCATGGAACGTGCCCGCGGGCGCAAGTAAGCCGTGATCGCTTTCTTGCATCATGTTCTGACGACATCGGCTGCCGCTGAACTGCGGGTTCGCTATTTTCCCCTTTGATGATAGTCAGCCATAAAGCCCCAAGCCTGGTTTATCCCATCTCCTTCTGGGCATGTATCGTCAAGAAAAGCTCAACTTTGTCCGGACCTCGCCTCGTTCATCTCAGGAATCTCATCGATCTCCCTCGCACTTACATTCGACGTCCAAGTTATTAGCGGGTCGCTCTCTGTATTCAATTTTTAGCTACCTCCCGCTTACCGGAGGAAACTCTGCACCAGTAATTTGGTCAGCCGAGCTGATGGAAAACCTCTCTGACGGAATGGAACCCATGACCCACCAGGCTGGAATCGACAACATCACTGCCATTTTGGTGCGGGACCCTCAGCCTACTGCGAGATTCCACTCGAGTGAGCAACTGAACCGAGTACTATTTCGTGTCTACGTCACTGAACCTGCAATATACCCCGCGTCCTCTGATAGATCATTCGAACCTATTTTTCCAAGGCTCCACTCATTTCGCTTGTATCCCGCATGACGTCAAAGGGATATAATAAGCGCGCTCGATATTCGAAGATGGTCCGCACTTTGTTAGCGAGGTTGAGAATGAACAAGTCGTCAAACACCCTGCGGCAATTGAGCGGTGGCCCGTGGTAATGTGGCGTGCCGACCACTTTATGCTATGTACGTCGCCCGTCCGCAAGTTCCTCATTCATTTCCCATAGCTACCGAACCCTGCGCGGCGAACAAATGGGAGAATGTTTTCCGAACTCGCTTCACAATACTCCGCCTATATACTGCTCTGGCGCAGGGCTGTCTTCTGTCAGCAGCTACCTTACTCGATCTACGCTCGATCTTGGCTCTTCAACATTCCTCGAATTTCTACATTGACCTCGAAGATGTTCCACCCGACATTGGGCCGAACTCTACCGTAATATGCGAGCGACCCGTGGCAAAATGAACGTGCCACCTAAACCTACCCCTTCATTACGCCCGACAAGCGATTATCTGAAACACGCGGCCATCGTTCTTCTCTTCGTAATGGAGCTTTCATTCTAGTATTCACTCGGCAATCGAAGTAGCGGTAGTAGCCTCATGTCTCACCATGCAGTGCACCCCATTCCGTTCTAGATTTATAACAGAGGTCCACTTCACCTTGGAACATCAGATCCGATCGGTCATATCAAATTTTAGTCATTTGTACAACAACTAGCGTCTCGATGCACGTCCATTCTGTACCATGGCAAATATCGACCATACCGTCAACACGAGGCTCACTGCATAAATACCCGGAGCGCCCGATTCTCGGAACTTCATCTTCAACATAACCACACCCACGTCTCATCGTTACATCTTTATCATCTTGGGATACTATGCTACAAGCATTCAAGATCAAAGAGTTCAATTTGGAACCCATCTACGAGTCTTGGGAGAACCCTCCCAAGTTTTACGGCGAGGCGAAGAATGACATGCCCGTCGACGACTTCCTGCATCAGATCAAAGTTGGCTGCGTCGATCGGAAGGTGCCAGAGGAGTACTGGCACAAAGTCGCACAACATTATATGGGAGAAAATGCGAAAGCCAGACTCCAGGAGCTCAAGAGCGTTATGGCGAAAGTAAATGGGGGCAAATATCGCTGGAGCTGGAAGAAGTTCACGATTGCAATGCGCAACATGGGGTGTACGTAAATATCTTCGTTGCATGCTCGTTGTTGCCTCACGGTTGATACAGGGGAGATCGATGTCAACGTTACAGAACCTGTTCATGTCCACGTTCAGCCAAAATCGTCAGCCATGATGTGGCTTACTAGAAGAAAATCCATAAAAGACAAAGATGGGTCGCGCAAAGAAGTGACTTCTTCCATGGTGGAAATTCCGCCGCCCCTGCCGCCCAAGCAAGGTCGGCCAAACACGGTAAAGATGCTTTCTGAGTCAGCGCTCGTCGCTGCTTCAGCTGTGGTCAAGCCTCGCAGGGCACCAAGCCGCGCGAACACCATGGCTTCTACCTTGACCACCTCCACGGTTTCATCGAACTATTCAGTTTCATCTAACCATTCGGGTACATCAAACCATACGGTGACCTCCAACAATGCGTTAACTAGCCATGCGTTAACTTCCAACAATGCGGTAATATCTCCTCCATCCCCTGACGGCAGTAAGTGACACGTGCCAGATCGTCTGAGTATACACTGAAACCCGTCGATTCAGCTGTCACAGCTATATCGAATGCACCAACATGGCTCCTCAACGCGTGTAACGCCCTCAATTTCCTGAGTGCGGAGCACCCACGAGCTATGACGACATTGAGTGCCGTCCTCATTACAGCAGGGACCCTCCCTGCAATCCCTGCGATCAGCGGAGGGACTGTCCTCGCTTCTGGTGTCGCTCAAGCAGTTGGCGCCATAGCTGTAGGCGTCGGAAACCTGCTCAAGGCTCAGCAGGAAGGTCAAATACAACCAACTGGCCCCGGCCCGCACCCACCACCCCCAACACGATCATCTACCTTCTGATGTTTAGTAGGTGGCGAGGAAGGACATTTTACTTATGGGTTCGGGAGCATTCCGTCTCGCTGGACGAGCTCGCGGACAAAAATCGCAATATTATGTATACCCTCGCATCATCACTTTACATACAATGCAGTCTACTGATATCAGACTTCGCGAAGCCGATACATAGTTATATCTGTGGGCTTTACGTCCCGAGGTATTACAGGGCGATGTTATACCTAGATCAAGGGGAAGTAATTAATATTGCTTGCGGAGTACTACCCTGAATGTCACCGAATTTTGGTGCCAACTAAATTGCTCTTCCACGATATTAATAGTGAACTGTAGCACGCTACGTCATTGTCAAGCATCGAGTTCCATCAAAGTAGACATCCTGAATGTCCAATTCTCTCGAGTGCAAAATAAAGGCCGAGTGACCCACAGTGCAACAAGTAAGGTAAGATGGAAGGTAATGTCACTGTCTCGTGTAGCCATAGTCGCCGCTCCAGTACGTAGTTTCCAATTATGTGCACGTCGTGCAGAAATAATGACGATCTATTTTGTCAGCGGTCATGGGCGTGGTGCTGAAGGATTTCGTAGCCATCTTCCTTCAAGATCTGGAACATCATCAACATGCTGGCCGTCAACGAACAGGCCGCCGTCAATATATGTATGATCCAACGGGATTCCTGCATCTCTGCATATCGCGAGGAAGTCCCTGGGTATAGGCGCCCCGATCCCCAGTCGGAAGTGCTTGCCGGATCCTGTCTTTCTGTACCTCTGAGCGCATATATATGAAGAAGTTCGTCAAACGTCAATGGCTATCCGCGGACTTACTGAGAGCGTCAGCTGCGCTGCGTGTAAGAATATCCTTTTTTCGGGCAGTCGGGTAATCTTTGCAATCTTCTCGGAAATGGCACTCCTCGCATATAAGTTATCACCCAGTATAGGCGCTATACCACATGAAATAGTTGAAAGACGTGGGAAGAATGATGACGCACTGTGCAAGGAATGTGACAAATGAATGCGAAGCTGGTGCTTCAATCCTGTGTGCAAAGTAAGCCTGAGCAATGACAGCGGTGCCACGGGCTATAGTATATTTGCGCGTTAATATTAGACCAGGAGTGGAAGGCGGACAATGAGACGCACAGAAGACGCGAGAAGTTCCCAATCAGTGGCAGCAAACTTGGCGGCACAGCTCTCGCCCAGAGACACGCGCCCATCACTAAATTCCAGGGCATCTCGAATCTCTCCACTGCGAGCTGGAAAAGACTTCTCTCCTCCACGGACGAGAGCCAAGTATGTTTTCCCTACTACTCGCGATTGAAATTGTTGCGAGAACTGCCGGGCAGCTGGAGAGCTACGTGCTAACAAGAGTGTCCCGGTGATAGCCTGACAACTAAGTCAGCCAGTGCTCATCGAACGGCATGAAAGTGAACACGCCTTATCAAGGCGATGGACAGGGTACGGCAGATTCTCCAAGTCAAAAGATTGTTTTACGTCTGTCAAATGAGCCGATAGATCGTGTCACGAATGTTAAACATACTAAGAAGGTTCCAGTACTCACCACGAAGTAGATCATTAAATTTGTCAAAGTCTCGAGGTTTCTGAATATTGTACCAGATGCTATAGTAACCTCATTTGCCTTCCAAAAATTGAATTCACCTACGTTTTCGGAGGAAGCTTCGGAGGCTTGGACAGATAAGTCCTGCGGGTTTGTTCAAGACGATAATACTGCGGTCGGCATAGATGGCATTTCTTGCCCAGTATGGTGTCCCCGTACGAGCAGATTTTAGGGCCTGCAACATTCAATATCGTGTTTATGAGAAGCGACCTGTACAAGAGTCACCTTGAACAGTTATTTGGTGTTGTTTGTCATTCAGAACATTCTGCTCAGAGTGCTCCGACGCCTGGCCAGCTAGTACTGTGACCTGCTCACACTAAATTATGTGTACCGGCAATTGTGAACATGAGCATGTGCAAAGGTGATTTATGGTTGACAACATTTGACGCCCTCAACTCAACCTCTGACCCTTCTCAAAACCCTTTTTATTAGCTCATTGACGTTTGGTGCGGTTTTACCAAAAGTGTAAAAAGCATGCTATTGAGAGGATGAGAGTGTGTCACGATAAGAAGCAAAGCTCCGGAAAATAAGTAGTCAGTATATTCTGAGGTACGAATAGAGCGAGCATCGATATCGTTTCATAAACGAACCTCGTTCTACAAAACCTCAGTGTGGTGATGAAACGTGCAGTTGCAGACCTAGCCTAGCTTTTAACCGGCGCACTCTTTCAGTAAGAAACTAAGTCTTCGGTTCAATCAAGAGCAGGGCGTTAATAGAATCATGGAAGGAATCTAAGAGCAGCTAGGGTACAGTCAACTGATCATCGACTCCGTTCACAGTATTTGTCAAGGTCTCGGACCTTGGCACAGGATTGTGGCTCAGGGGTATTAGGTTTGTCAGTATTTGTAGTGTTAGTCAGCAAGGTTGCCGGACTCGCCATTCGGCTACCACCACTCCCGTGTTGCTCCCGTGCAACTCCTCAACACGAGTCAAGATCAGGTTCAGGGCAGGAGACCACCATGGCATGAGCGTGGTGGTCGGACAAGTCGGATTGAACATCCACCGTTCTCTCGGGACCTGTTTAATCATACCATCGAGTCGCTAGTCTGAAACTCCCGTTGATGTTGGAGGAAATCTTCAAGAAGTCCGATTCATACGCGTTGGCATAAACTTGTGCCACTTGCGCCGTGAGTAATACTCATACCCATCCTCCGGAAGCTCCGAAACTATGTTGCTTACTCCGACAGACGGTCACATCGTGTTCGTACTTCACATTCCCCCGCGTTCAGGGGTACCCGCATGTTGATACTGTGACCAACCTTAACTAATTACGCGGCAGTAGTGATCTTGTGAAGCCTTAGTGAGCAAGAGACTAGAACTTCAGCTAACCAACTCACAGTGGCGCAATTTTCAGGTGCCTGAAGAGCACCAATCGTCCACGAGGTCGATAGTTACTCATGAGCGTTAGGCAAGTGACTCGATGGATTTCACCACTATATCCACTTTTTATATTACTCAGCACTAATGATAGTCACAGAAGACATCAGGGTGGAGAAACGCCTCTTATCACTGTGGGGCATTCATTCATTAATCGAGCGATTCTCAATCAGACAAACAACATCAGTTGCCACACCAGCGGCCACTGATGGTGCTCGTTAAACTCAAGAGGTGGTTAACGATCAAGTTCTAACTGCAACGAGATGATCAAGCTTGCACTTCGAGATAGCACGTTGTAGTTGTGGCGATTCAATCATCGTAAGGTCCGTCCACCAATCAACAGCGTTGATACGTACTGACACATCTAATCCTCCACTTATGATGGAGGTCCTTGTGGTAGCAGTTTTCTGGGAGATTGACAGGCGAGACTCTGAATAGATCTGCTTCACGATAACAATCCCTTCACGATATATGATGGATGTTTGCTTTGCGAAGGCAATATCCAATGAAGAAGAGCTGTCAATGGAAAGCTCAACTGCGACGTCAACCTGGGCACTAGTTCAACGTTGGGACGATTGCCGATGCCTCCAAAGGGTCGACATTGTTCTGCTCAGCCCTGTTCAAGTTGACCACATGTGACTGCTTGGGTGATCACGATAATACATCATGCACGCGTTAGGACGACTGCTCGCCCTGCGGTTCACCAATAATGTGTAAATGAATGAATCAAGAGTCAGCACATAGATATATGTATAATAAAAAGATTTTAGGAAGGGCTGGCCCCCTAGTGCGCTTGACAGAAGTTATATAAAAAGGAGCGGGATAATAACGATAGCTATTCTGCATGAATAGTCACCTCAATTTCTGTGTGGAACAATGGTATATCGGCTGGGAGGTAAAACTGGACAGAAGGGACAGGCGACTAGTGTGTTGAAGGTATGATACGAAATACTGATCTGATAGAAAGTATGTGAAGTCGAAATCTGGTGCTCAACCCATCACCGCCCTCCATTTGACGAAGATGCTCCGGGGGTGACCTAACAATTCGGGAAGATCCCATCGGTGCCTAGAGACAGTAGTATTCAAAACGTGCAGTCATCCATCACATCAACAATGAACTTACCAGGATAATACCAAAACGTTACAGCCAAAATCAAATACAAGCCTACAGAGTGCCTTGAGTGCGAAGCACCCCATAGATTGCCACAGAAACTTACACATGAGGATCATTCCTTCCAACCAATTTGACCTGCCGTCCTGTACGACATAATTTACAGTGAGAACTATTTTTTCTTCCGATTAGTACGTTATTCAATGTCAACAAGCTTGAAGAGACGCACCGGAAAGGAACAACACGACAGACTCCAGCGGGTCAAAGAGAAGCGTCAATGGCTTGTTCATAATCCAGCCAAGTGTCACGATGAAGCTGAAACCATCCAAGTAAATCAAATGTAAAAGGGGATACAAGCCAACGACGCACGGAATTACAAAGAGTGCAATTTGCTGAGAATAGTGAGTGAGTCATCATAAAAGCCAGGTCTGCGGGAGTGAACTCACAATACTCGAGCCCACAGCAACGCCCAAGCTTAGAGTTATTTTATCCTTGACGGATACCGTAACTGCAGTGACGTGTTCCGCTGCATTACCGACGATTGGGAGTAAAATAACACCAACAAACTCCTTGCTGATCGATCCCGAGGCAGTCAAACCATCGATTGAGTCAACGAGGAACTCCGCAGTGACAGCGACCAACTAAGGCGAAAATTCGAGAACTTCGCATCACTATCACAGCAAGCACGTACCACCGTTACACCAACCAAAAGCCAGAGGCATACGGCGAGGCTCATCAGTGGTTGCTCAGAAGCTTCGGTCTCTGAGGATGCTGTAGAATGACTCCCAGGTTCCACATCGGGGATAGGTTCTGAGCGGGATAAACGTGAGGTTGTGGCTGCCTCTCTCTCATGTATCGAATTCGGCGAAGATACTGTTTGGCCTTCCGTGATATTCTTATGATTGCGTATCCTGCTTAACCGGAATGGATTCTCGCCCGGCTTGTAGCCCCTGGTCGGTTGCATATCTTGATTGTTGTCATCGTAAAGGGCTTTGTGCGAAAATAACTGGAAAACCAGATAAGAGGCGTAGACTGGATAATTGAAAAGGGGTGGGTCAACTTCCGAAAAGAATCATCTTGTTGACCTACTGAAAAGGAGAATAATTGCAACCTGTATGAACAGCATAAGTCCAAATACATCACGAGTACTAGTTCACGCACGCCATGGCTAGTTTTTAATATGTTGTAGTCGGTCGACGATTCATTGTATTGTGGTTGTCCCTGCAGTGCCATGTGAAAGGCCCCAGGTAATAGAACAGCAATGACGCTAATGGTGAGTAATGACGAATTAAGTTGCACGGCACCTAAGCCATAGGCGTAAGTATCAACAGTCTGGACCAACTTAGAGCAAACAAGTGAGTACTTTGACCAAATCCCTGTTCCGAGAAGCGGAGGCCACCGGCAAAGAAACACATGCCCAGTACCAGTACTACGGGGGACATCAATTCGTTTCGTTACTGTAAGCTTAGACACTTACAGAGATTGCTCAGGATGGAGCCTACCACTGTAGGAAAATAACATGGTGTCTATGGTCAAAGGAAGCTGTAAAAGAGTGAAAACTATTAGGACGTACAGGATGATTGAACGATTGTAAGCTGACACTTCGCGAGCGCAATGATCTAGAAAGGATCAATTAGTCATCCTATAAGCTGCCGGAGACTGGGGCGACATACCGATACGATGAGCTCGACGCTGCACGCAAAAGACAGTATAAGAAAAGATTAACTAAACGATATTTTTACTGACGCATTTCCCTACAGGCCGTCAAATTTCAGTGGGATAAAGACCGATAAATGAACCACTAACTAATGTGGCGTTGAGAAGACCAGCTAGAGTTTGACCGACTCGTAGTGAAAGCTCGTCAGTCGCAAAGGCGAGAAGCTGCGTGCACGTCAAATCTGAACAAGCGCGGGAAGTGAATTTATTTTACCTTGGCTAGCGGTATGATAGCCAGAAATGTAACTGAAGCGAGCTGTAAGGTAGGTTGCAATGAAGGTCCGATTCGTGTACTTACAAATAAATATAAGAGTGTGCTGATCGGGTAGAGCGAAGTTGATGGTCCACTTTCCGTTACAATACGTTAGATGGTCCAAGCTAAGACAGAAGGCAACATACAGATATCGGGATAAAAACCAGTAAGACATTTAACCCTAGAAAACAAAATCAACACTGCCCATGGATCACAAGAAATTCATTTTACATGAAGCAAGAATGATTGCTCTAATGCTTCTCCACACATTGGGGGCTTTGGCTACCGGTTTCTCCGGCTGTACCATCAAAGTTGCAGCTCTTCGGAGAGTCAACAAGAAAGGACTGTTCTGAGGTTTGCTACTTGCAACACTTATGCGTGGTGGGTTGACAGAGTCGGACGGTCTTTGGGTGAGCGGAAAACTTTCCTCTGCAATGTTGGGCGCGCGAACGCTACTTGAAGTCGAATGAGCCATTTCCGAAGGCCCATCCCGTAGTGAATCTGTACCAATGGTGTAAGTAGGATGAGCAATATTTACACCTATGGTTACTTCTAAACGTACCCATAGTAACACAGCAGTGGTCGGAGGGCAGTTGAAATGCTGCTTGGGCGTTATTTGGAAGAACCTTTAACTGCCATTGTGCCAAGAACTTCATGTTCCAAACAGCCTTTCTGGAAATTACGTTGTAAGCTACAGCCGAAGATCGATCAGCCTATCTGGCAGTGATCTAATTGAGGTTTCGGCAAATACCACTCTCGGTTATGCTACACAAGCCACATCCGAGACAGTTGATGACGGTAATTGTACTGTAAGTTGTGATTTTCTCTGTGCACAGCCGAAGTCTCATTGCACAATAGCTGCATCGTGCAACCTGCCAAATGCTAAGCATATCAAGGTTTATCAGCATACTTAACTGTCCCCTTCAGCCCAGTATTTACTTATGGATGTCTCCAATTTGCACCCACGGGTGAGGTCAAATACAGATAAGGTACGCGAAAGCCTTGGTTAACAGCCCCGCAGTTTCCCGCAGTGGTATTAACATCGAGACTCAAGACTCGAGAGCAAAGTAGACACGCCCTGCAACAGATTACAGTGCAGTGTCCAAGCAGCTCGGAGATGTAAGACTGCCGGCATGCGGCAGTTAAAGCACCTCGAGGTGGCCCATTGTTCTGGCTCCAAGTAACTTTCCGCCTTCCAGCTCGTGCCTAGTCGAATGGCAAGCACCGACGCACCTCAACTTGGCATCAACACGTTCCTTTGAACTTTTTGTCAAGTCGATTTTTTTGTCCATTTGGGGTGTATACCCTATGTAAGACACAGGCCTCCTTGAACTTGACGATGACGTCCAAACCTGATAGCAGAGTCGTCAGTGCGGGAACCTTGTGGTAAGTAAGCTGGGGAGATCGAGTCTAAGGAAGGGCGTAGGACGAAACAGGGTTCGGATCATGTAGTTTTTCGGACCGCAAGGTGGCCATGGTGGCCTATCATCACCATGGGTGATATTTATAATTGGTGCTGATGACATCCATGAGTGGCGTTCGATGTCAAACGCTGAATGAACGACGGGTTTATTGAATGAGCAAGAATTTTAAATTGGCGAGACTATTTAGCGCACTCTCGCGTATTGCCCACCGCCGTTTCTTGCTACTCACCCCGCCCACGCCTTGTTTATATCCAGCGTTTTGGTCGTATGAGTGATTTTGCATTATACGCCGCTGGTGAACCGGGCCCTCTACTTGTTGAGTGAACAAGTATCAAACGAGTACTCTCCCAGCAGAAGCTCGTCCAAACTTCCGGCAGGCACAGAGGCTACTAGGGCAACAGGGCAAGACGATCTACTAGCATTGATGTCTGTGTGGTGCTCAAATGAAAGAGATGTGATCGGCCCGTGTTGCGAAGTTATATTTACCTTGAGCTTAGATTCAGTCCCCGAAGAGAGCAGTCTACCAGCAGGCAGATAACGCGGGTACTGGCAAGGATGAAAATAGCAATGAAGGTGATCCTTTTGACAAAAGGCTAGTCAGAAACACGCACCGTGGGTACTACCTGGTCTGAGCTTCCATACAAGACGTTCCAACCATGAAATACGGAAACGCAAACACTCGTCGCGACGGGCGTGTCACCAGAGATGTCTATCCCATACCAGCCTATACCTCCACAACTTGCCCGGGTAGGAAATCGAGCCAGAGCGGCGACGCAATTGAAACAAACAATGTCATCGCTGATGGATTATCCGAATCGCACAGTCGGGCTGGTATCGCCATCGGACAAGTCGTCATCCAAGCTAGGATTCACGCACCAATCGGTATTCAGACATTGGTAGCCCGTACATCGTAAGACGAGCCTCCAGCGGATTGGGTGTGCAGGTCCGTCAACCGGATCATTAGGCGCAATGTTCAGAAAAACTGGGTCTCCACCCAGCTCCAGAGCCAACGAGCACAGTGTGACTTAGCGATGCCAGGCGACGCTGCTCCAAGCATTTGACGATGATGATTGCCTCGTACCTGCGTGATGACGTCGTGAACCACAGATCCCGGCCGCGGTACGTAGAAACTAGGCTGCTTGTAGTAATCGTCAAGCTGAACGGGCTTGACGGATAAACGTTTAGAAGGAGACCAGTGGCTTGGCAGTGACTCTATTGCGTCAGCATCGGCTTACAAAATTGGTCGATTCCATCCCTTGTCTTGCTATATAATCTTACAAAAAATCACCTCCATCCCCGCTAACCTATCTCTTAGAATGACCTCAGAATCTAATTCAAATGACGCAGTCGCTGTTTCCTTGCCAAACAGAGAAGGAAACACGAGACTAAGCCACCGGTATGGCCTCTGGACGCTAGCGGAACCATTACTCCACCATTACCCGCGAAATGTGACAGAAACGATCGTCAGGACGGCGTCTGTTGCAAAGAATTGAAAGACGAGGATGATCGCACGCTCGTTGATCCTGATGTTGTCCGCGATGTGTGAGCAATTGTCTTGATCTAATCACGTCGTACGGGACATTGAGATACTTCACAGTGTCATCGGACTTTCTGACGGTTTAACAGTCCCATTTGCTCTGGCAGCAGGTCTATCATCTTTGGGCACCTCAAGATTAGTTGTCGTTGGTGGAGTAGCCGAACTCATTGCTGGTGCTCTCTCTATGGGCATCGGCGGCTTCCTAGCATCTCAGTCAGAGCGCGATCATTACCATTTTTCGCGACGTCAAATATCAACACGGGTGCAGCGGAGCTGCGTTGGAGAATTAGAGAGGGAAGTATGCGCCGTACTTGGCCCTCTCGGTGTCGACGAGCAGACATGCCAGGCAGTCACCAAGTGCCTCAGAGATGTGGAATATAACCCAGAAGTCGGTGCAAGCGGTTCGTCGTCAGACGAAGAATCGCAGTCGCTGAGATGGAATAACCAAGTCGGTCTGACGCCGTTTTTGCTCAGATTTGGAGAGGGGATGGGTCTGTATTGTTCTACTCCAATAAATATTGTTCGTGCTCATAGTTTTTTAAGAGGAAATCTCGAAGCGTCGAGTATACATTTCGGCGCTGACAATTGGCCTCGGGTACTTGGTTGGCGGAATCATCCCCCTTATTCCATACTTCTTTGTTCCGGAAGCACATGTGGCACTCGTATACTCCTGTGTCATCACAGGCATCGTCCTATTGATATTCGGAGCCGTGAAAGCTCGTGTTACGGGTGCTGGGGGAGATGCTAGAGGCTACATATGGGGAGCAGTCAGCACTCTGTTTGTCGGTGGTACCGCTGCAGCAGCAGCTTACGGTCTTGTTGCATTGCTGGAAGCTTCGTAGGCGCTTAGTATCAACTTAGTATGTACAATTTATTATTATTTTGACGCTTCATTTGCACGTGCCACGAACAGTACTGGTGTTGTTTGGCAACACCGTCTGAAATCAATAACGTCACGTGGCTGACAACATGACAGCACATCTTAAATCTTTCCGAGATCTAAGTGTTGATCTTGATCACCACAAAAATTTAACCGCAGTGCTCAAAGCTATGGAGGCTTACGAAACTTACCAGACACCTCTTTCCAGGTATTTCACTCTTCACTGTTTCAATCTCCGTCCTCATTCTCCCCTGTGATAGCCGATATGCGAGCAAGGAAATGGCTCATCTCTTCTCCCCGGCAGTATGTGATCACATCGTCTATCGTATTTCCTGCTTAACCCTATGACAAGCATCGGTTCAAAACATGGAGAGAACTATGGCTCAATCTTGCGATTGCTGAGAAGCAGCTCGGGCTTCCTGTCCCAGAAGAGGCAATCGAACAGATGAAGAGCAATTTAGTGAGTGAATAGTGTTGCACTGTTACATATCTCATTTCAATGCGGCCAGGAACTTACTCCAGAGCAATTTGATATCGCTGCGAAGGAGGAAAAGAAGCGTCGCCATGATGTTATGGCGCATGTTCATACGTTCGGACAAGTTGCACCTGCCGCCGCAGGTATCATCCAGCAAGTCTTGTCACTACCCCTTCTGGCCCTATTTTATTGATCCTATGCTCATTTCAGCCTCGGTGCAACGTCGTGCTATGTGACAGAGTGAGCGTCGGGATTTCATATCCGCTATGACTCAGGCTTACACTTGATTCAGTAATGCGGACTTGATCTTCATCCGCACTGGTTTAACTTATCTCCTGAAATCGCTTGCCGTCGTAATCTCACGACTCTCGGCTTTTGCTGCACAGTACAGGGCACTGCCCACGCTTGGATTCACGCACTTCCAACCAGCCCAGCTTACAACTGTGGGCAAACGCGCTACTCTGTGGATCCAGGTGCAAGGTCTAATATATTAACCTCCTGTGCGGAACTCAACACGTATTAAACAACGCAGGAGCTTTTATGGGATTTGAGAAACATTAAACGGGCACGTGACGACATCGGTTTTCGTGGGGTCAAAGGCACGACGGGAACACAGGCGAGCTTCCTCACCTTGTTTGACGGCGACCACGACAAGGTCGAAGAGCTGGACGAACTCGTGACAAGACTCAGCGGGTTCACCTATGCGTATCCTGTTACCTCGCAGACATATTCGAGGAAAATAGATATTGACGTTCTTGCCCCACTGGCATCGCTCGGTGCCACAGCGCACAAGATCGCGACGGATCTGCGGTTGCTAGCGAACCTCAAGGTGGTCTTCTATCAATGCTGATGCGAATTTGAGCGTGATTGACGGTTATCTGGCAGGAAGTCGAAGAGCCTTTCGAGTCAACGCAGATAGGGTCTTCCGCAATGGCGTACAAGCGGAACCCGATGCGCTCCGAGCGCGTGTGCAGTCTCGCAAGGCATTTGATGGTCCTCCACCAAAATGCACTTATGACCTCCAGTGTCCAGTGGTTTGAACGGACGCTCGATGATAGGTAGCCCCTGATCATACAGCGGTTTGCGGACTGCATGCTAACATGACGATGGACAGTGCAAACCGAAGGATTACTCTTCCTGAAGCATTCTTGACGGCTGATATAGTTCTATCAACGCTACAGAACGTCTGCGAGGGCCTTGTGGTGTACCCAAGGGTTATCGCGCGTCGGATTGGACAAGAACTTCCGTTCATGGCGACTGAAAATATTATTATGTCTATCGTCAAGAAGGGAGGCGATAGGCAAGAAGCTCATGAGAAAATTAGAGTAAATGACCCCCGCACGTCATAATGTGGCAACCGTACTAATCCTTTCGTGATGCAGGTCCTCTCCCACGAAGCGGCGCACCAAGTGAAGCACCTCGGTCTCGAGAACGATCTCATCGAACGTGTGCGAAACGACCCATATTTTAGTCCTATTCACGGGGAACTGGAGCAACTGCTGGACCCTCAAACGTTTATCGGGCGCGCACCAGAGCAGGTGGACAAGTTCCTGAAGGAGTGGGTTGAACCTGCATTAGATGAGGATGAGCTGAAAGAGGCAGTCGCAGACGGTGGTAAGGTGGAGTTGAGTGTTTGATGAGACTTTTGAGAAGTTTCATACGGGGAGCGGTGGCCATGTTGATGCCAACTATTAAGAAGTCAAGAATGCGAAATGCATATCGCTCAACAGATCTAATGATGTTTTTGACTCTCATGACCGTCATTCCTAAACATGCCGAGATTCCGGTGCGGTGTTGGAAAATTTAAATAACCGCTAACCGGGAGACTGCAGTAGTAAAGGTGTCCTCGGTTCATTGCCCAGTTGTCCGTTTTTCCGCTGTTTTCAAACAGTGCAAAAGTATTAGCAGAATACCCCAGATCGCAGCGGACGGTAAGCAATTTGTTCAATTACCTATCAGTTTTTTTTTCTACCGATGGAGAATTGTCGATTAACGGAATGCCAGGTGTGCCATCATCTCCCACGCCGTCGCGCGTGGTCTTCTCATTTCAAGCCTTCGAAATCAACATTCTTTGCATCTATCCCCCATCCTGCCATCCTCCGTACCTGCTGGCAAAAAGTAAAGATCTGAGCCGCAGTACATACTATCAGAAGCGGGAATAGGAAGAGCTTGTAAGTCTTCATCTTTTACCTTTTTAGTTATGTTCGGGCAGTCCAGCAAACTCCACGCAGCAGCGTTGTTTTTATAAACTACTTTCGGGTCGAACTACTTAACCGGAAAACAAAGTCTAACTATTAACTTCACCAGTTTTCTCCCTCGCTCGTATGGACAGTCTTCAAATTCCGGACAACTCCTACGCCGGTCCTTCTCGGCACCATGGCGCTTCGCGTCCTGTGTCGGTGTCTGTGCAGCCATCAACTGTATCCACGTCACAGTCTACGTCTCGGAGACAAAGGGCGTCCCACCAAGTAGTCTCTTCGCAGCAGCAGCTACAGCAGCAGGCCGAAGACCAACCTGCTTATCGTGACGTTTATTCGCACCCAGCTGCTGTGGCCTATAATGCTGCCCACCCAAGACGTACGATTCCCAAGTTTGGGCCCTATCTCTTACTTCAAACTGTGGGCGAAGGAGAGTTTGGGAAGGTGAAGCTCGGGCTACACAGTCAATGGGGAGAAGAAGTCGCTGTCAAGCTGATACGGCGAGGCAACATTGACACATCTGTGCGGATGTCCAAGGTGGAGCGTGAGATCGAGGTCCTTCGGGTAAGAGCATCCAAGCACTCAGATTAAAGCCATGATGCCGATACACGTCCATCCACAGACCCTTAAACACCCCAATATTGTTCGCTTATACGACGTGATTGAAACGGACAAATATATCGGCATAATCCTCGAGTACGCCTCTGGCGGCGAGCTCTTTGATCATATTTTAGCGCATCGGTATTTGAAAGAGAAAGATGCTGCCAAGCTCTTTTCCCAGCTAATTTCGGGCGTCTGGTACATCCACCAAAAGAAGATCGTTCACCGCGACCTCAAGCTTGAAAATTTACTTCTCGATCGTCACCGTAATGTCATTATCACTGATTTTGGATTCGCCAATCGCTTCGAGCATCGTCCAGACGACCTCATGCAGACGAGCTGTGGTTCACCATGTTATGCTGCTCCAGAGCTGGTGATCTCAGAAGGGCTCTATGTTGGTTCTGCCGTCGATATTTGGTCCTGTGGCGTTATATTATATGCCATGCTCGCAGGATATCTTCCTTTTGACGATGACCCTGCGAACCCTGACGGCGATAACATTAATTTGTTATACAAATACATTGTCAACACACCCCTTTCTTTTCCCGACTATGTCTCCACGGAAGCCAGAAATCTGCTCTCGATGATGCTGGTGCCTGATCCCACACGGCGTGCTGATCTGCGGTCCATCATGGCACATCCGTGGCTATCAGCATACTCATACCAATTCCAGAAGACCGTGGATGATCTTGAGCACGTCGCAATGGAGCAGCACCAGCAGAGGAGACTGGCGTACCAAAGGCAGATGAGGCAAGCAGCCGCCGCAGCAACAGCCAAAGATTCTGCGAAGGTGTCCCGGACGCAGAGCGCACGAGTTGAAGGCATCTTAAACAGCGCTAGCACCTCAGGGTCACCGCCAAGGAGCCATTCCTATAGAGATCAGCCTTCTGGCCAGCCAGAGTTAATCTACGACAGTTCAGTAGATCAGTCCATCTATTCCTCGTCTTCTCCCGCCAATCCTGTTCCCACTTCGCGTAAAGGGGCAGTTTCTGCCATCGTTATGCCGACAACCGTACAATCATCCAATGATGATCCCTTCGCATTGTCTTCGCACGCCGTTCATACCCCTGTTACTATATCCAAGGCTGATAACACCTCATCGGCCGGGAGAAGCAGTCGAGAAGGCAGCTCTCAAGGTGCCCCATCTTCGCGCAACGGTCCTCCGCCATCCGCTTTACCTCAACCAGATGCTACAAAGAAGAAAGCTACCATTGATAGACATACAATCCAGGTGGAGTATACCGACCAGACCCCGGAGCTCGCTCCAAACTTCAGCCAGTCTATCACCAAGAAGGGCAGCGCAGGCACCTCAGATCGCATCTTCTCCGCCCAAAATATCAGTTCTCCTGCAAAGGAAAAGCCCAGCCGCGACTCTTCTTTCAGCACAAACCCACGGCCACTTCCTGCCCCTCCTGCAACCAGCACTCCTTCACGATCCCAAGCACCTCAACATTCTTCCTCGACCTTGCGTGCTGCGCAAAATCGGACGCCTACCGTCTCTGTTTCTCCAGCAAGTCCCTCTATGTCTACGGAAGAAAAATCGTTTCAGTCTGTCAAGACAGGCAATGGTACCAATTCAAGCGGCTCTGGTTCCAGTCGCCACCGAAAAGGTCTCTCTATTGACAAGTTCGGTTTGGGCAAGATTTTCGGTACGAATAGCGAGCAAGCTGCGACCAATGGATCCACGTCCCGCGTGCCATCGGAGAGCTCTGCTGCCGGGGCCTCCTTTATTGTGGAGGAGAGGAGGGGCTCAGCGCAGAACAGCGTCAGCGATGTTCCAGTCTCACAATCCAAGTCTTCGCTTCTCAGTCCAGGGGGATCCAACAGCATCACTGATGCCGAGTCGAGCAAGAAGAACCGGCGGAACACTCTCACCGTTATGGTCGAGCCCTTCAGCCGCTCGATCAAATCGCGCTCGAAGAAGACGCCTACTGGGGAAACGCCGGTCAAGGAAAACGACAAGAGCGTTCCTCCCTCTGCTATCGCCTCACCCCAGAAGCAAACCGCTGTATTCCCCACCCTGGGCAAGATGCAAGATGAACTACACTCTGGCATGGATATGGCGGCTTCGACGACGAAAGCCCGGAACGTTATGCAATGGTTCAGGAGGAAGAGCACCGCCAAGGCTTTACCAGACGATTCCGCCGAAATGTCTGCCTCTCGAAGGTCAGATTATCCTTCGCCAACTCCCGGCTCGAGAGTGGACACCAGAAATGCGGGGTCACCCCGATCACCTGCTACGCAAGACGTGTCCTTCTCGTTCAGCAAAGCTGGACGCATTTTCTCATCTTCGTCCCCGCCGAAAGATGTCTTGCGTATCCACCATGGCGCTGTTGATCAGACCACTATCACGACCAGGCCTCCTCCTGAAGTTATCAAACACGTATGCCAGGTGCTTGAGGGGATGGGCATTGAACTGAAACAGGAGAGCGAATACAAATACCGTTGTGTGCGGACGAAGAGGAAGAAGAGTGGTGCCATTGGCTTGGGATTCAGTGGAAGCGGTAATGGGTTGGCTGCATTCACGATGGTTGGATCTGCAGCGTCCAATGGAGTAAGTTTCACCGGTCGATGCTGCTGGTCCTTCTAATTTCAATGACCAGGTTGACAAGCGTGGACTACCTGTGCCGTCGAACTCCTCGTCGGCGGGAGGGATGCTGAAAGGCTTGCTTATGCGCCGACAGTCGTCCCAGGTATCTGGCGTAGCGCCGTCACAGGCGTCGATGGACGATGACAATGGCGGCATGACTTCATCGCCAGTTGACTCGTCGCCATCGGGCACTCATGAGACAGTTTATGGTGACACTAGCCAGGACGCAGGGGATGAAGTTCGCTTCTCAATCGAGTTGACACGGATAGATCGTTTGAAAGACACGTACAGCCTTGACATCCGTCGCTTGAAAGGTAATCTTAGGAGCTACAAGTTCTTATATGACACCATCAGAGAGTACGTCGCGCCGCGTTCATTGTCTTTTGGAGTTTCACTAATCTCGATTACAGGCGTGCCGATTTACAACGATAATTTGAGGGCTGGAACCCTAAAGTCATCGACACGCATCCATGCCCACTACTCGCTGCCTATACCCTACTCGTGCTGTAATCTTTCTCGTTCTGCCTCAATACTTCATGTCCCGTGTCTCATGGTCCTTGCGTCGCTTTCTGGTCTAGTTTTCATTCCACTTGTGTTCATCGCTATCATAGCTCCTTGGTTTCTACGTAAAGTTTCATCATCGCACCTTCTGAGCATTCACTCAACATCATAAGGTTTCTTTTTCTTCCTTTATTTCTTCCTGGTCTTTTTCTTAGTTATAATTTGGCAAAATTTCCATTCAAGTTTATGCTGTACCATATGCGCCACTCGGACCAATCCCCTGATTTACCCTCAAGGAATGGATAATGTACATAATTCATGCGCCATACAATGTTAAGTTATCATCGACATCATTGTCGATTCTTCAAATTCCTCCAGCGCTTCATCGACTTCTCCCTCTTCGGTAGGCGTAAATGAACGACTGGTGAATCACATATTTAGGGGTCGGGATGAGTGTGACGAGACGGTTACAGGCGAATGGAGTGCGGAGTCTGGCGTTGACTCTCTACTCGTCGCATAGGTCAGCACCGGGTACGCTGACATGCTAAGGAAGTGCAATCGAGCAGTGGCTGGATCGGTCTCCACGCTTGCATACACGGGAGTCAGGGGAGACGGAAACCCGAAACTAGACGATACGCCGGAACCCAACGGCGAATAAGGTGATGCTGGGGGAGACGGTTCGCCCCAGTAGTACTCTCTTCCTCTGTTTGTCTCCTCGGTCTCCACACTTGCATACATGGGAGTCAGGGGAGATGGGAACCCGAGACTGGGTGACACGCCGGAACCCAGTGGCGAATAAGGTGACATTGGGGAAGACAGTTCGCCCCAGTAGTACTCTCTCCGGCTGTTTGTGTCCTCCCCGGTCAGCAGAGCCGGATCGATCTGGTTGTTTTGTAATACATGCTGAGTGCGAACTGGGCTTGTTAGTTGAAGCCGCTGAAGTTCAGGAGGAAGCGAGTCTGAGATGTTCTCGGGCCACAGAGCGTTCAACTTGTACTGGTCATCATTTGTGTTGTCCAGGTACGCGTCTGCAAAAGACGGGAGGTCACCTCGTTTCGCACCGGAACGCGAGGAATGAGTGCATATACTCGGGATGTCCAAAGTCAGGGGAGGCAAGCCCCGCTTGTGCGAAAAGCTGACGAGCATTTGTGAGTCACTGAGGTCTTGCGGTTAGAAGTTGAACAAGGAATGCTGGGGGTGCAACGACAAATGAAAGGGAGTCTTGGAAGTTCAAGACGGTGAAGATGGGTGGAAAGCCCTTTGTAGGGTCCCGGGAAAGAGCCACATCCACAATTTGGTCAAGTGGCATTGTGGACTGATGATGGTGAAGCACCAGCCTTTATTGTCAGCGGAATTTGATCAAGAAAGCGATTCTTCAACTTGCTTTAGTTCCTTCAGCTTGTTCTTCTCCTGGACCTCCTAATTTGAAGGTACAGGTAAGACACGCTTTGACAAACTGCAGTAAGCTCTTTCAGGACCCATGACGATAGCGTAGATTCTGTCCCGACCGCCGTGGTTGGAATCTTCCGAGTCATGACAGTAACGAAAGAGTTGCTTGCTTGACAGACCCAGCGAACAGAGACTCAGTAAAACTGTGGTGCCCCATTAGTTCGGTTATGTGATACGGAGCGACTTGGTTATAACAACGAATCTGCTTACATAAGGTTGACCTACTGGCAGCTGGAAGTAGTGTTGCCGCCGAGGCGAATCGAATCAAAACAAATCGAGGTGGAAAATTGTGAGGGCATGTAAGGTGCATGGGTAGAATCTACGTAGAATCTACCGTGGACTCGCGTAGAAAATTGGTAGACTCAGTTCGGATAACTCCGCAGAATCTACCGCAGTCTACCGCAGTCTGCCGCAGTCTACCGCAGTCTACGCGAGTCTACGTAGAACGACCAAACAACATTATTAGCAACATATATCCTCATCCTCATCACCATCATCGACGTCCCTCTGATCCCCTTCCTCATCATCATTGACGTCCCTCTGATCCCCTTCATGACGGACATCCGTCAGTTGCTTGCGTCCTTGGATGCGTCTGATCTCACTTTCTCCGACCTCACGGCCTTCGTTCGGCTTGCATGCATGGCGAAACCATTCATTCACCAGTGCATGACCGACATCTGCCATCCACCCACCCACCCTCCAGAAGTCGTTATACTCCTTCTTGCTGGCGCACTTGGCCAAGACCGACCCACTATCCTTGCATGCTGGGTAGCATTGCATCAGGTTATTTGGACTCATGGTACAGTACTCCCAACTGACAAGGAGATTGAGGCTTTTAATTGTCATGGACTTATGCGTGGTATTGGTGCGTTGCTGTTCATTGTTTTGCTTCCTTCACTGACATGTTTGAACCTCATAGGATATCACGACTTGTATCCGCCGACACGTGTATGCCAGAGTCCTGAGTGCACGAACTACCGTGATGGCGATGAAGTAGCCACTCTCATGGATGTCAATAAATTTCGGGCTAGCCTCTTTACGCTACGAGATGGCTCCCTCCCGGTCCATTCGGTATCAACATATTGTCGTCGTATGTTCGTTATCTTCCAGTAACGCCTACTGACCACTTCACCCAGAATGCCACACCAGATACTACCCCAACTATTGGATTCACAATGCCGACTCAACACGCATGTACTATGCTGGTGTTCCCGGCGTCATTCAAGCCGCAAGGCATTTCTATATTGAAGCTGCGCTGTTGGAATTATTTGCAGCAACAAAAGTCTTCGGATGGTACGTGGCAAATTCTCGTCTTTCTCTGATGTAACCTTTTGTTTCAGGATGTCTAGTATGAACTGCGCTCGTGTGTACAACTACGCACTTGCTCAACGGCACGCCTACATGTTGAACAATAGGCGTGCTTTTGACGCTACACTTTCGCAAGCTTTCGATGAGGAATTTTCATGGCAGTATACCCTTCGAATGTGCGACACTGACGTCCTGAACGGTTTTTTTTATCTACTCACTGCTACTGGAGAAGGCAGAGCATAACAGTTGCCTCGTTCTTCCCCACGATGAGCAACAACAGACCCGAATTGACATTGCGCTGAGTGAGCGCAACAAAGAAATGGAAGGTATTGGGCAGGAAGCATACCCGCATGCCTGTGACTTATGCTTCATCGTCATTGGTGACGACCCAAAAAGTAAGTCAATCATTTGTTAAGCGCAAGGCGTCATACTCAGATTGATTCCACGCCGCAGCAAAGATCCAAGCAGCTGTTTGTGATGGTAATACTATCAGGCACCCTTGTTGCGCAGTGCACGACTGCAAAGTCCCGCTTATGACCAACCGTCATCGCTTCTGTCCAGACCATCAAGACTTGAACCAGCGGTGCGCGGTCGATGGCTGTGATGAGCTCCATACCACTGGATCTCGAACATGCGGCAATGTGGACCACCAGGCTCTTGAAGACACCTACTTCAAGCCTGCAAAAGCTCTCTTCCAGCTGCGAGCGCGGCTCAAGAGGGCTGGCATTACATTGCCCTTGGACTCTGTTCCTTCAGCCTCTGATAGTGGTGGTAGTAACTCTAACAGCGCAGACAAAGATCTCGAGGTGATCCTTGACTCTGAGTGTGACGGTAAGCCGGAGAACAGCAACAGACACCTCAGAGCAAGGTTTGGTCGACGCCGAACCCATAATGAGCAGCTTATCATGCGGCCTTGTGGGGTGATATTAGTGTGGGCTACATTTTTTGGGTCCGAGGCTGTCTCCGCTGTTAATGTGAGTTATATACAGTCTCACTGATGTGTGCTAACCCTTAACGTTTAAACTCAAGGAATTTGCAAAGACGGTATTCCCTACTGCCGCATCAACACCTGAATTTTTCGTCTTCGACAACAACTGCAAGCTCCGCGCTCACCAAGATGCTATTGGTGATGACCACTTCGCCGCAACAGGGATGCCTGTGGACATGTTTCACTTCAACTCGAAACACAAGGAAACTGACACCTACTGTCAGCAGCACTGCAACCCTGCTGCTTTCCCAGAGCTCATTTCTGGTGGCAAGTGGCAATTCAATACCTCGATTTGCGAACAGACAAATGTATGGCTAGGTGGGTATCAGGCAATCCTGCGGGACATGTCTGTACACCGGTATAACTTTTACCTTGATGAAATGATCAAACGCCGGAACCGCTATGTTATCTCAGAGTCAGAGAGACGAGGACATTCTCCTTGGACGATTTCTATGGATGCTCTGTTTGGCAGTGACTAGTGCACCGGTGCTGTTCGCATTACATAATTACATAGTTTGCACTACATACATTGTCTAGATTTTTGTTGTTTATAATTCTATCTCTTGTGTGCATGTTGTCACTCTATCGAGGCACGAGCATAGTCTTAAGAGTTTTGTGATGGCGCGCAGCGCCGTCTGCGGATCTTTGAAATTCTTCCTCCAGCGTTCAAGTCTAACGTGCAGATCTTCGAAATTTACACTACGGCAACCCTGCCTCCAATAGATCCCCAAGAAAGCCGAGGCTGCATGCGCCATACATATGCCGCCTTCAGAGCTGGTCCCAAATCACGCATTTTCAAAGTAAAGTTAGCTTGAATGCTGGACGATGTGCTGGAACCAGATTGACTCGCGGTAGGTGGGGATACATTCTATGAACCGTTTCGGGGTTGCTGTATAGTGGACCTACCATCAGTCAACAGGAATGATTTTGGTACACCGTGCAACCTGTAATGGATGAGCTCCCATGTGTTTTCGGTCGACTGGAGAATGATTTTGGTACACCATGCAACCTGTAATGGATGAGCTCCCATGCGTTGTCGGTCGACTGGAAAATCCCATAGATTTGGCAGAGCAAGACCTGCATCAGACGGACTCTGAAGGAGGTCACATTTTCATGGATAATAAACAGTTGAATCAACTAGTAGAACTTTCGGTGCGATAATTAGTCTAATTGAAAAGGTGGTAAGGATGGTAAGGCTCGACCGTCAGGTCCCATAAATGAATAATCTACAGGAGAGGGATCATTTAACCAAGCGGGAAATGTATCGACGGGAAAGGGATCGATTTGGGGATAACTCGTAAAATCTAATGGAAATTCAGAATTGGTGGTTGCTATGGCATCATGGTTCATCTCCTCTATGCTCCAGAATAGTGACGCAAGAGCATCACTCATATCACCGGTCAAGTCAGTAGGGAGTAATCCAGTGTCAGTGGTAGATGGGTCTGCTGGTAGTAAACTCGGAGTAAGGAGTAATTCAGTGTCAGTGGTAGATGGGTCCATTGATAGTAAACTCGGAGGCAGTATATGATCTGAAGGACAAGGATTAGCCAATTGTGGAATTAGTAAATCAGATTACACTTACACTTCGCATCCGAGTTTGAGACGCTACCCAGGCCATTACTACCAGTAAGACTGAGGGTGTTAGCTTTGATTTCCGCCAAGAGAGTGTTCCACAGGCCAGCGGGACTATATCCTGCATTGACGGCATATTCCACCTTATCCCCCGAGTTCCTGATAGCTGCCCGATAAGCGGCACAATGCTTATAAAATGTTGCCTTAGTATAGGTGCAATTCGGAAAAGTAGTAGCGAAGAGGGTCTGGATCATCTGATCGTCTGATAAATCGACGAAGAGCTGAATACGGGGAACCATATCGCATGCATACTTCCAAGGAAATCGTGCTTGGGCACCTGGAGGGACAGTAGCAGAGGCGTTAGGTTGGACCGTGGCTGACACAGGTGACGTGTCCGAGTCACCTGTGGTGAGTGACAGAGGTGACATCACGGTGGGACTAGGTGATTCGATAAGCGGTAAAGGAGTGGGCGACTGTGGAGAGATGAGAACCGGGCTCACAGCATTGTTACTACTGGCATTCCTCTGCCGCTTCAACGGCGAGGTGATCCCATCCAATCGGGAGAGATGCATACCTGTGGCACTAAAGGCTCGCTTTGACGGAGATTGGACGGTTGCAGGCGTGCAACTAAGGGATAAGACCCTCTCAGCGAATCCGTGTAGCGTGTGATTGTCAGTGAGATCAATAGAGCGGAGGAGGATGGTTGAATTCGGGGGACTGAGAAGTGGAGTCTTAATGTCTTGCTCGATCCAGGCATGCTGATCACTGCAATATACTGCGATATAGTCTCCGAGGTCGAATCTCATCAATAGCGAATGGTCTCCTGGCACGAACTTTCCAGGTGTGGTGCATGTAAGCCTCACCAGGTGGGGAGGGTCGTTGTTCTAGCGTTATTCGAGTTGACTAGTCAGCGCCAAGAAACCATCAAATAAATGTAGAAGACACACCTTCAACCAGAGGACTACGTCGATCATATTGCGGATCATGATACTCAGACTTTGGTTGGCTTGAAAGCGCTGTTCAGCCACCAACGTCCGCTGGTGCCCAAGAACATAGTTCCGTGCATAATTGGGGTCTAACGGCCGGGCATAAACTCGTGAAGCAGCTGGGAGCGACTGAGTGGTAGTTAAAGATTGGGATGTAGTCGAGGGGCCCTCAGGTATAGTAACTGGAGGGTGGTCAAGCTGAGTAGATGTGGGGTTAACGGTGGCAAGCGGTGGTATGATCGAGCTTTCATGCTGTTGAGCAGCAACTGGAGGAGATATGGATGCGACTCGGTGGACCCTACACCCTCCCACCACCTCACAACACTGCTTGCAGTAGCGTTGTATGCAGTTCCTGTTGGCCTTCCGTGGCTGAGTACCCTGCTTCAAGTTGCGGCAGTCAGCTTTGGTACACAGGACTGTATCAGTCATACCACATCAGTGAAACATCCTACGAAGAAAAGTCACTGTGAACATACTACAAATTTTATACTGAGACGGTGACTCGTCCTGGATATTGTGCACATATTGTGCACATTGATTTAGTAACAGTCTAACTTGTAGCAGGTGTAGGTCCAAGTGACATAGCAGTGGGGCAGATAGCGAAAACATTGGCTTGCCGTTGCGCCAGACGCTGCTCCAGGCAAAGTGACATAGTGGGGGGGCAGATGGCGAAAACATTGGCTTGCCGTTGCCGTATATATGCCCGACGCTGTTCCAGGCAATGATCACAGCCGAGGCAATAAACTCCGCTGAAGTTGTTTGGTCGATCTACGGAAAGTCTACGTAAGTCTACGAATGGTCTATGGATTCGGCTCACTTTCCACGAAAAGAATTAGTAATGCTCCCGGATTTTCTACAATTTTCTACGCGTAGTCTATGGTAGAGTCTACCCACGTACTCTCAAAGTTCTGAAAATTGTGGTAAATCGACACAGATCGGACTAACGAGTCGAAACGATTTGCACCTCGTTCACCTCACGATTTGGAAATGAGTTCGGAGTGATACGGACCAGTAGTCCAGCCAATGAGAAGCTAGGGATTTTGCATGCCCACAACGACGATTATTTGCAAGTTACTAGTACACGACCAGCAAGTATACTAATTGTAATCAATGTCTCTTGCATTCTGGAACAACTTGTAAAGCTCGCGAAGATTCCCAGCAGCCATTAACTTGTCAACTGCTCCGGGAGTCACAGGTCCAGATATCATGTAGTCCCGCTCATCAGCCCCAGGTCCTCTGTAAAATTGAGGCGGTCTTACTTGTAAATGAAGTTTAGGACTTGTAGTGCTTCAAGTGTGGTCGGAGATAAGTTGCTGCGCCGTAGAGTGCAGGTCTCTTTGCTGGATGAAAATATGCACTCAGAAGGCACAGATGAAGCTTGAGCAGGCAGGACATCCATAGCGACGCGAAATAGAAGCGGAAGTGTACGTTCTTTTTGCTGACATGATACCTGTTAACCTTGTGAATTGCAGACAGAAATATATCACGTACCTCCCAGAAACAAACAATATATGTTGTCCGTTCAGCTGTTTCAGGTAGTATACCTGCATCTTCGTAATGAGAAAACTCGCATTCGGCATCCTTCCTGTCACGTTCGAGTTCCTTGTGGGAGCGTTCCTCCGTGGTTTCCAGTGTCGGGGAGTGTACCACTGGTTCAGAGACGATGATGGTAGGAGTTGGAGGGATAGTGCTATTAGTAGCAGAAGATGAGCGCCGCACATTTACTTTCAGGTTGTTCATGCGGCCAAATCCAGCCGATAAGGACCGCGAGGCGATTGCTGTCGAGTTGGTGAGCAGGCATGGCCTGCATCAATTGAGGGTTGTATGGCCCATATGACGAGTGAAGATTTTGTGCAGATGAAACCTGTAGCACTGGATAGTAATGTGAGAAGCCTTCATCACCATTCACATTGGGTGCAGGAGTTAGTGAACCTGGTGAAATGTTCTGAAGTGATTCGAAAGATCCACTTGGAGTTTGAAGTGGAGATAGCGTGCATTGGCGAAAATTCAAGTGTAAGGGTTGTTCAGGACTGAGATGAGAAAGTGTCCACAGGCCAACGTTCTGCTGCGACAACATGGGGTTAACAACATTACTTGCAACAGTTGTGAGCTATCCAACCGTTCACTGAGGGTCCAATGGTTCTAGCCTGGGTCTCAATTCCGAGAATAGCTGAGCAAAAATATAGAAAATTCCTTCGATGTTGGAGTGGCAGTTATGTCGAGCTCATTGTAATGATATTCCTGGGGCCATTCACAGCCTGACAGGGGATTACGATGTTTGGATATTATGTAAGTACACCAAATCAACGATTTTGGTCGTTTTCGAACCGAATCAATTTCACATCGAGTTTAACTCGCCTCGACGGCAACACTAACTGGAGATCAATATGCGCTCCAAAACAATCCAAAGTCGAGGGTTTTGGCATCCATATCGATCTCCGGTGCTCTCCGTTGCTTAGTTATGTGGGCACGCAGGCCGTATGGACCTGGTGGATACAAATTTGGGACTGGCAACAACTCAATATCGTCCAATGTGAGTTTTGGTTAGACATGTTTGAAAGACTCGGTGCTTATTAGCGTTCGATATAGAGTGTCCTCGGTGATACGTTAAACTTGAAATTATCATGTTATAGTTGGTGTCATATTATGTTTTCTTGGAAACGATAAATTGGTCACTGTTGGTGGTTCTCGACGGCAATTTGATTCCATCGAGGACATGTCTGAAGCATGAAGAGCTGCCTCACTTTCTTGCGGTGGACGATAAATGATGTAGATCTCGGATCCTAAACACCGACTACTACCAGTGTCGCGTCCTTTCTGCATCTCATCTTCGTCGTTTCTACGGAGATTTTCTTAAATGTCGACTTCTTTAAAGGAATGGCAGGGACAATGCTGTGGAAGTATTGGGGCCCTTTAAATGCTCGTGTTTTCGAGCAACATTTAGGAGTTGGCGTTAGCGGCCCAGGGAATTGAGTTTTGCAGGCATTCCTTGCAATCGGTACGAGAGCAGGTAGCGTCTCGCATGCCACGGAGTACAGATCACACATGATGTACTTCAGCCCGCTAGCTGTCAAGCGCCGGCAGACGAGTGGTGAAAAACTCATCTACAATAGTGATGGGAAGGAAGTCAGTGACGTCCTTATGTCGAGGTTGTGTCGGTCAGAAAGTTTAGTATACACGAGCTAGGCAAGATAAGACAGAATATATTTTTTTCAGAATGATCCAGACCGCGGATTTGTATGTTCTTCCCATTTTCCAAAGAGGTCTGACATTGACTCATTTTTCTCCAGTTTAATGTGGAGGTTATTGAACTCGAGTAGAGTCTCTATCAGTGAGTTATGAAGATCATCCACCTGTTTGATGTACTGATCTTGGTCCAGGCGAAATCACCCAAGAAAATCAAAGCCCGCACTGATATGTCGCAGGGGTGTTGCAGCCAATGGTCGCCCAGAAGTCTGAGCTACAAAGGTTCTTCCGTCCCCGATATTATAGTGTACTGGCCTTGCACTAGCCGTGGGCCCCCAGAACCTGGTGGAGAAGAACTCGAGGTTAGATGCTGTGAGTAGGAGGCTTAAATTTTGCGGGTCACTCCCTCAACACGAATTTGCTGCTCTACGTCCGACTTCCGAAGCCTCAGTGAGAGAGACACGAAGTCTCTAGACTCTCCCTGAAACTTTCGCCAAAAATGTCGCCTTCCAAGAACGCCCGATTTCGATGCCATCTGCCCGACAGTGATTGTACTCTCCACAGGAGACCAGTTTTCCGTCTCTCCCGAGCCGAATTCGTGTACTCTTGCGGGCCTGCCTCGTCGATAAAGGTGATTAACATATTTCAAGTTATGCACATGCAGCGTCTGGACTAGTCTCGTCTACCGTTTTGAATGAATGGGTAAGGTATGTACATAATTCCTGCAACATAAATCACTGAGATCTCATCTACATCATCGTCAACTCCCCCTCAGCGGTCCCTCCCTCCTTGGCAGGCGTAGGTGAAGCACTAGTGAATGGCGAAATCGGGGGTGACAATGGTGGCGAAAGGGTGGCAGGCGAGATATGGAGTTCGGAGCCAGGAATTGACCTGCTGCTCGCCGCAGAACTCAGCGTAGGTGTCAGGTACGATGACATACTGCCGAACCGCAATCGAGAAGGCGTTAGACCGATCTCTAGTCTTGGCGGTGTCCGATCTTCATACAGGCCGTGACGCGGTTGCTCCATGGGAGTTAATGGAGACGGGTATCCGAGCATAGGCGACGCACTGGAGCCGAGCGGCGAGAATGATAACATGGGAGACACCTCGCCCACACAGTCCTCTCTTTCTCTGGTTGTCTTCTCCCCAGTCAGCAGAACAGGATCGATCTGGTCATTGTGTACGTGCTGAGTACAAACCGGGCCCGATAGTTGAAGACGCTGGAGTTCAGGAGGGAGCGAGTCTGAGATGTTCTCGGGCCACAGAGCAGTCAACCTGTACTGGTCATCCTTCGTGCTGTCCCAGTAAGCGTCTGCCAGAGATGGCAGGTCACCTGGCTTCGCATTAGAATGACTACTCAGGCTCGCGATGTCCAAGGTCAATGGGCGCAAGTCTCTGCGCGAGAAGCCGACGAGCATTTGCCTCGAATGTATCTCGCTGAGGTCTTGCGGCGGGGAATTAAGCAACAGTGGTCGGGGATGCAAGAATAACTTAGCCGAGGCACCTCGCAAGTACAGGGGCGGTGAAGGTGTGGATGAAGAGCCTTTTATAGTGTCAAGTGGAAGGGCGACGTCCGCAGTCTGATTGAGGGGTGTTGCGGACTGATCGTGCGGACCTCCGGTGAATTGCCAGCCTCGTTCAGGGGAACCTGGTCGGCACAGCGAATCTTGGGATTCTTCGAATTCCTCCTTCAGCTCGTGCGGGGACATTCTCTCCTGAACTAACGCAATAAGCTCCGGGTTGCCGCTTCTTTTGAAGGTACATGTAGGGCAAGCTTTGACAAACTGCGCAGTAAGCTCTTTCGGGACCCATGAGTAGTGCTGGCGGATGATAGCGCAGGTTTTGTCCCGACCGCCGTGACTGGACTCTTTATGACAGTAACAGAAGAGTTCATACAGCTGCTCCTGAACGGCGACTGGTCTGTTCTCATGGAGGATCACGACCGGTGCCTCGCTGTCATCCTCGGCGTCGGGCGTGCTAAGCGTGAACATCTTGCGGACCCAGAAGCGAAACTGCGGTGTCCCGATAATGCATGCGTCTGGTTGGTGTAGTACATCCCAGATCTTGTCGAACGTGGACTGAGATATGAGCGCTTTGTCGCGCTTCCGCGGGGACAGCGACTCTAGGTATGTGGTCTCTATGCGTTTGTACTGAGTATATGTAGGAAACCCAGGGTTGTCCGCCGTGTCCAAGATTAGTGAAGGAGAGCGTTCGTCACCCTTCTTGTCATCTGAAAGCGCAGGACTGGAAGAATGTGGGATAGCAACTCGCCGCTCGTATGGCTTTGATCTGGACCGGGTGCGAGATGTTCGTTTTCGCGAGGTAGCAGGCATTACAAAAAGGGCGTTTCGCGTTGTATAAGGAATGTGAAGTAGCTGTGAGGATGGTAGTAAATATGAACACAAGTAGTGCAGATGATAAAGGTCGGGGACCTAGTAAGGTAGCGGCTGACCGTGACGCGATTCCTCACGTGATCAAAAATCAACGATCCATTGCTATAACACTTGTGAATGTGATGCGGATATGTGCAAGTCTGATGATGATGATATGCAAAGTCCAATGTGCAAGAATGATCAGTAAAATGTGCGTAATGCTGTGAAATGATATGCAATGAAATAAGCCAAATCCCAGTAATTTATGATCCTCCACGCTCGTGAATGCACGAATGGCAAGTGCTCAGCACCCTCCGTTCAATCTGTTCTTAGGTACTGTCTGATTATAGTTGGGGAAGCTCCACCCAGTGAGGTTAAAGTTGGTATAAGCGTCCTTGTATCTGGGGAATCGATCAGCAGAGTCAAACATCTGGTTGGAATTGGTGCTTACGTCTCAATGTAAGTGGCAGTCGGAAAGTCGGGGGGATCACATCCAATATTGTGAGCATTTGAAGGCTGGTAGACGCGGATGTAATCAATCGACATCGTCGCAGGGAATTGGAGGTTCGCGAAATCAATCCCTCCGAAATTGAGTGAGAATCCAAGGTTGGCAATGATATACTACACAGCGTGGTTAGTTTTTGACTCGATGCGAGAAAGATTGGCATACCATGGGTTCTTGAGAAACGAGACGCGGACCAATCTCGGTCTCAGTATCGGGCCCAAGTCCACCAGAGTAAACTGTCCAGACAGCCTCGCCGCTACTAATCCAGGTGATGTATCCGGCGTCGAACCTGGAGGTGAATGTGAGTACTGAGCATGAAGTGTTGTCGAGCTTCTACAAACCCTGGTTTGTATTCAAAGCCGTACACGCTGTAGCAACCCTGGTCAAGCTCATAGCAATCTTGGTTCGTGAGCGAGAGACCACTAGTAGTCTGTTGATATGCCCCTGCACAACTGTTAGGTACAAACCCACCATAATGAATGAGCACATACCTCCGTGGTAAGGATTCAGCACAGTGATGTCTGAATCATAGATTCTCAAATTGTCGGAGGTGTTCAGCCACTTGTATTCCGCCTGGGAAATAGTCAATAGCAGTCCAATCAGTTATAATCCAGACCTACGTTGAATGGAGCCCATTGCGATGATTGGGACACCTTCATGAGATTGTGAGTCAACGCCAATGGGGACTTGGAGTCAGCGAACCTTGCCAACCCCACCATCGACCGTTGCCTCGAATATATCGATCTCCGGTGCGGAACGACCAACATAATCGCCATTTGCACGGACTGGGCCAGGATGTGATTCACCAGGGCAGGTACAAGCAGACAGGCGTTGACCAGGCAAAAATGACTGCAAAACAAGTGGGATAGTGAGGATTTAGGACGACAATTCGTGCAGTGAACTGACCAATACGTCACCATGGGCGGGATCGCCGTTCTGTAAAGCGGCGAGCGGCTTGGATGTCCCCGGATAAGTTTGATTTGGCAACGTGCCAACGTCACAACTGTCGTACGAGTATGGCCACTGAATTAGTCTGGTTAACACAACCTCTTCGATAGCGGTTCATTCACTAACCAATCCTTCTAAACTAGCTCCGAAGCCTGCACGACCTATGCTAATGGTTTGAAAAGCCGAAACGATGGGACAACGATGTACAACCTAGATTTCCCATTGTCCAGCTTGATAGAAATATGAATCACTTGATCGTATCTAACAACACAGAGACTCACACAGCAGGCCAAAGACCACTTCAACAGTAGTTCAGCAGATGCGATTGCCTTATAACAGCCTACTTACTGGACATTGTTTTGATCCCGGCAGAATAACGGGAAGCTACATGACAGTGGTTAGTAAGTATTGGCAGTAGACAACGTATATGCTCACTCTCAATGAGGCCTCCTGTGAAACAGAATTTATTCCTGTAGGTCCTCGTTAGTGTTGAAGGCAACATGGCGTCGAACTCATTACCATGTTTGGACCTACGAAATACTATATACATGAGCCTGCCAAGAAGAGACAATCTTAGCTTACCATGCCTGACTTGTATGTAAGGTTGCGGTTAAAAACAGGATCGACCTTTGCCAACGTGATTCGCAATGCGCCTCCTTTCGTTGTTACTTGACTTGGATCATACCATTCCAAATCATCCTGTCCAATGTTTCAGTCCCATAAATCTATGTGCACGACCTTGACTCACCGTGCCCCAGTAGTGCAAGCTTGGAGCTTCCAGTATGGATCGTCTCCGGGGATAGAATGTCCGTCCTTCAACTTGGAACTCGTCAGAGAAAACGAGGTCCCACAATCGTTTGGGTTCATGTACGATGCTTTCGTGTAGGCTTCGGCGGAGTATCGACATCTATGAGGCCGCGGTTCCCAGGCATCGAGGAATCTGCCCAGTTGCATTGATGCCGCCAGATTGAATCCACTCTGAGGAGTTGGCTTCTTCTTCGACAGTGACTGAAGATGGGAAACACTTCGCCCAACTGCATCAGCTACCAAATCCTGCATGGTGCACCAACTTACCAAGGCTATCGGAAGATAGTACATACACCCTGGACGTGAGACAACTTACAATAACATAAGCATCACGACGATAAAAGGAATAGGCATCCTAGGTTTGCATGCCTTGCGCGGGTGTGAAAATGTGACCTTTGTCATTCTTGAGATCACGCTTTGGGTCTGGATTGTGAAGGTAATCATCTGGTTCAGGCGTGCCTGCATTCAGGGCGCTCGCACCCCAGTCTTCGGGATTGATATTCAAGGAATACTGTAGATAGACGTCATCAACAGCATACGTTATTGGATGAGCGCTGGCATACTTTGTCAGCGATGTGAATTCTATCCGCGAACTTAATCAACCAAGGACACTGGGTATCATCTCTAGAACTCACTTCATGTGGTGACGGACTTGAAGACCTGCTTGGTCCCGCAAATCCTGTACCATACTCGCTCGCCGTCGATGACGATCTCGAGCGACCTAGTGCACTGGGAGGCAGCAAGTTGGTTGACGAGGCGGCCATACTCCTGTTTGCATCAGTGGAGAGTTCATGTCGTGACAGTGAGATAGTCCGAGGGAACCGCTTTACGCTGCCGTTCAGGTTGAGGAGATACAAAGAGTAAAGAACGTGGTGCAAAAGAGCGTGTGTAGTTGGAAAGTTGTCAGTGTGTCGGTAGACTGGACAAATTGCATTGAATTATTAGTGCCCGACATTCGTAAGGTTTTCGTAAAGCTTCTCATTCCGTAGGTCAATTTGGCGTGATTGTGTGAAGAGTGAAAGGAGGGTTTGGCAGGGCATATGTAGCATGTTCTGCAGTAGTGACAAACGACGAAAGGTATACACGAAGTGCCGCATGTCATTGTGCCTCATCGTATTGAAGGACCGCATCAGCAAGATCCTCCGCGTTGGGATTTCTCGCGGTTACTGCGACTAACAACTTCAAAGTCTGTTGGAGAAAGGATTCCGTAGTGGGACCTATCGTAGCAATTTTGACTATGGGGTGTTCTGAAAGTTCACCACAATCCTCCGTGCTCGAATTGACCGTAGGTATGACGAAATGGTTCCGTAAGATTGGCGTCACGAATTCAGCTACTGAAGGGGCGAAGTAGACGACCCATCCCCAGGATAAACCCTCCCCTGTTAGAGATCTCAAACGTGGTGCAAATCTGAGGCTACGAAATACTTTCCTTTGGCATGTTCCAATGCAAGCGATAACTCTTGAGGGAACGTAGATGAGCCTTGTGTAGCATAGACCTGAAGAGGGTCTAATGCAACACCACCCGACTCCAGAATCCTCGGTAATGTGTCGCGATTTTTATCTCCAGTGAGGTAGAGAAGCCTTCTACTTGTTCCCACCCGAAGGAAGATCCTTAAGTATGAATCCGCAAGGCGTTCCGCAGTCCCGGTCTCTGAGCCGCCTCGTATATCTTTGGGTGAATAGGGAGAAGTCTTCTCACAAAGATCACGAAGCGCGTCTGATGAAGCTTCCCCGACTGCATAGAAGGGCACGGACCACCAGCCTGTTGGTGTCGTGAGCCGATATGATGCGTTTGGTCAATAGGTCGTACCAGATCCAGGCTCGGGAGGTGTGTTGTTATCAGCAATGGTCAATGCTTGAGCAGCCTCGGACCATGCCTCAACAGCTCGTTTGCTCGTAATTATAACTCCGGAAAGGCTCTGCTTCTCTGGGCCGAGGCTTAATATGCGTGCTAGCTCCTCGCGGCCAACTATGACGGTCTCTAGTACCGGAACTGATATTGGATGGTATCCACGAGACCTGAAAGCATCTTCATATCTATCCGGGCTGTCTTGACTAGGAGTTCTCAGAAGTAGGACATTCGACATTGGACTGTAGTGATACGGTCAGCACTTAAGCTTGAGCGTTGATCAAAGGTGGTTCTGAAGAGGAAGATTCTGTAGAATCGATATGTCGAGGATCATGAGAATGAAAGTCACATGGCCCAATCAGCACGAGATCAATTATCGTATGGAGTCTTCCCAGCGCACGGCCCCTTTGAAATCAACACCGCTCTTCAAGCTTCAAGGATCTTCCAGTAAACTACGATGGCTAAGTCAGAAATCTGGTCGTCGCCCGTGGTGCAGGCCCTCATTACTCGTTCACCTCCCGCTCCGCTCACACCCAAGGGAATATGGCGCCAGGATCTAACCCCTCAGATCAACAAGCTGCCAGCCAGTCCCAATGTTAGAGCTGGTGAGTATTCAACTCGTCAAGGCGCTTAGAAGCCTCTGTTTATGCTGATACGAGTCCTCAACCTGCTCAACGATGACTTCAAGGGCTGTCATGAGCTTGCACAAACCCAAGAAGGCAATCCCTATGCTGACCACTTGCACTCGATCGTCCATAGGCGTGAGCCCGACTACAAGAACTCCAAGTGAGCTTATCTGAAATACCCACATACGTGGCTGACCAGGGTTGCCTCAGGTATTGGATTGAGCGGTTCTCCCATGAGCACTTGGCGGAGATATACTCGCCTGGCGGCACTGTTACTCAGGCCAAGCAGGAAATGGACGAGTTTGTAGACGCTGTGCAATCTGCTGAAGCTTCCGGAGAGGGGGTCGCGGAATATGAAACTAGGCAGTGGGAGGAAATGACGAGGCTTGCGAGAATCCTGATTGACTCGGAAAGAGAAGATTAGTTTCTGACTTTGAAATCAAGAGACTGTGACTGTGTATGGAAGCACAGCTGGTATTGAGGAATACAAGTAGTGTTCGAGCACTTCCCGCAACGGGAACCCTGTAATATCTGCTCATGAACCACTGTCGGGATTTGAAGATAAGGCTTATGTTGCGTGAAGGACTGCCCACACGTTCAGATTCATTCAGACCGCGCTCTCAAGAAGTACGTGGGGGATGACATACTTGGTCGAGAACATCCTGTATGGAACGCTACATCGTGTCCTGCTCCCGACCACCGATGATACTGATAATCTTCTCATAGACCGTGAATACGATGCCTCCGCTCATCTACAACGAGTAGAATTTGAATAACTTCAACGTCGTATAATGAAAAAACGCACAACTAATCTGGCCAGCCGTGGCGTTGTACCAGTCCAAAACCGCAAGATTCCCTCCTCGGTCAAGATCCTGTATCCACAATGGAAAGAGTTACGGTACTGCTGGCGCGCCGACAGCGACTGCATCCGCGTCTTGATCACACTGTGATTATGGAAAACAATGAGCTCTCAGCAACGCATACAAAGACAGCACTCACTCCAGCGGTTGTGTCGAGTAGACTGTTACCAGACCAGCTACTGCACCAATCGCAAACGTGATTCCTGGAGGCAACTGTCGGCCTGGTCGCGTGGTTCCCTGGACGTACTGCTTCAGAGTCGTGTATGTCGTAAAGCGTACTGCGGAGTTAGCTCCTTGACGCATCATCTATCATTCACTATTAACAAATGCATATATTATATACACGTTGAAAACACTCACAACGGGAAAGAGCCCTCGATAAATGCCGAAAATGCCTTCCTGTCGAATTATAGACATCGTTCCATGAGCAAGACCGCGATATTGCGGGTTTGGACGCTTGGCGTCATCAATCATTTTGGTCCTGAAATGACAAGGAGCATGAATTAGATTAGAAGAGCATGGAGAAATCCACTCGTACTTGATAGTCTCTGAAGGAGTAACAGCAGTGATAGCCTCCATCATACCAGCTCCAAGACCAGCTATTTTCATCATCAGAGAAATGCATTCCACACACCGAGCTCACATACCAAGCAGACTCCTAGGCGCGCTGACGTTGCCCTTCAAATATGCTCAGACAATTATTCCTGGTCAATATTTGACAAAGATTACCTCTGCGTCTGCAAGCATGCTCTTGAAGTGATCATAGCTCACGAACCGAACGCCAGCCTTGACTGAATTGCCTATCACGAGTGCCGAACATCCCGAGTACAGACCCGTTACACCCTTTTCGCGTAAAGTCGAGCGGACGATAGTCAAAGGCGACTCTCGCTGGTCAAAAAGTAATAAACCGGTCAACTTGATAAATAACGGAGGAAAAGAACTACCCACCTGCCCACCAAACTGTGACCGTGTCTTCACGAACTCAGTAGGGTATGTCACGAATCTATCTTCTGAGAATAAGCAATGCCTCTGGCAGTGGGAAATTACTTCACTCACGCTTCAATTGCTCCAGCCGTCGTACCCGCAATCAGAGAGTGAATGGGCTTCTCTTTCTTAGAGCTCATTTTGTGGGGCAACGTTGAAGGTTTGGACAAGTTGAGGGAATCCAATCGCGACTGGGTCAAGAACTTTGATGTATTACTTCGGTACAACTTCGGGTTACAAAGTGCACGCGTCTTAAAGGTGGTTCCACTATGATATTTTTACGTGGCAGCTGAGGTTAACGTTGTTGAGCAGTAGCCAGTTGCCGCGGAGTCTGAAATATGTCGGGCAATACATACAACACCCTGAGGCGCATTCTCAAGAGTCAAATGTGTCACTAACTGGTCGGATTGGCAGTTATCAATTTCATGCTAATAGACACTCCCTTTATAAGTCCACACCAGACTGTCCGAGTCACTGTAGCCAATATTATCAAACCTAGTAGTAACACATCCTATCGTCACGACTGTCTTTGTTTTGACCAGAGAGGCTATCAGTTGAACTCCCGAACTCTTCTTCGTCAGATATTGTCTTTGCAAAGCAAACGCCTATCATGCCTGCGCGACGCAGGTTGGCCTCTGTCGGATGCTCCACATCTTTCAGGACTTCGTTGAACGATGACCCAACCGCATGAGTTGCAGTGCACCTGTATTGGGGATGGCGGCCTGACTGACGTTGGATGCATGAAATGTTCTTGCCATGCATAGAGCCAGTGCCATCATGATCACCGACACAGACGTCGCAAATGATAGCTAGAGCGACTCATCTTCAATAAACCGCTATTGCGTGGATATCATCACGAACTCACAGGAAGAAGGTTGATCTACAACAAGTTCATCAGTCAAATGAAAAGAGGTTTGTGCAGTTAACACTAACATTGAGGCGTATGTACAATCATCTCCTCATCGACATAGGCCATTCCGTTCCCAAATTGAAGTCCTCCATTGTATGCGCCGATTCGACCCGCTGAGCATGTGTCACAGAATGAATACTTGCAAAAGCCATGACCCAATATGACTTCTTACCTATCCAGATGAATTGTGCAGCTACCCGCGTAATGGCAGCTTCTAGTGTATCCGTACTCGAAACGACAAGGGAGGATCCCTGATCATGAATTGGTAATACTCGGTGGTGAGATTTAATCCGACCAATGACATAATATACCTAAAAATCAAAACCGTAGGTGAGGCATTGTAGCATGGCAGTGAAGGTAGAGTTTTAACTCGTCTGTAATCGAGGGTTCGGAGATTCCACCTGGATAGTAAAAGTCATACCCACTACTGACCGGCTGGGACTAGAGCAGTACTAATCTTGTGTAGACACCGCATCCATTGACCTTTCGTAACCCATCAAAATGAACTTCAACACACCATGTTTTGCCAAGGATTAGATGTCCACTGATTAACCTCCCACTGCAAGGATGGTTGCGAGACGGACACGGGATTCCGTAGACTGTTATTTTGTCATGTCAAGCACCGCTTCTGCGGTCACGGCCGACTGGTGAGCATTGCACAAAATAGGCTTCAACGACATGTGGAGTGACCACCGGCTGCAGAATATTTTGTTATCGTGGCAGTATTGATTATGTTGAAAACAAGCCAACGTACAAGAATTATCAATTTCCCAAGTGATTTGTACAGCAACCTCGTCTTGTGCTGAAGGCTCGATCTCTAACTAAGGTCGAGACCATAAGGACAATACCAGGTTGAATATTCGACCCGGTGAGCTACTGTAAGACCACTATCTGTAAGCTTCCACAGGCGGCCACAGATTACCTCGGACAGCCTTACCTCTCGACTTGCTTGAACGTCCCAAGCATATTGAAGTACTGTATCTGGTCTGACCTCTGTAACCATTCCTGAATAACGATGAGACATCAATCAAAGCTATGATGACGTACAAGGAAGGCTTGCGCCCACAGCGAGAACAATTCCATCAATCGAAGAATTTGCTTGTAGTATGCCCGCATCCACAGAGTATGTAACATTGGGAAGCAATCCGCAACGAGAAATTATTGTTGTTGCATTCACAGTTGCGAGCCCAACTATAGAGTTTGTTTGTAGGGGTGTCGTAGAGTGTAGTGTTGGATAGTCCTGCAGAGACCAGTCCAAGAAATTGATTGACGACTGGTAAGGATGCGATGATGACCTCCCAATTCACGTCAACTACAGTCCGTGGTCTCTTCTAGGTCATTTCGCCATCCTAGCATTGTTGGCACATTAGTCGTTGTAGAAGTATTGAATGTCTGAAATTGTAGGAGAGTGGAAGAGGTAACATGCAGCACGGAAATACTCGCAAGATAGGCAGTCACAGCGAAAGTCGTCCACCACGAGGCAGGGATGTCACTTTGTCGCTAGACACTACTGAGCGCAGCGCCGAGGCCCGCCCATGCACCAGAGATATCGTCAATTTCAAACGACGTGCAAGCATTCTTGACATCGCGAGCCGTTGAGTAAGGAAGAGTAGAACAGCCGTGTAGACCTAGACAGAGTTCTGTGATCGGCGTATTTATCGTTAAGGGTGGACACGTACGTTGTCAAATGCCTGCAGTGAAGCACTCAGCACTACAGGCCAAAAATCATTGTTCATTGGTGTGAATGGGAGGGTCACACGATGTTCCCAGTGGCAGATATAAAAGATAACGAGGACGATGTGTATAAAAATCAACATTCCATGCAACATATAACATGTGCGTGCAGGGAATGATCCATCACTTGCATTTCCTGAGAGATGTTTCGAGCGAGGCCAGGACCTTAGGGCAGGGAAACGTAAATGTTGCCATGTAACAACTTGGGGTCATTAACATACCGAACCAAGCCCTTGGCGACTGATTAACGGGATGGTTGCCGTCTGTGGCTGACACGAACCACTTGTTGAAGGGACACAGTGGCATTATCGGCGAGGAAGGTCAGCGGGGAGTGTGAGAGGTCTGAAAGTAAGTCCAGTGATATAAACTCAGAACGGAAAAGTAAGTAATTATCTGCACTTGAATAGCACGAACACATCGAGACTCACACAACGGCATTCTCTCCGACAGTCTTCATACATATAGGGCTCGAAATCCTGTGTCCAACCAGCCAAGGCTCAACATTCCCAATACCAATAACACTGTAGCGAATGCTTCTGCACTTCGGGAGTGAGGTACTGCAATATCGAAATTGGCAGCTGGTGGCCTTTGCTCCAATACGCACATTGTACTGCGTGCGCCGTTCAGATAGCGATGGATACGACCGACTGGAAACTGTAAGATAAGGAAGGAAAGGCACAGAGAATCGGGGGTCGCGTCCTTGTTTAGGACCGGCCATTCCGAGGGTGTTGTTGAATGTAAAGGGAAATGCTATGTATAACATTCGGATTGCGCATGGACGCTCCGGGAATCTGGCTAGTAGCCTAGGATTGAAAACCATCTGTAGCATGAACCTGCCAGTAGTGCATGACGATTGGTTACAACTTGAAACCTGTAATATTCCCTCAAAAACCACTGTGAGGATCTGGAAGATGATGCACGCGTCATGTCCGCACACAAGTTCATATTTGAAACATGAAATGAACATACGTGGTCTCAGACCAATCTGGATGAACGCTTCACGGCAATGATACCAATAATCTTCGCGTATACGGTGAACACGATGCCTCTGCTCAGATCTACCGACAGAGTAAACAAAATTGTTAACTTCAAAGCTGCATAATCAAAGAAATCGCACGACCAGTGATCCAGAGATTTGAGCGGGGTTCCCCAAGTGGAAAGAATGACTGCATCCGCGTGTAATGTATATGCATAAAGGTACCGAACATTGATGTTGAATATTGAGCGCTGAGCTCACTCCATGTATCAGATTTACTATTGGAAAATGTGTTAGATTCAACGAACGGTGCTACAAAATCACCCGTCCATCACTCATCACCGACTCACCACCAGTTTAGCAGGTGAAATTGACCTGGGCAGGTGATATCCTCTTTCCGCTTTCACAGTGAATGTAGTGATGACCATATGGTTGACATGATACATCGCAGACTGGGCCTTCCACAGTTTTTGGTGCTATCGAATTGTCTGCATCCCTCGCACCCGCGGCAATCAGCCATCTCCGAATATAGTGCTCTTTCAGTGAGGAGAAGGGGATGCCTGAGACGGATTACCACCATTTTCGATCCGACGAAAGCCAGGGAGATACCGCGACTCCGACTGCTCGCTCTTTACCCCGGGGTTTATTTGCCAAGTGACTCTTATACATAACAGCCGGGGAGTCATGTTATACCCAGGCCGCTCTCTCATCGACGAATCCGAGCCCCTCGAGACGTGGCACCAATGAAATAGAGTGATTATACCTTCCAAATAAATTACAAGCAAGGCCTCATTCTGGTATCTGTCGACATCATTCGCCTTACTTTGAAATGGGGTATACAAGCTCGGGCTCCGGTCTGATGTCTCTCGGCATCATTGCCTGACTCTGGATGTATTTTGAAATGGGGTGTATCGAGTATGACCGCCGGATGTGCTCTCCAACGGCTTCTCTTGGTGGTTGGGTGCTGTGTTATATTCACCCCGGGTACAAGTGATCATGCGATTCAGGGTAGCTACGATTGGCATGCGGTACTTAAAAGAATCATTCATCGATGAGTTCCCTCCAGGCCTTCCTTGCGCTCCTCTCATCAGCCATGCTGCACCCACCTAACTTGTCCATCCCTGACAACATGCAGCTCGTCCTCAGTGCTGCGGCTTGTCTTGGGATAATAATAATTGCTCGGGTTTACCTTCCTAGATCAAAGAGTAGACTTCCTCTCCCACCATCCCCTCCAAAGGCTTGGGGATTTCATGGGCACGTCCTGCCGCTTCGCAGGTAAGATTTCATAATTGACTCGTTGCTTTTAATGCTGACCGTGTGTGATCGCTGATCAGCGAATTTCTCACTATAGCAGATTGGATTGACGAATACGGTCCCCTAATTACCATCCGGTCAAGACTTGACAACATTGTTATTATCGGTCGTTACAAAGTCAGTTCCTCCACGCCGAGTTGTAATCTAGGCTCAACATTCTGTTGCAGACCTGCGGTAGATATCATGGAGAATCAGGGAAAAGCACTAGCTGATCGACCTCGCATGGTTGCTGCTGGAGAAATTTATGGCGGCGGAATCACCATCACCTTCACACACTTTGGGGAAAGGTTTCGTCGCATGCGTAGGTAAGTCCGTGATACCTTCCCTATTCTATCTTACTTTAAACGTGATGCAGAGCACTCCATACGCATCTTCAGCCTAGAGCAGCCGAGGCTTATGAGCCCCTGCAGATGTCGCACGTGAAGAATACTGTCCTTGAAATCCTTGATGATCCAGACAACTTCCAGAACCATGTGACAAGGTAAGCGCTTTCGGTTATGATATTACATCGCCCACAAATATTTTGAAGTTATTCTGCGACGATAATCATGAAAGTTGCATACGGGAAGGAATGCGCCTACATCGGCGACTGATCCTGATGTCATTGAGATTGATCCAACGCCTCAGGATGCTTGTTAAAATCATGCGCCCTGGTGCTTACCTGGTGGACACGATCCCTTGGCTCAAATACCTTCCTTGGTATGGCCGAGACTTAAAACTGGGGTTTGAGAGGACCACGAAACACAACATGCGTCGCATGAACTGCGTGAAAAAGCAAATGGTATGCATTGCCTTACCAATTCTTACATTAAATGTCTGAGTTGTTCCGCAGCAGAGCAATGTGGACATCGGCCCTTCGTTCACGAAATATATGCTAGAAAGTAGCGATCTCCTTGGTTTGACAGAGGCTGAAGTAGCCTCGCTTGCTAGTGCCTTTTTTGCAGGTGGATCAAGTACAGTAAGGTGTTGTTCTGTTATTTCTGAGGATCGTGGCTGAAATCAGGTGAAAGACTGCTGTGGCGATATGCACGGTGCTCATGGCAGCTGCTTGTTTCCCGGAGGAGCAAGCTATAGTTCAAGCAGAGCTCGATGCGGTCATTGGGAGGCAGCGAGGTAGCTCTATTCCTTATTGTAGTTCTGTAAATTTAACTGATTTCTGCACTAAAGCGCCGACCTTCGCCGACCAGAACTCCCTTCCCCGCCTGCACGCCTTCATTTCTGAGGCTGTAAGATGGAGACCCATAGCTGCCAACGGTGTGTACTTTCATCGTGGTTTTGTCCTCCCTGAAGTTTATATTCACACCGCAGGATTGGCTCACCGGACAACCACGGACGTGATTTGGGTAAGTAATGACAAAACATATCGGGCAAATAATAATCTGGCATCAGGAAAACTACTGTATCCCAGCAGGGACTACGGTACTTGGAAACCATTGGTGAGCATCGTGCTCCAAGATACGACGGAACTGATGGTTATTGTCTTAGGGCCATTTCTCGAGATCCAGAAGTATACCCTGAGCCTTACGCGTTCAAGCCTCAGCGCTGGATTGATGATCAAGGTCACCTAAGAGATGATTTAAAATTCTTCCATTACGGGTTTGGTCGGCGGTATGTACCGTCTTTCAGTTATTCGTTCTTTGAATGACTTTTCTTCCAGTGTATGTCCTGGCCAACATGTTGCGAACAGGTAAATCTATTCTTCCACCCACATCTTCTTCCGAGCTCACTTCGACCGATGAAGATCGGTGTTCATTAGCTCGGCCCTTATTCTTTGGGCCTTCCGGCTTGCTCTGGATCCTACGAAGCCGTTGGATGACATGGCGTACATGAACAGGGAGATGTCCAAACGGCCGTGCTCACTTGAGTTTGAGACGAGGATCCCGGAAACGGAACTCAGGCGCATGATGCAGAATGATCCTGAGGTTGTATGAGAAACCTCGACGCTTAGATGATATCGCCGCCCCTGTGGAGGCAATGAAGAACCGGTTTGGGACAATCCACCAATTCATACACGCAGAATCATCACGGTATTAGGTCTTGTCACAAATGTACATTGTGTATTGCAATTTGAATCAACTGAGGTACATTGTTGCCCATCTCTTTATTGCCTGGTACGCAGGAGGACAAGCGATCACTGGCAGTAGAATAAGTATACTTCGTATGAAAAATTGACGGTCCTTTTGGTGGGGTTTGCAATCCTGGATGTACAGTCCTGAGATGGGCGAAAAGATGTATTCATGAAGTAATGATCTAGACTCAATAAAGTGTGTCTCGGAGGTCAGAATGAGCACGAGAAAATGCCTGAGAAGGTATGGTAAGTGCCGGCGAGGCGAACACACTGCCAGGACGGTTGCCGCGAATTTGTGGCTACTAGCATTGGGACTGTCAATTTCTCGACCTGAAGCTGCAGCCGTCAGAATTTTGCGGAGAAGCGTACGCTTTGTGCGCGTGGGATCGGCACGTTCGGACTGGAAAATTGAGGTGGCGAAACGTCGTGCAAGCTCTCTGCAGCGCGATCGCACCGCAGGAAACGCTTCGGAAGCTCCACGAAACTACATTTTCGACCGCTCTACCTACGCCGACCGTCCCCAGAATTTTCCGTCCACAGCTCGTCCCAGACGCGACTCTTTCGAACCAGCACCTCCGCCAGACGCGCCTCCTCCGCTTTCGGCAACGCTTATGTAATCTAGTGCAGGACTTCCCCGTGATTCAGCTCTACTTTGGAATGCTTGTGATAAACGTAGCACCCAGACCATCAATACTTAGAAGGAAGACAGTCGATTCCTTCAAAGTTTATTATGCGTGTTTACACGTTTTATCTTGCGACCTTTTCATTCTGCTCACTCGATCTTCCTTTTTACCCGCCCACTAGTCGTATCTGGATGTCATCACATGAAGCACATCTCAAGCGCTAGAACCTAACTTAGCAAGCCCAGCGCGTTACTCCCATAAAATAGCGGCGACGTTCTTGTGACGTTCATAATTTGGGCCTGCAAGTCGACCGAAACATGAAGTAAGCAGTGAGGCTGGGCTCAATGAATCTGATATCAGGAGTAGCCTTATTTACATAGGGTCGGCAATTCTGTGTTGTTGAATGAAGGTGAATTCAGAATAGTCAACCCTATTACACATACTTACAGCCTAGTGACTAAGTTCCAGTACTTATCAGACGCCGGATTTTAAATATGTGCAACGTTGCAACCCTCATGTTGAAAGGCCTCGAAATTTCTCCACTGATCGTTCCGATTCGTTCGCAACTTGAGTGCTGAATGATCATTGAACGGGAGAACTTCATATCGAGTTATTGAGATGCCGCCCACTATTATTAGTTAGCATTCAACACAAGGTATGTATCTTATGCTGATACCCCATTTTCTGGTCCTGACTTACTGTATACGCCTGGAGATTGATCGCCGATTGTCTATGCAGCACAACGGACAAAAATGCTCAGCGCAGATCCACCCATGAGGGTATCCCAAGCCATGAGGGATTCTGTAAGCGTCTCCTTGTACTTCTTATAACCTCCTGTTTTCAACCCTACAACCCCAAACCGACCCACCTCAGAGCTGTTGACGAACATTCACCACATCAAATTACGGCTACCTGATATGTCTGATGTCCCAGAATCTGCCGAGACTGATGTCTTGCAGTACATTATCACACACATCTTTTGTCCCATCAAATTACCGCAGCAAGATGATTATAATCCTCACAACGAACGCTCCCTCCTTGATGTTGTGCTTGGCTCTGCTCGCAAATTTGCGAGTTTTTTGCCCAATGACCATCAGGAGCAGTGGAAACCTTTGTTGAAGATGTTGGAGAATCTTGCCGTTGCAATGACTTTTCCTTCGCTGGCCAAGGAAGTCGAGTCGCAAATCAGATCTATGCAAGCAGGAGGTATGCACTGTTGTCGCCAAGAATTGACACACATCTCAAGATTGTTTTCCGTAGATATTCTCGCATATCTGATCCGGGCACAAAATGCTGCTGTCGTGCTTCGTAGGCTCGACGCGACGACGACAATATTTGAATCTTTCGAAGTTTCTCCACCGGCGCCTGATGTCATGGCGGCAAAGGGGAAGCTCCTGTGTTCGTATCCAGGACCCGCAATCGCCGTACCAAACTCAGTCGTGGATAGCCCTACCTTTCCCCCCGAGTTGGCGAACTTTCTCTCGCACATGAGCTATGATATTTTAGATTCGGCAGTCCTCCGAGGAGATTCTGCACATCCTCGTTATATCACACAGCTTCTCACCGACATCCTTCGCGCCTTTGGCGAGCCGGCTGACGTCCCTCGCATTCGTAAACGTATAGGCGACGATGCCTTGCAGTCCAAAGACACACTGCCTTGGCGAAGATCATCCCTCTGGCTTGTCGTCAGGGTTGTGTTGCAGACATCCCTTGAACGTACCAGCCTTGGGCGAAACGGTTACAAGGCTTTCATGACTTCGCTCATGACGGACCTTGTGTCCAAAGCACTTGAGGCGGATGTGTCCAGCGATCTGCTCTACTTTATGTCCACTAAAATCAGTCGCCGGTTGGTTAAGCTTCAGGCTGGAGACGAATTCTCAGTGATCGTGATGCACAAAGCCACTGAAGAAATCAAAGACCGACTGGAGCTGCGCTGGAAGGATGTTCAGGCGGCTCAGGCAGACTCCCCTCATTGGGATGCCTCGGAGATAGATATCACCAGAGACACCAGGCTCTCTTTGGCCAGAAGCGAGGAGTATATCGCCGGAGCCTTACATCCTACTCACGTCCAACCCAGCATGTCAGACTTCCAACCCCATCATCGCCGACGGGGTACTATCAAAGACTTCCTTGGTCCTGACGCCAGCTTCTTCGAGAGCGCATATGCCGAGGACCCCTTTTTAGCGCTCTCTGATTTCGAATGTGCCATCGAGCAGGACATTGATGACTGGGTTGATGGTGTCATGAACCTTGATGCTGCTTGCATTGATACCGCTTGCCTGACCATTCAAGCGCGCGCTACCAGTTATTCCACCAGAGCGCAAGCTTCCTATTCCGGAAATCCTGAGAACATATCCATCATGCTGCTCACGCTGTTCGAACTCTGGGTCGCGCTTGACAAGCTGGTTGTTATGTCAATCCCTCTCCTCCAGGAGTACTCTCCGGAGATACCAGTTGTTATTTTCAATCGCCTTCTCCTCCAAAAGGCTGCCGCTTTAGAGCGACTCGGACTTCTTCAAGAGTATGTTGCCGCTCGCACCCGTGATGCGCGCTCGGGCTTCTCTATCTTCTCGGACAGCGCGCACATAGACGCGTTCGCGGTTCGTTATTATCACCAATCTGAGGAGCTGCAGTCATACAAGCAACGTATTGTGGACGATGCAGATGCTGTGCGGAAAAAGCGAATGGTTGATCTTTGCGACAAAAACAACAGGTACAAGCGTCTCACAAATGAACTTGACGCTCTCACGTGCGACTACTCGTACCGGTGGCGAGGTTGGAGCCAACATTTTAGTGATTGTCATCAGTGCCAGAAGTGGAGGGAAAGGTATTGGCTTTCTATTGAAGTTCATGAATGGCCACTTCCCGAATCCATCGACGATGCAGCAATAGTGGTATTCGAACTCAGTGCCCCGATCGCTTTCAAGATGTGGCGATCTTTCACCTTCCACTTTCTTCACGACATATGCACCCCAAGTAGACGACCAATTCAAAGTGCGACGCAGTACATGCTGCTCACTCATAAGCCGCTCTCACGCTATCATGTAGAGCATCCTGGCCAACGTATCACATTGGCCTCCGAGACAGTGTCCACCCATACCCCCCACAAGTCCCTTCCATGCACTGAAAGCGACATCTTTGTCAGCAATGAGCTGCGTCTCTGCCTTTACGATACGATCAAAGGTGTCTGGATCTCCGGTTCTCTTCGGAATACTGACATATCCGCACTTTGCACGTACGTGCTGCCGGAAGGTCCGTATCACGGACTGCAATCTTATCTGTCTGGTACCCAGCACACCCCCAACGAGGTCCTGGTCAGCCAGGCTACATGTCATGCCGAGTTGACGCTTCACGAATTCATCGCTTTTGGGAGCCTCCGTAGCGGCACCCTTCTGCAGTGGATCAACATTCTTCGTGAATTGCGAGCACGCACGCTCACGTTTCGCGATCCCTCGATCCACTTGCTGCTACTCCAGGCTAGTGGGGAGGCGGGAGAACTTTCAACCGACGGGTCTAGGGTATGGCATGATGAACTGAAAGTCTCGGATTTTGGGCACGCCCTGATCGATGAGCTCCAAAGCTTGAAAGTCAGCGTGGAAGCTAATTGGCTGGAGGGCACAACGATGGCAACTATCTCCGCCCTGGCATCCCGCCTCCTCTCATCAGCAGAGGATTTCAGCGTCATACAGCGATCGTACAAGCTGCTGCGAGCTGTCCGAAATACTACTTTCAAATGGGTGCAAGAGCTATCCAAAGCTCTTCAGGTTGCTCTAGGCGAAAAGTCTAGTCGTGAATGCCAAGCCCGCGTCCGTGACATGGCAGCAATTTGTCGTAGCACCTACAATGTTGGCCCAGACAATATCGCAGCACTCCTCCAATCGTCGCACGACTTGGAGATACTAGTGTACTGCTCTGTTACAGTGATGGATAACGCGCCCCCAGATCTACATGCTCTCCCGCCGATTTCAAGGTTACTCCTTGAACGCAACCGTCGGTTATCACGCTTCTTGGAGACCTATTTCCGACGCCATGTGGAAGACGACCAAGAAGGTCTTGATCGGGCTATGAAGCATCTCTGGCCCGCATACCGGCGCCACACACACTGGAGAGTGCTTGGATCGCCAAACTCTCGGTGGCTTAGATGTGAAACAGCACCTTCTAACGATTCATCCCGCCAAACCATCCACTTTGACATGTTGGCTGTTCGTCTATTGGTCGACGGCAAACCATTAAGCAGGCTGCCAGTTTGCATTTCACAGCATCCTAGCTACATAGTACTCTTTGGTCATGTGAGTTTTCCAGCATGCTAGTCAGCCAACCATCTAATAGCCCCGAGCAGCAAGAACTTGATGTTTTCCCCACAAAGATTCCCGGCATAGAGTTTGCCACCAAGACCTTTATTCATGGCTTTCAAGTGAGTTCGTAAAGTTCAAGGACGACATCCAAAGCTTAGCTGTCCTTTACAGATATTTTTCGGGATGCGCAGCGGGGATGTCGTCATTCAATCAAAGTGGAAGGATGGGCACCTCCTTGAACTAATACCTCGAGAAAAGCTCCAGCCCGACATCCCCGCATCACTGGTTGAAGATCACGTGCATTGGCTCGACCTCAGTACTGGTGTGATCGAATTTCGTCCAATGGAGTCAATGTGGAACCCGTCCGATAAGAACTGGGTGCTGCAATTCACGGAAGGCGGGCAGTCAGTCGCGCAGCAGGGCCATTCAACTCTTTTTGACATTCAGAGTCCCGCTTTCTGCATGATAGCGAAGACACTGAGCCCACTTGAAAACTTCCAATACCTGATTGTCACTTGCAGCGCGGACACACGCCAGACTGTAGTCAATGTCAATCTCCCTCGATTTGGGCTCTCTTTCTTTATAGACAGAGATGGAGACTTGCATTCGTGCAACCAGAAAGGCATGGTTGTTGACGAAGATCAGTCCACTGGTACAATGTTTAGACTTGTCAACCAGCTCGTTTTGCGCCCCAAAGATCGAAAAACGTACAATGGTCGCCGCGTCATCATCCCACAAGGTGGTGTCATAGTAGAGCCCAGAGGCCACCATGTCCAGGTCACCATCGATCCCAGTCCTAATCATGTTCGCCGTCCCTATCACTTTTACGCCGTCGATGTGGAATTATGCCGCCTGACAGGAAACGTTGGTCTCACGAATAAACTGTACAAGGTGTACTTGCACGCCGTGTGTAGTTCCCATGCCCCGGATCCGTTGACTAAACGCACTGGTTTGGAAGAAGCTATGTGTTTGCTGCAATCCGCCGCATGCTATTCCTTCATGAAGCTGGACCCATTTGACTGCGAGCTTCTCGCTCGGATAGGCTCCTTGACCGTTGATCGCACATGGCACCATGCTGATGAAATGAGCTCGCAGGAGGTCCACTGGAAAGGTGGCTTATCATCTTATGTCCAAGGCTGCGCATTCTACCATGCCGCCATGAATATAGTCCAATATGCACGGAAGCTGCAAGTGCTCAGCGAAACACCAGTTACAGTTTGCCCAAACTTTCCAACACGCGATTTGACCCTCCTGGAACGCGCCTCTCAGCGGTCCATTGTCCTCTACTCCCATGATCTAGTCAATTCCTTCTATCCCAGAAAATCGACAAACAGTGAATATACGTCCAGGGATGTCGTCCACTGCTCAATCGACGATCAAAAAGCTTTTGATTGTGCATGTATGGTGCGCGACTGGAGGATCACGCTTGACCCTTGTCAGGCTCTCTTCGATGTCTTCGTTCGGTGGAATGAAGTCTTCGGCGAGACACATGACATATCCCTTCGATATGACCGAAAGTGGCTGATGCCTGACTTGGCTAAGAGATGGATGACCGTCTACGAACTTTGCTGCCACGCAGATAGAGAGACTCACACATTCCAACTCGCTTTCACATTATCGGCAATGACTTTCTCCTCCCCGGAGAAGATGGGACTCGCTGCGACCATGTTCGCGTTTGCCGCTATTCCCGCGTTCCGTACAATCTGCTCCCCCAGATACGATGTATATGACCTTTCATTTGGGATCAAACCCCTAGAACAGGACCTCTGCCGCCACATCTCTTCCTATACTACCTTCCGCAATAGTCCTGAGGCGTCCTGGTCTCGTTCCTCCGACGAGTCGTCCTGCGACTTTGATAGTCGGCGACAAAAGCACTTCCAATCCGAGTGTCTACGTGAGCAGAATGCGGCAGTCGATATCCTTCTTGAATGCTGGCCTTGCTATTCCGTCCCTACACGCGTTCTGGATTGTCTGAGCGGCTCCCGATATGACAAGTCCAACGTTAGCGCTGCCCTCGAAAAGCGATACTCGAACTGCTATCGCAACCTGTGTCTGAAGACATATCTGGATCGCGTGCAGAACGTGCTTGATGAAGCGAGGCGGACTCTCACGCCGTCCACCAAGCAATCGTACACATTCACCCCGAACAATTCAGATGTCAAATCGGTCACCACCGCCGTCCTTACCGAACACTTGTTCAGAAAGCCTCCGCCGGTCATCACATTACTTCCTGATCCACTCCAGCACAGTCATGTTTCACTATCCGACAAAGTCTTTGGCGACGGGCTTGATTCATCTCCACTGGAATATGTGATCTCGAACTTCTCGCGATCTCGATTGGACAAGTTCGGTAGCCAGTATGCTGAACATCTAGAAGACAGCAGAATCCATCTAAATAGCGAGCAAGTACCCATCGCCCCGTGCTCAACCCGCTGGACAGTCGACATGTTGCAATATTATCATGCGTGGTGTAATAAGCTCTATAATAGCGCTTTTCGGAGTTTGGAAGAGCATCTGGCTCCTTCAGGTTTGGCGGAGGAGAGCATGTTCAATTCTGGGCAATGGCCGCGCATTACCGTCACGTTTCTGCTCGGCCTTCTCGCCTCCACGTCAAAAACGCCTCTATGTAACTCTTGGAGAGTCCCTTTGACCAATTTTGCCCACATCATCCTTCGATTGCAAAGATCACAACGACTTCTGAAGTTGAAGTCGGCAGCTGGTGGCGACAGTGAGGAGTTCGTAAAGGAGCTGGCGAATGACGGTTACCTAGCAGTGGACGGTACCCAGAAATTTCTGGACTGGCTTCTAATTCAGGTATTCAATGGTCGCCAACAATTGAAATGATTGATCGCTGACGGTACTAGGTAGAGAACCGATTTCTTATCCGTCGCATGCAAGCCAGCGTTGCAATCGAGATGATTTCCCCAAGCTCTAGCAACAATACCGCCCTGCAGCTTCATATGGGAGAAGGGAAATCTTCTGTGATTGTACCTATCTGTTGTGCTGCACTAGCAGACCGCAGCAATGTGGTACGAGTCATCGTTCTAAAGCCTTTGGCTGCACAAATGTTTCACCTGCTCGTGGAACGGCTCAGTGGCCTTACCAACAGGCGGATTTTCCACTTGCCATTCTCGTGCTCCTTGCCCATTACTTCCGATCATGCAAAAACCATCCGGTCACTGTTTGATGAGTGCAAAGACGTTGGTGGCATCCTTATCGCTCAACCAGATCACATTCTCTCTTTCAAGTTGATGACCGTGGAGCATCAGCTTCCGCCTGCGAACATGGTTGGACAACCCTCAATAGGGCTGGCCACCACCCTGCTGGATAGTCAACGGTGGCTTGATATGCACACTCGCGACATACTGGATGAGAGTGATGAACTGCTGCATGTTCGATTTCAACTTGTCTACACTTTGGGCGATCAACAGCGCTTGGAAGGTTATCCTGATCGATGGACCACGACACAGCAGGTGATGACTCTTGTGGCAAAACATGCTCGCCGCCTGTACCAAGAGTTTTCTCTTGGAGTAGAGTTCCAGCCAGATGCTATCGGACGAACCGGAACTTTCTCTCATTTCAGAATCCTGGACGTTGACGCAGGTGAAAAGTTGATCGAGCTGGTTTCCAGCGACATCCTTGCCGGCAACCTTCCAAATTTCGCATTCGAACATGTGCCATCTTATATCAAAGACTCCATTCGCGAGTTTTTTACCGTACCCACTATTAATCCGCAGCTCCTTCACGAAGTTCGGAACTATTGTGCTGGGTCCAGTCTGTGGAATGGACTACTGCTCATTCGAGGTCTCCTTGCACACGGTATTCTGGTATTCACGCTGAAGGAGCGGCGATGGCGCATAGATTACGGTCTGGATCCTCATCGCACAATGCTCGCCGTACCATACCGAGCCAAGGACGTTCCCTCATCTAGGGCAGAATTCGGACATCCAGACATCGCAGTCGCACTTACATGTCTTTCAGTACTACTACGGAGGGCTCACTGAGAAACAGGTAGCCCTCTGCTTCCGCCAGCTTCTCAAGCAAGGCAATCCCTCATTGGAATATGAGACGTGGATTAAGGAGATGCCTTCAGATCTTCTTCCGGAAAACCTGCGACACCTCAGTGGAATCAACATGGAGTCTGATGAACAGTTCGCTACCTCTTTGGTACCTCTCTTCCGGCGCAACAAGGTTGTCGTAGACTTCTTCTTGGCTCAGATCGTCTTTCCAAAAGAAGCGAAGGAATTTCCGCACAAGTTATCTTGCTCTGCATGGGACCTGTAGAGCGAAAGCCCTTCTGGGTTGCCTACCACTGGCTTCAGTGGAACAAACGATTTTCGCTACTTGCTGCCCACCACCATAGCGCAGCGTGCACTACCCCACCAGCGTGGTACGAATGCCAGAGTTCTCACTCACCTTTTACAACAAGAGAATGATCGCTATGACTCGCACGCAGCCGGTGGAGGCGCTCGGCAGCTCCTTAAGGTCATCGCGAAGCAGTCGCCGGAAATACGGGTCTTGCTCGACGTGGGTGCACAAGTGCTTGACTTGCAGAATGATGAGGTGGCGGATATGTGGCTGGACATCAACCGAGATGCTCAGGCTGCCATCTATTTCGACAAGCACGATGAACTTATGGTGCGCACTCGGGATCGAGCCATAGAACCATTCTCTACGTCTTGTTTTTCTCAGCAACTGGACCAGTGTGTATTGTATTTGGACGATGATCACACCCGAGGAACGGACGTCAAGTTGCCTCGGGGATTCCGCGCGGCTGTTACGTTAGGGCCAAAGGTCACCAAGGATCGCCTTGTCCAAGGTCAGGATGCAGTGTATCTGTTTCATCGATGGCGTTTAGTAATATATTGCCAGGTTGCATGCGTATGAGAAAGCTCGGCCATGGCCACTCAGTCATGTTTTTCGCTCCTCCAGAAGTAGATCGCAGCATCCGAGACGTGAACAACAAGGACGATGCTGAGGACATCCATGTGTCAGATATTCTCGTGTGGGCGATGACGGAGACGTGCTCGCACATTCAACATCGTGCTTCACAATGGCTTCAGCATGGGGTTGATTACAAGTCTCGCCACGGTGCATGGTCCTCGTTCTTATCTGACCGTATTACGCCCACCGAACTCGCCCGTTCGTGGCTTCAGCCAGGAACCAAGCACTTGGAGGAGCTCTACGCTCCAGCTCAGACGGACAAATCTACTTCTCGGACATCACTAGACAAAGAGCTTTTGGAGAGATGTGGCAGCGTTGGGCTGGGCGTTTCGCCTGAAAATCACTTGGATGAAGAGCAAGAGAGAGAAGTTGTACATGAGATTGAGCGCGAGTGCGAGGTGGAGAGACCGCCACATGCGCCGGCTGCTCCCCATATCATTGACGAGGATGTCCGGTTCTTCATTCGAACAGGCTGCATTCCGGATCAATGTTGTGTGTTCACTCCAGTTTTCGACACCCTCACCACGACTTCAGCTTCAGCTGCTTTATCGGGGAGTCAGCCATGGTCACGGGACGTGTTTGCCTCGAGGGATTCTGCTACAACAATTCTGACCGCAGACAAAACGGACAGCTACATCCGCCCAGTCAACTGGATTCTTTCGAATACAGCATCTCGCACGCCGGTGCTGGTCATTATCAGCCCCTTTGAGGCCAACGCTTTATTACCTGACATTCGGGCAAGTAAGCGGGTTCGCTTGCACACTTATACACCTCGTGTCATCAATATGATGAAGTCATGCGATGACTTGCGCCTTTACGTCATACCATCACTGCCCGCGCGATGGATGCCACATGACACCCTCATCCGCCAGCTCAATGTCTTTGCTGGACAACTATACTTTCCTCATCAGCGTGCATACGTGCAGCTGTGTCGCTTTTTGGGGATTTACACTGCAGATCTCGAGGACCAGGGTGCTTTTGAGATCCAAAGTGATGGATTCATTAGACCGGAGGATCGGCCTCCTGCCGCGGATTACCCCAACACCTTCCAACAATCGCCTATCCCTATGTTGAAGGCTCTCTTCAGTATGCGCCGCAAGGGAATGGGGTATCTGCCTACGCACATCGGGAAGCTATTGGGTGCTCGACGATTGACGAACGAGGACTTCGAAGAGACAGATTGATCCGTAAGTTGGTCTTCTGCATGCAAGCGCTCATTGATGCAACTACTCCACAGTAGTACTCGGTGATTAGAAATGAGACTGTTCGTTCGTAGATTCTTTTCGCAATCATTGTCTTCTTTCAGGTACATAAGGGTACATACCACATAACACCTTTCATCATTGTGTCATCGTTGAGCGGGAAGTTTAATTGAATTGACTGGTAGCTGACATTATTTTTCGATCCAAATATGTACGACGACACAAACATTTCTGCGAGCAAGAATGCCTTTGTGGACTCTGCTTCCTCATTCAGGACGTGATCATGCAAATATGGGGGGAACGTGCAACGTGGATACACGGGGTGGGGGACAGTTACTTCTTTGAACTTCTCCGCGGCTTGACTTGCACTACAGCACAGGCGTGGGTGTCTTGCGCTTCGAACAGGTAACGTACGGACCGGGATCGTTAGCAACTCCGGTATGTTCTGGACCTACTTTGGCAAAGCAGGTTCAAGTCGTCATGGAAAAAGTTCCATTGCCAATCGAGGAATTTGCTGTTAGTACGCCGGCATCTAGGAGTGTAGTATTCGGAAGTAGTCCGTAATGCGAGCTTCCAGTCGTTGCATTCACAGTTGCATGTCCTGAGGCTGTTATAGAGTCTGCTTGTGAGGCGAGTCGTAGTCTGTAGATTGTAGCGTTGGATAACCCTGCAGTAGTCCGGGCAATTGATTGACAACTGGTAGGGATGAGGTCACGAGTTCATAGTTTACGCCCCATAGCCCAAATGAGCTTGTTGGGTCATTTGGCCATCCTAGCATTATTGGCACAGTAGTTATCGTCGAAGTATTGAATATTTGAAATTGTGGGAGAGTGGACGAGGTGACATGCAGCATGGAAATGCTCGCAAGATTGGCAGTCACAGCGAAAGTCGTTCACCACGAGGCAGGGATGTCAGTTTGTCGCCAGACACTGCTGAGTGCGGCGCCGAGGCGTGCCCATGCACCAGAGATGTCGTGGATCGCAGTCAATTTCAGACGGTGTACAAGTATTCTTGACATCGCAAGCCGTTGAGTAAGGAAGAGTAGAGCAGCCGTGTAGATCTAGACGAAGTGCTGTAATGGGCATACTTATCGTTAAGGGTGGACACGTACGGTGTAAAATGCTTGCGGTGAAGCACTCAGGACCACAGGCCAAAATCATCATTCGTTGGCGTGAATGGGAGAGTTACACGATGTTCCCAATGAAAGATATAACAGATAACAAGGACGATGTGCATCATAACCAACATGCCATGCAATGCGTACATAACACGTGTGTGCAGAGAATGATCCACCGTCTGCATTTTCTAAGTGATCTTTCGAGTGAGCCTTCCAAGACGCTGGGATAGCGAGATGGAACTGTTGGCAATATCATGGAGTCAGTTAGCATGAGAACATACCGAACAAAGTCCTTGGCGGCTGAATAACAGGATAGTTGCTACGTGTCGCTGGCATGAACGCTTTGCGACTCGGAAGGGATGAGTGACAGGAAGGTGAGCGGAGGTGGCGAGGTAGTGGAACTAAGAACTTCTGAAAAATCGACTTTCATATGTCAACAAACTGCTCAGCCTCACCTTTTTACGGAGAAATGGGAACTGCTGATTGAGCGCATGCGTCAGGCGAGAAGATCAAATGTGGCTGAACTAAACCTATCAACACATCAGCTTCACAGCGGACCGCACAGCTGGCCGAAGCAAGTGAGACAACATGAGACTGCGCTGGTGATGGTATGACAGTAAGCGACTTATGCAATATCATGATGTAGGAATGGCCGCCAGCGGCTAGCAACCTCTAGCAACCCGCTCGTCTGTGGATTGACTTAATTCAAGATGGCAGCTGCTAGCTCCTACGGAAACAGTGACATCATCAGCCAAATTTCCCCTGACAGAGATAATTATAGTGTCAGTACTCCGATGACGGCGATCCACAGTGGTCCACAAACTTCACCTCTGATTCGACCTGAACGCAAGCAGAGTCTCTGATTGGTCTGATGCTGTCCAACATCATGACGCACATGACATCATTCTCTCCAACGGTCTTGATACATATACGACTCGAAATCTTCTGTTCCAACTCAACATCAGTCGCCGCCAATAAATCCACCTCGTATTGAAACCTATACATTAGTCGAGAACTCAGCATGTCTTCCATACAAACCCATCCCAACAACGATGCGTTAAACACTTCTCCCCCGCAGCATCAACTTCACGACTCTTCTGAGCCGCTACCAGGTTCCGGGTCGCGTGCCGGCACAAAGACTCAGGACTACTCGCCGGCCAATATCGAGCGCATGGAGTCGCAGGAGGCTCATGGTAACACTGAATTCACCAGCGACCGCCCGCTCGGCGTTAAACCTACGCCAGAAGGTATTAACATTTTATGTTACAGTGAGATAATAATAAACATGTACTTGCAGGTAGAGTCGCAATTGGTGGGCAGCCCAACCAGCCCGAGGGCCATGCCGGGTTCGGTGACAAGGTCATCGGAAAAACGCAAAAGGCAGGTCTTGTGCCTTTTACGTGCTAAAGACGATCAGTTAACTGACTTCCTTTATAGGTCATCGGCAAGTACACCAAAAATGATGAGCTCCATGAGAAAGGCGAGTTGAGAGAGACGCGCGGGAAAGGCCTTGGGGAATGCACGAGCAGCTCATGATTGAGGAAATGCTACAATACATGCAAGTAGACTCTGGAAATTATTTTGTACATTTCACGATCGAATTGTAGCACGATAAAGTTGGACACTATTCTTCTGGACTTAAGGAAGGAACGTACAGATAGAGACGAAGTCAGCAGTTGGTAAACTGCCGATCAGACAGTCTCATTCATGTATTCGACACAAAACAAACTACAGATGCAAGTAACACAAACAGGAGTAAAATAAAGTTAGTTCAGCTGATTGCCGCGCTCACAGCGTGAATAGATAAAATCAACGCCCGCTGTAACATTCCAACGGCAATTACTGCTGTTGTCCCTCGAGCTTCTTGCTCTTGCCCGTACTAGCTGTCAAGCTCTTGTGGATAAATGGCAATACACCGCCTCCGGCGATTGTTGCGCGGACAAGGATATCGAGTTCTTCATCTCCTCGAATGGCAAGCTGCAAGTGCCGCGGCGTTATACGCTTCACGCGCAAGTCCTTCGATGCATTTCCTGGCAACGGGTGTAAGAATGAGCGTCTCCAATCCGAAGTATCCTACTCACCGGCAAGTTCAAGCACTTCAGCAGTGAGATACTCCAATATTGCGCTGGTGTAGACGGCAGCCTTTGCTCCAATACGCACATTGTGCTGCGTACGCTGTTTCAGATAACGATGGATACGACCGACAGGAAACTACAAGGACAATGGATAAAAACAGGGGCTATATCAGGAAAAATGATAGGAGGATGATACACTCAAGACCGACCTGGAGCCCAGCTTTCTGGCTACGAGTCTGTATCGTTCTTGGTGTCGTAGTGGCACCAGACCCTGCAACCCCTCCTGCTGCTTGAGTGGGTGCGCCCGACTTAGACTTCCCTCCGGTAGTTTTGGGTGCCATGAGAGGGAGAATGGAATGTCAAAAGGTTTCTATTCGAGGAAGGTCCGATGTACACTGTTGGGAGTCAACCATAATCTCGTCAGACGTGCGTGAGCTGCAACGAAGATAGAAAACGTACCAAATAGTTGGACACTGAGCAAACACGTTGGTATGGGCACGAAGAGCTCAAGGGGTGTAGTTGCTGAGACTATTTGAGTGGGGCAAGCACTGATCAGCGAATGTGAGAAATGAAGTCAACAAGGACGCGAAGGTTGTTATGATGGCAGTAAGAAGCAGAGTCGCGTCTTTGTTTAGGGTCGGCAATTCGGTGTTGTTGAATGCAAAGGTGAATTCTATTTTTGACGCGTGTAGTCATGTGACCTGAGCCCACGACCGCGCTGAATCAGCGCAACTTCAGCGAGTCGGACTTGGGAGTCTATGGAGTGACTTGGTCTTTTTAGTACATCCAAGGTAGAAATAAATATCTAGCAGGTATTATGGCTAATATCCCTTCTCCATCTAGCTCGACTCATAAGGATCTCGTGATGAGTAAGAGCACTCCTTACTTGGACGCATTGTCCAAACACTTTCCAGCGGAATGCTCGTCCATCATAGACTCCCTGAGTTCTGAACAAGCCCGATCTGCTGTTGATATGCTACTTGCATTTGCATCTGGTGGTGAATGCCCCTCAGACGTGTCATCCCACGGCCAACTGGAGTGGACGCGCGAGCAACCTGCCGCCATGAGGGCGGTGCAAGACGTCTCTGGACTGAAAGGCACCAAACGCGGGCGAGCAGCCAGCACTGATGAAGAAGGTGTCGGCTCAAATTCCAAACGTCAAAAAACTACAGATGTACTTGAGGACGACCGGCCCATTTTTACACTCCCTTTAATATCCACGAACTCGCCTGTTCGAAAAAAAGTTGACATCACGATTCACGAGAAGACGATACGTTTTGTAAATCCTTCATCTCGTACTGTGGAAGCTTCGATCCCTCTTTCTGAGATCTCACGGGCATTCCTGGTGCCAACGCGCGGAAAAGCAAAGCAGCACTGGACGGTCGTCATGCTATCCAGTGACGTACCTGAAAAGGGTCGGGCCACAACTTCTAACCCACACCAAATAATATTTGGACTTGACGCTATAAGCGCCTCTAAATTCGACGCTACCTCCTACTCCGGCTCCTCCACTCCATCCACGTCAACAGTAGCGAAAGGAGAGGAGACACTTTCTGTCCTACGCGAGTTTCTAACACATCTCCCCATTTCTGTTCTTGAGGCTTCAGCGACTGTATTTCGCAGTGCGTGTGCCACTCCCAAATCTGGACACAGCGCAGCCGGTATCGATGCCTATCTTGCCGCCAAACCTGGGACTCTATGGTTCTTCGATTCGGGAATTCTTTGGGGAGAGAGCAAGCCATGCGAGTTTTGGGCCGTTGGTGATCTAATCCCAAAAGACGGTATTCGATTGATCAGTGCTACGGGCCGCACGTGTTCTGTCATCATCGGGAGAAAGACACCACCGTCTACTGAAGATCACAACAGCAAAGGGGGTCAAGATGTGGATGGAGAGGGAGATATTGTCGAGACAGAGTTCTCTATGGTAGACGGTCGAGAACAAGACCCCATCAACGGGTGGGCGAGGCAGCGGAAGCACTTATTCGGGAAAGGTTCCGCCCCACCTCCTTCCAAAGCCACAAGTGGTAAGAAGACAACGACCCAGGAACAACCATCTGCAGGCGGTACCACTGCTGCCAACGGTCCTGCATGGGATGACTCAGACTCAGATGATGACGACTTCGAGATTGCTTCTTCGGAAGACATTGATCATAGCAGCTCATCAGATTCAGAAGCGAGTAACAGCGGGGGTGGTAGCCATGCTGATGACGGGTCGGAGGGGGAAGACGACCGTGGAAGCGATGCCGTCGACGAAGAGAGTGGAGAGGAATCTGAGGAAGAGCTCCAAGAAGCGCATCATCCCCTCTTGCGACCAGGTGCTATGCCTCGAATGTCTAAAGCAGCCATCGATGTGGTGGTAGACATGGTGAATGAGGATTTGATAGGGGGCAGCGAGGAAGAAGACGAGCTCGACGATTCATAACTAGAACGAACATATTAGGTCACTTCATCAGTACAATCGCTCCTTGCTATCGATTCGCTCTCTTTGATCGTGAATAAGAGCTAATTGGGGTCATGATGTCTCAAGTTGTTGGCAAGCCCCTATTATTTATTCCGTTAATACTTACCCCGAAGTTCTCTTTTACCTGCCCCTACCCTCCATAATGGCTACTAAACCCAAGTTTCGATGACAGCAAGTCCGCATCATCAGCAGATTCCGTCCAACGCAGAAAACCATCTCTACTTTCCTTTCTACGAACCGGACAAAGACGTACTGTTCCATCTCGCGTCCGCGATATTGTGTGCAGTCCCAATTTCACATCGTCCTCTGTCACCTACCGCTGCGTTTGCACCAGGCTGCTAAGTGGTTACTTGGGCGATTCGCTGGTGTGCAGGTGAGTTATTTCTCTAAGCTTCCTCGGCTCAATCCCTTGATTCTACGATATTGTGACATCTCCTTTGACGACTGAACTGACTATTTTTCGTAGCAATTCTGTATATCTAGACTGCGATAGCACTCTAGATGCAAAAGTAGAAATGACAAAATTGATGTAGGTTTTGTTTTTTTCGAAATAAAGATCCCGTTTATTGTCGGTCTAGGCTAGACGTGGGTGGAGAACGAGGGTTTTTGTTCACGCGTTGCCAACCTACTTGCACTGGCTGGTCTTCTCGCACAGAGCAATCCTTTTGGATATTTTATTGCGTTCAGTAACCGTTCTAACACACGACCCACAACTCAAGTTCCACAAACAATCGACGTGGTTTTTCGGGAGCGAAAAACATCTACTCTAGATAGAAACCTTACCTCTGGGCTCATAAGGCAACAAGACAGCCAGGCTTCCAGCAAAAATTACCAGGGCTCCAGCAATATACACAGGCGCCGCCGTCGCGAGGTTAGCATATAGCGCAATGATGGGGGCCTAAGATTCGGAACACGGTAAGAACAAGCAGCGCGACACGGACAACAAACGCACCAGAACGCCAAACATCCTCGATGCTGTGGATGTCAAACCATTTCCCGTTCCACGATCTTTCGCAGGGAAAATTTCGGGAGACATAGCGTACAAAACACCATACATAATCTACTCGCGGTTAACCCGGTCTCCCGTTCGGACAAAACAATTTACTCACGTTGCTGAAGAACACGTATCCGCAATTCCACGCCAGGAGCTGGTTTGATGTCTGGGCAGTGGTAGTCGCGAACAAAAACGCGCCAGTGAGCCCTTTATTTCGCGGGAGGTCGTTGAGTAAGGTAAGCACTTGATAACGTCTTGTTACTTGCCTGAGGCAATGGCAAGAGTGCCCTTGCGCCCGATGTATGGGAGTTCCACTGCCCAGCCGGCGAACAAGGCAGCAGGAACACCGATGACGCTCAAGATGACTTGCTGCACAGCGGCTTCAGCGATAAAACATGGGACAAGTAATCGTACGTACGTTGCGATAGGTAATATACAGGGATCCGTCCCCGAAAACAGCACCACGACTGGAAAGTCTGCGAAAAATGAGACGAACAGATACCATATAATCTGTTGGAAAACGCACAAGTATGGCAGGAAATTGTTATACAGTGTGGAAGCAAGTCCGATAATACCTGTGTTTCGTTAGTCATTGCACGAGCAACAATGCCTGTGTTCTTACCCCAGATAGCAATCAAGAGACTAGTCGACCAAGCCATTTTGGGAGTAGCAAAGAGAGCTTTGATATGTCCAGCGTCATACTTGGAACTCTTGCTCAGGATCGTATGTCTTTCCTTGGAGGATGAACGTCTGCCTGGCATCGCCCTGTCAGGAGCCTCAAGCTCTTCTACAGTGATTGGAGATGTCTTTCCGTTGAATCTCGCCAATTTATGTATGACCTCGACGGCATCGGCATCACGACCGATGCCAGAGAGGAAACGCGGACTCTCCAGCAACGTGAACATGAAGAACCGAAGGGCCCAGAGGGAAAGAGTGATTCCGCCGAGGATTAACAACAGATAACGCCATCCCATATTATTGGATTTAGTGCAGTCTGAGGCACTGGCACAGGAATAGTTAGCGATTAGGGGCCAAGCAACCTTAAAGTTCCGTTAGCAAATGCATGGACAAGGAAACGTGTGATACGCACGAGACTGGATAACAATTGTCCGAGAGACCACCAGATAGAAAGGATGGTGAGCAAGTATTGGTGGGAACCTGGGACAAAATCTGGCAGGATCGCATTGAGTTATCTGGTGCATCTAGAGGTAAACCGCTTATCACCAAGGAAAACGGCAGAATCTACGGGCATGTTGCCTGTAGTACCATTGTCATAAAAACGTGCTTCCCGCGAGAGATGGAAACGGCAGACCTCCCACGCCAACGCCAACCACAGCAATCAAGGAGGCCAGTGCGACAAAACTAGGAGCTCCGCCTGCTGCTAGTCCGAATATTCCAGCGATAAACAAGGTAACGTTGAAAGACCACCTAAGTATTGCATGGAGTGTGGACAATTCAAAATGTATTCGTACATACCTTCTTCCCCAGATGTCACATCCAAGACCCCAAAACACAGCACCGACAAGAAGACCAATGTTCGAAGCCAGCGACAGGAAGGGCCCGTTGAAGTGGAATTCATTGACGACAGGCGTAAGGATGAGTCCGCTCAGAAGCTTCAGCCAGCCACTTAGTTCTGTTGAAAGCATGATAGGAACGAATAAACCTACAGGCCAGACCGAATCGCTTTTGCAAGTAACACGTATTCGCATCAGAAATCACCATAGCACAGGATGTAGTCACAATATAACTCACGCAAACCAGCCAAATCCAGCGACCACGAAGAGGTACCACTATTTGTTGTCTCGATTGAGATAGACATTCGTTAGAGGTTGACAATTACCACTGACCTGGTATCTACCCATCCCGATATCTTGTATCGCACGATTCAAGATGCGAGCTTTCGCCTGATATACTGGATCATTGTAGCCATCATCGTAGAGATCTATAGCAGGACCTGTGATTGGGCTGACATCTGGAAGTGCGTCGGGCAATGGGGAAGAGGTACAATCTGTGGATTTCGAGCGCCTTTCAGCACCTGTCGTGTGTACAGACATGGTGGACGAAGTCAGGGAACGAGAGTATAATTGGTTGCTGCAACACCTAGTGGTGGGAGTGACAGATCAATTTTATCTTGGTCCATCCTGCTTTAATAAAGTGCAGTCTAACCTCCGAGTAGTAAGGGATCCGAATGTGATGTGGATGCACACACACTAGCCTCGAACTTCGAAGGCAGTGGGGAACGTCTGGTTCGAGACTAGCGTACGCAATAATACCTGTGATGAGTCCTGCGTTCCGCGGAGCGCTCATCCCGGGCCGTGGACCGTGGGTCTATAATAATAGTGATCATTCGCGATACGGCTCTCGAGATAGCTCTCTCGGAACCCGCACAAAGGTGATTCGATTCTCAATTTATGTCAGGTTCAATACATGTGTTAGCAACAGGCCCATGTCCAGCTTCAAGTTGAGTAGTACTTCAAAACTACATGTGAGATCAAGGCGAGATATCATCGCTTTACCGCCAAGTTCAGCAGACGAAGTACAGAGCACAAGCGATAGCGCAGAGACAACAAACTTGCACAACACCAGGTAGCGAGGACCTACAGCTCTTAAGGGTCATGTAAGCTCAAGCGGATCGAACGAAGGCCGCCGAGCTATATGCAAATCGAATCTTTGAAAGTACAGTAAAGTTGATGTCAGAGGCTCAGAGCGCTAAAGCGTAACCGAAAATTAGGCAGTGCAATGATAACAAATACTAGCCGCCCTTCTTTCCATCAGCTTCTCCAGCTAGTCGACGCTCTCTTCTCCGCTTAACATCCCAATTGTAAACTCTAGCAGTGTTGACTTCCATCACCGTCAATTGCTCTCGCAGAAACTCCAGGTCTTCGATCGTAGCTTTTAGGCTGGCCTCTGCAAGATCCAGCTTGGATCGAAGGAGTGATGCAGCTTCTGGCAGCTTGTAGGATAACATAACGTTCGCCTTAATTCGAAAGATCAGATGTCGTCGGGAAACTCATGGAGGACACATAAACTCACCCCTAGCCATAGATAAACAGTGTCAGTGTCCTCAAGCTCTGCTTCCGCGAAAAGCGTGTCATTTAGTTCGAATGTTGTGGTGAGTGGTTTTTTGGGATCGTCGGTGTTTTCCTCGTCGCTGAGATCATCCTCCAGATCGTCATTCTTCTGCTTGCCTTCCTAAACGACAACCATCAGATAATATACAGCAATATGTCGGCAAGTGATGGACTTACTCTTCGTTCTTGCAGGAACTCCACCATGTGTAACGTCTTTCTGATGTCAGGGATCTTGTCTTCCAGACCTTTTCGTCGTTGCGTTAGATTGGCATCCATATATCGGTACTTCCTGGACTTCCTTCGGTTCAAGATCATCACAGAGTAGATTTCAGCTCAAACATACGCGATGGCATCCTGGAAATTCTTTAAGGGAGCCTCGACTCCGCCATCTGGACCGCCCAGGTATTCTTCGACATTTGCCTGCATAATTGAGCATGAGCAGAAGAACAGGGATCTAGTTTTGTTGATACACACAATGAATGGAGCTTTTGGAATTCCCCGTGGATTTTTCTCCTCTTGAAATATTGACTTGGAAGACATGGTAGTGGAGCTTTTGGCAGTCTTGAAAGCTTGAACCCCGCTTCCAGTACGTGCGTGCAATGATCAAGAGAACGGATACGTCCGGTCGGAGTTGGAATAGTGTATGATTTCAGCAAGATTTTTTCTGCAGGCTGCTGTCTACGACTCAACGATGTCGCGGTTGATTGTTAAAAATCTACCAGCATACCTAACGCCAGATCGCCTCAGGAATCACTTCGAACAAAAAGGCGCCCCCCCTGGAACCATCACAGATGTGAAAGTTTCGCTCAAGCCAGATGGCACTTCACGTCGATTTGGTTTCGTCGGCTTCAAGACAGATCAAGAAGCAACCGCTGCAAGGGACTGGTTCGACCGTACGTTTGTTGACTCGACCAGAATCAATGTTATGGTTGTCGAGGTAAGTTTTTATTTTTATTTTATTTTACTGTCAGTAATTAGACTTGTTAATTCTACCCATAGGGCGCGAAAGATGCTCCAGCTCCCCGACCAAATAAGAAGAGACGCCTGGAGGATGCCGTTGCAGACCCAGGACCTTCATCGCGAGCACATGTTCACAAGGCAGACAAGAATGGTAAGACGAGCGCACCGGCCCCTCCGACATCAGCCTCTCCACTGGATCAGTTCATGGATGTCATGCAACCCCGCACGAAAAAAGGTCCATTATGGGCAAATGAAGCCCAGGAATCTCATCCGGTTCTACCTACTGACCCTCCAGAGACAACTACAACATCTGAAGGACCCGACGATAATGAGGGTGTCTCGGACCTCGAATGGATGCGACGTCGTATGAAGCTGGCGTCGGATTCACCACCCGATAAAGTCTTTGAGCAATCGGGCGATGAGGACGACGTTGACCACAGCGCTGTTCCTGAAGAACCACAGGATCCAGCAACAAAGACGATTATGCAGACGTCTCGGTTATTCCTTCGAAATCTTCCCTTCTCGTGTACGGAAGCCCGAGATTATGGAGTTATTTCAACCGTTCGGCGAAGTTGCGCAGGTGAGCATCTGCTGTCTTGTCTTGTGTTCTTTTTATGTTCCGCTCGTTCTTGATGATAAAATGATTAGGGACATCAGATCCAAGGATATGCTGACCCTTTGGGACCGATAGTAGAAGATATATTCTGACTTTATATTCCTATATCTTACCCGCTATCTCTGTTATCGATACCTTGGACTAACTTTTTTTTTCGTCAGGTAAGGACTGGTTTCATATACATTCGAACGATGAAAAACAGTATAGGGACATCAGATCCTTTAGGACATGATGATCCTCTGAGGAAATATAGTAGAAAAACCTTTTTCTGACTTTCGTCATCTCGGTCGTTCGTGAATTTTTGCTCATTATATCTCTCGCCAGGTTCATATACCCATAGACTCCTTGTCCAAGCAGTCCAAGGGTTTAGCCTATGTGACATTTAAGCAGCCGGCGTCTGCCCTATCAGCGTATGAGGCGCTGGACAAGAAGTCGTTCCAAGGTCGTCTTCTTCACATCATTCCCGCTGTTGACCGTAAAGGCAAATTCGAAGTGGTAGAGGGCGAGGGTAAAATGAAATCATTAAAAGATGAGAGGGGTTCTCGGCGTAAAGCCACAGCTGGGCGAGAGTTCAATTGGAGTATGTTGTACATGAATGTTCGTCAAGCCTTTGTTATGTTACATGCCATCTATCGAGATCTCATGCAACGCATGTGTAGAGCGATGCGGTGGCATCGTCTGTTGCCGATCGAATGGGAATTGCGAAAGCAGATATCCTCAACCCTGAGTCAGATAATGCGGCAGTGAAGCTTGCGCTTGCGGAGACACATGTGATTCAAGAGACGAAATCGTATCTCGAGTCCCAGGGGGTCATCTTATCGTCGTTTTCCTCCCGGGCGCGATCTGATACTACCATACTCGTGAAGAACATTCCCTATGGCACCACCGCCGATCAGATACGTGAAATGTTCGAGGTACACGGGGAACTCAGCCGCGTCATCGTACCACCCGCAGGTACTATGGCAGTGGTGGAACTCGTACATGCGGATGAAGCTGCCAAAGCTTTTCGAGCTGTGGCTTACCGACGTCTCGGAAATAGCGTCGTCTACCTGGAGAAGGGTCCGATGGGCATGTTCCGAGAGACTTTCGGATGAAGCAGATGGTGCAGGAAACACTGACCGCACGCTAACAACTGCATTCAAGCCGATCACGATCGCTGAGCAAGAAGCTGGAAGCGGTGTTGGTGAGGACGAACCTGCTTTGTCTGCTGGGAGTACTCTATTCGTCAAGAATCTGGCTTTCAGCACCACCACAGAGCGTCTGATGCAAGTCTTCCGAAATCTTCCTGCATTCTCGTTCGCGCGAGTACAGACCAAGCCTGACCCCAAACGACCCACCGTCCCTGGTACTGAAGCTCCACGGCTGAGTATGGGTTATGGCTTCGTAGGGTTCAAGACGGCTGAAGATGCGAAGAAGGCCATGAAGAGCATGCAGGGCTTTACACTTGATGGTCATTCATTGCACGTCAAGTTCGCTGGGCGCGGAACAGAAGACGACGCTAAGGACAAGACAGCTGCCAAGAGCAGGTCGACGAAGATGATAGTGAAGAATGTACCATTCGAAGCTACGAAGAAGGATATCAGAGAGCTCTTTAGGTCAGCACATTTCTCTCTATGCGCCTAATAACCCATTAAACTCTATACAATATAGCGCTCATGGTCATCTCAAGTCCGTACGCCTTCCGAAGAAGTTTGACTCGCGTTCGCGTGGTTTCGCATTCTTGGAGTTCCTCACCAGGCACGAGGCAGAGAACGCATACGCTGCACTACGACACACCCATTTGCTTGGGAGACATCTTGTACTTGAGTGGGCGGAAGAGGCTGAGCAAGACATAGAAGTGCTACGGAAAAAAGCAGGCGTGGGATATGGTGACGGTGCTGAACTGCCTGGTCGTAAACGAAAGCTCGAAATTGCGGGAGATGATGGTGGTGGTGACGAGGAATGATGCCACAGATAGAATACACTAGTATCCACCCGCCTCCTATCATACATAGACGCGTCAATTTCCACGCCACCGACACTCAATTAATGACACTAAAATAGTACCACAACTTTCAAGCTAAAACCACTCTCCAACGATGTACAATTCCGACGAGGATATGCAGGCATCGCCTCTCCCAGCGAAACGAAAACGCACAAGCCACCGTAGAAGATCTATATTATCCGAACAGTCGCAGTTCTGGTTTGCTGATGGTGATATCGTGATTGGTGTTGAGCGGCAATCATGGAAGATTCATCGGAGCAAGCTTATGTGTTCTGTAGTTTTTGCGGACATGCTCGAACTTCCACAGCCGGTCGACATCGAGAGGATGCACGGGTGTCCGCTGGTCAGTTTGTCTCAAGATTCCGCGAAAGACTGGCTAGTCGTCCTAACATGGATGTACCAACGCGAGTAAGCTGTCTCTCTCATCCGTCAAACGATCTATAGTATTGACTATGTCTCTAGCAAGTTCAACAACCAAACCGTCGTATTCGATACCATAGCCGGAGCCCTACGAATATCCAACAAATATGACATCCCAGACCTCCGCCAATGGAGCACACATCAGCTCTTTTTGCGCTGGCCCCAAGACATCACCCAAATGACATATACCGCTTTCCCTCATGCTGCTGGTGAGCTTCCCGTTTTCTTTTGTAGATATGTCTAAATATCCCCTAGAGGCCATATGCCTCGCCCGAGAATGTGAAGTTCCTGAGATTCTTCCTGCCGCGTTCTACGCGCTTTCGATCTTGCGTTGGACACATCGAGCCGATGGTGGCCAAAGTCACCTCCAATTGTCCCCAACAGATCTTTGGTGCTTCATAGTTGGACGAGAACAGCTTCAGGATCATCTGTACGCGATCTTGTCGGGTGGAGACGAGCGGACAGGCGGGCACAGCACAGTTCTGTGCCATGGTTGCGAGAGTACATCTCGGACGTGGCTCAGTTCATCGTTGAAGCCAGACGCTTCATCCCCGTATGGAGTGTGGCTTCTTCGTAACTTACGAACTTTTGCTGTGAACGACTGTCCGGGCTTGAGTTTAGGTCACGCCGATTGTGAAATGAACTTTCGTCTACAAATCAGCGAGTTTGTCCACCACCTTCACGAAGCCATTCCGAGATATTTTATGCTACGACCCTGATCGCGTCACTTATCACCACTAGACGCGCTCGAGGGCGGGCTCGTTTCATGCACAACCAACATCATTGAAGCAACGTTCCGGCTTCCGCGTGCATTCGCATTGTGTTGTCTCATATAATTCTCCGTGGCTATTATTATTGTATATTATTTCTTGGTTGCTTCATGAGCGTGTAATAATTGCATCTGTGTCAAGTGTGTCAATATCGATTCAGATATCGGACTAGTTACTATAAGGCATGTGCACGTAGAAGACAAAGTTGATCATGAACTCCTGTAAAGTTGAGAGAAGTTGTCCTAAAGCGTGCTAGGAATCGGTAACTCCTGCTATCGTGCTATGGCAGGAAGGGCGAGCTTAGCCAATCGCGTGAAAATATGAACCTCTCTTGCTGCCCAGATGAACCATAGAATGAACATGGTAACAACCACGCATCCGCTGACAACCGATGCCAACATGGACGTCGTCGTGGACTTGAACACGTTGTACAGCAGAGCAGTTGAGAAGTAGATCATCCTATTGATGGGTGAGTTGACCGTCATTGGCCCTACTCAGAGAGTATCGATCCACCCACCCCCACATGAGCATGGCATAAGGGAGACTGTTGACCGTCGCAAGGGCTTTATCCCCGAAAACCGTGCCCGTCATACTGTACAGGAAGTCTCCCTGATGCAGACTAGTTAGCATATTGGAGATGTGTGAGCGACGACTTACTGCTTTGTCTGCTGATTCACAACCATATCTCTGGTTTTGACGGACCAACAGGACTGAGACGATCAAGGAGCCAGTGATGGAGATGATCGAGAGATAGGTAGCAATGATTCCGATCGACTGCGACGAGCTGATGTTCACATTCGGCACTGCAAGGAAACTCACATCTACGGCTAACATGACGGTAGACTGGTGGGAATAAAATCAGGTCGAATTCTTACGAAGCACGATGCTGAATTGATAATACGCACGTATATCGAGATTCCGGTCCACTCCGCCATGATTTTCGTGTTGTAGTCTTTCCACCGCGGCGAGTTGAGGCACTTATCCACCCATACTCTTCGAAGGTCGTTCAAATGTGCTCGCGGAGCCCAAAACAGCATGGCGTCAAGGGCCAAAGAAAGACTGCTGGTCAGTGGATCGAAGCTAGTGGCTTCGTTGTATACAGATTTGTCGGCATCGAGACGAGCACAAGGTAGACCGCAGAAATTGAAATACTTGGATCTACCTTGAAAATGAATGAGCTGCGCGCTGAGGCGCTGAAACCAAGAACATACAGAAGTAATGCATGAACCTCGCTACAGTTAAAACAGTGAATCTTCTGGGTACATTACACCGAGTATAAAGCTTTGCGTACCAATGACACAAGTGGAATGAGGGAAATCATTATCCTCGGCACTCTCTGGAAACGTATAATACTTTTAGACTTTACAAGATAAATGGTTCAAAGGAGACTGTCGCACCTTGAAGATGGTTAACTAGCTCTAGGATTCGCGAAAGTTCGTCAGCACCAAAAGGCGACACAGAAGTATCCGAAGTGATGATCTCTTGAGTCTCGCGTTCAAAAAGGATTGAGTGTTGATTACAGGCAATCAATTACCTGCACTCGCATGCACGACAACTTCCCTCAGTTCTTTCAGGAGCTTGACTCGATCCAGCTTGTGATTTGGGTAGCGTTCGCAGTGCATCCTACTCGTTTCAGTTGACGATGGTCATACTGGATCTGCGGAAACACGTCAAGATTCGAATCGACACTGGTCCGAAGTAAGTGGAACTCACGATTACAAGCGACGAACCAGTACTGAGACTCCAAGGCACATCCTGTTGGCTAGTTCATATCACGAGTGCCATAGATTCACATAACGCACGAATGTGACTCGGATCGCGGACACCTCTAAGCCCATCAAAAATGTCATCTGTTGCTTCATTATGATTGTGCAGCCAGAAGAGCGTTCGGTTTGAATGGTTGACGAAGTAGTATTGACAAGAATTCGCTTGTGGTTGCGCTACTTGTACGAAGAGCTCGGTGTCCTCAGCTTTGAGGTTCGCTAACTTCGTCCGTGCCAGGTCGTATAACGCATCCATGCATCGGTCCATCAAGCGGAACGAAGCTTCATCCATGTTTGCTTCAGAGAACGTCCTCTGCAGATGATATGTTCGGTGATCCATGGAAGAATGTGCATTGCGTACCTTGTCGTCATTGTACAAATATAACGCGCCTTCTGGGTGTATACACGACCGCCATTTTGTACCGGTCAACCACAGACATGATCTGCACTATTCGTTGGCATCCGTATTCACATATTGCTTGGCTGGAGTACTCACTGGTTGGGGAAGGACATCATGAGCGCTGGAATTGAGCTAGACGTGTAAGATGTATCTCTAGATGACGACTTCTCAAGGCCATTCACTATTGTGATAGAGAACTGCATCCACGTACACAAAAGGGCGATCCCCATATCGTGATTCGTGACTCACACCGGATGGCACAAAACTAGGGATGGCGGGACCATTGGAAGAGATTGCATTGCCAACTAGTGTGGGCGAAGACATCTGAGGCGGACTAGCATACTGGGGAATGTATGGAGCAGATATAGTACCTGGAGGTGTCGAAGACAACACACCATGTTGAGCGCCGCTTGCTGCGCTCGGTGGATATATTTGCTGGTTGTGAAGCGGTAATGGCAAGGTGGCCTGGAGACATCGTGCACTGGATGCCTCGGTCAAGACAGTACAGCACGGGTCAGTATTGTACGAGACCGGAACGTGAAATCTGGTCACAAAGCGTCGAAAGCACGACACGAAAATGCGGAGTCGCCGGGCAGATGAGGTTGCGAGTGCCGCCAACGCTTGGCACAGAAGTTTCAAGAGCCTTCGTATCAGTGTTGCGCTTGACATGGTCGTTGTTTGTTGTTCCTGGAAGTTCTCAAACACGTTGTAACGTATACCCTTCATTAGTGCTATTACATAAACGCATGCACCGAGAACTTGAAGCTTGAAGCTTGATCATGAAAAGGTGTAACTTTCAGGACTGCTACGGTGCTACCCCACGATATCGATGATGACTAGTCTCGGACGGAGATGATCGTAGAGTAGTCATAAAAAGTGGGGGCCTAAGGCCGTCGGCAAACACTTGCGTCATATTGCGAAGCAATATCTGGTAGGCGCGATGCAGAAGGGTAAGCCCTGTGCAATAGCTGTATAAACAAGAGGATAACGCAAAGATGATCTCTTGCTCGCGATGCTGAACCCATGGCTGATGAAGAGACACTGGCACTGCGTTATCTACAGTTCACGAGACGCCTTCCTCCGGGAATAGGGACCTAGAGTGGGTAATGACGGGTTGGACCAACTTTAGAAAGGTGATTGCTAGGGTTTCAATTTGGCTAGTAGGTGCGACGACGACGACGACGAGAGCATCATGTGTTTAGTCATGTGTCAGACTTTGGGTAGAAATGTAGCGTGAGACGACACCGAGACCAAAAAAATTGTATTGGACCGGTAAAGAAACACAGAACCGTGGACTGACTTGATAGCAGGACTACCAAAAGAAGTTAAAAGAACGCGATGGTGAGAGGACAATGGAGATAAAGAAACTGCGGATACTCAGTTATGGTTCGAACAGGTTCGCGACGGTTCACATAACTTGCTCAACCCCCGAACTATGAACCCGTCCGATGTTTGACTGGCTGAACCGAACCTGCACAAACGGTGCAGTTCATGGTTCAGGACCGGTTCAAGCTGCTGATAACCGCACCACGGTAACTTTAGCGGATACAGTCAGAAACGGCGACTTGGGTGCTTGATCCGCACAGCATACTCAGAAGTTGTAAAGCAAACACGATAGGGCATGAAAGACGCACCTGAAAGCCTCTCTCCTGACTCGACTGTGCGTCAAGCAAAACGTTCACTCCGTTGCAGCTTTCATTCCGGAATCCGCATACGTTCGTTTTGTGCCCAAAGTTCTAACCAAGCTGAACCAAGCACCTCTGCGTAAGTGATGGTATTCGTTTGATGTCAGGCAAGAGCTGAAATTGTCCCGCACCGATTTATGTGAAGTCCCCGAGCGAAATCACATCTTTACCAGCCCCTACGAAGTAAGAGAAATCAGCGACAAAGCCTCACTAAAATATGGAAGGCCGCACTAGCCTAATCAAAGCCGTCCTACGCCTGCCCGGTGGACGACAAATCATCACCTGTTTAGATGATGCTTACTTCGAGTCTGGAATTGGAAGAGCAACACACAGGTCGGGGGGTATTGAATCTTGTTCTATATCTCAGTGACAGCAGCATGACGGGGGGAGCAGACACTTCTCGTACTGCTCGCCTGTGATTGGATATTTCCACCCCTCGAGAGTATAATACATCAGTAGCAATCCGGACTCTGAGCGGAAATGTAACGTGTAGAGATAGAGACCAAGACCGGAGAATCATATTAAGTCGAACATAGAAAAGCAGACTTGTTTGATGCAGGACTACCAGACGCGACGGTGAGAGGTCAACGGGCGGAGGTCTTGTTTGAATTTTAATTGGTATGTAAATGAGTGCGAGATTAAGAGGTGATGAGCGCGTGTTTAAGGGATGAGAAGAAAGCACCTAGTAAGGTTCCCACAACAAGTGTCGTACAAACTTCACCCGGACATGATGGATCTGGTGGGGTGTCTAGCTTTCAAGCTCGAACTCCTCTCACGGTCCTGCAACCGCCAGTAGTAGCATCAAGTTTCTTGATATGTATTTTGGCATTGTGCACTACTGAACAGGTTGGTCGATGAACAGATTGGTTGCATCAATGAGATGTGATCATTGTGGATGAACGACTCCGAGGTCTGTGACGAATCGTCGGAATCGAAGAACAATGTGCAAGGCTTAAAGTGTTTGAATGAATATGTTCGGTCTGGCAAGTAGGAGTGGAGGCTAATAATGATGAGCCTTCAATACACCTCGGTTCAAGTGGCTGTGTCTCGACGTCCAAAACAGAAGTTCTTGGCGAGGAAACTTTGAATCTTCTACTCAAAGAGTCATGATACGTATCAACAACACCTGCTCGCAGTTCTACTCGGTGTTCTTCTATTTGAGTTAGGACTCTCACGAGACTCATTCATCTCAAAATAAACTCATTTATTGCTCGATAATGGATCTAGAGGCTCCCATTTCCTGCCGACCAATGCTCTCTCAGGTGAGGATAGCATGTTGGCCAGGGCTGCGCATGCCACACGTGGGTAGTACTCGAAGCTGCAGCTACATGCGCCGTCAGGGAGAGTACATCCTTCGCACCCGCGACAGTCAGCCGTCTCCGAAGATAGCGAGGAGAATGGAATGCCAGGACGGATTGCAGTTTCGAGCCGACTCGTCTCATACCCAGAGAGACACCGCGACTCCCACCGCTCGCCCTTCCCCCCAGATAGGACCTCTTACACATAATAGCCGGGAGCTTCGTGCACCTGGGCCGCTCACCCGTCGACGCAATATCGATAGATTCGAGTCCTTGAGACGTGGCACCAAAACAATACAATGAGTAGGTATGACAAGTACGAGCAGCATATATGCTCCCCCACAGCTCCTCTTGGTGGTTGGGTACTGGCAGGTACTATTGCAGGGCAGTGTCGTATCCACCCCGGGTAGAGGTGAGCATCTTCAGGGTAGCTACGACTGGCATGCGGTACTTAAAAAGAGTCATTCATGACTTGAATGCACCGTTGTTCCGCAGCAGAGCAATGTGGACATCGGCCCTTCGTTCACGAAATATATGCTAGAAGTAGCGATCTCTTTGGTTTGGCAGAGGCTGAAACGGCCTCGCTTGCTGGTTCCTTGTTTACAGGTGGATCAAGTACGGTGAGGTGTTCAGCGTCAATGGAATGATTTGGTGGTGCAGTAGCAATGCTTTAGTACTTACTGGGGGACTCCATGATAACAAATGATAACAGAGGTGCGTTGATTGGGGTGTGGCAGTCCACAGTCACTGCCGCACCGGTTAAGTCCTACTATCACTGTAGCATTAATTTACACACACACCCAAACGTGCTACATTATATAAAACGACCTTCTGGACGATACAAGGCATTAAGTATTGGGCATGTTGCGGTAGGGTGCAGCAGTGATGCGGCAATTTACCTAAGCCCAGGCTTGCCGGACTTGTGCCGCAGCAGTACCGCAGCATTTTCCTAATGCCCTAATCATTACATGGCATTCTAAATGAATCGCGAGTGAGGCCCCGAAGTTCTGCTGTCCGTCGGATCATTGCTTTACTCTGAGTGTATTTTGGAATGTGTATGACCATTGACAGTCCATAACCTTCCTTACGCTCCTCCCATCAGCCATGCTGCATCCGCCTAACCTGTCCATCTCTGACAACATGCAGCTCGTCCTCAGTGCTGCGGCTTGTCTTGGAATAGTAGGAGTCATTGCTCGCGTTTATCTTCCTACATCAAAGAGTGGCTTTCCTCTTCCACCATCCCCTCCCAAGGCTTGGGGACTTCGTGGGCACTTCCTGCCGCCTCGCAGGTAGAGTTTCATAGTCGACTCATCGCTTTTAATACTGACCGTGTCTTATGGCTGATCAGCCCATTTCTCACTGTAGCGGGATGGGTTGAGGAATACGGTCCTCTAATCACCATCCGCTCAAGATTTGAGAACATTGTCATTGTTGGCGGTTACAAGGTCAGTCCATCCACGCCGGGTTTGTCATCCAGACTCAACATTCGGTTGCAGGCCGCAGTAGATATAATGGAGAATCAGGGAAAGTCACTAGCTGATCGTCCTCGCATGGTTGCTGCTGGTGAAATCTTTAGTGGCAGTGTCAGCCTCGCCTTTCTACCCTTTGGGGAAAGGTTTCGTTCCATGCGCAGGTGAGTAGTCCGTGATACCTTCCCCTATCCTATCTTACTTTTTCGACGTGATGCAGAGCACTCCATACGCATCTTCAGCCTAAGGCAGCTGGGGCTTATGAGCCCCTGCAAATGTCACACGTGAAGAATACTGTTCTCGACATCCTTGATGATCCAGACAACTTTCAGAACCACGTGCAAACGTAAGGGCGTTCGGTTATGATAGTGCATTGCTGACAGATATTTTGAAGTTATGGTGCGATGACAATTATGAAAGTTGCATATGGGAGGAATACACCCACACTTGCGACTGATCCTGAAGTCATTGAGCTCAATGAACTCGTCAAGATGGCTGGTGCATTCGTGCGCCCTGGTGCTTACTTGGTGGACACGATCCCTTGGCTCAAATACCTTCCTTGGTACGGCCGAGACTTAAAACTGGGGTTTGAGAGAAGCATGAAATTCAACATGACTCACCTGAACCGCGTGAAAGCGCAAATGGTATGCATTGCCTTGCCAATTCTTACATGCCATGGCTGAGTTGTTCCGCAGCAGAGTAATGAGAATATCGGCCCTTCGTTCACGAAATGTATGCTAGAAAGCGGCGATTTGACAGAGGTTGAAACGGCCGCTCTTGCTGCCACCTTTTTTGGAGCTGGATCAAATACGGTGAGGTGTTATTGTGTTGTCTCTGAAGATATGTGGCTGAAATCAGGTGAAAGACTGCTGTGGCAATATGCACGGTGCTCATGGCAGCCGCTTGTTTCCCGGAGGAGCAAGCTACAGTTCAGGCAGAGCTCGACGAGGTCATCGGAAGACACCGAGGTAGCCCAGCTCCCTGTTACAATTCCGTAAATTCAATGATTTCTCCACTATAAAGCGCCGACCTTCGCCGACCTTGAATCTCTTCCTCGCCTACACGCCTTCATTTCTGAGGCTTCAAGATGGAGGCCCGTGGCTGCCAACGGTGTGTATTTTCGTCGTTGTTTGTCCCTGAAGTTTATATTCACACTGCACACTGCAGGGTTGGCTCACCGAGCAAACAAAGACGTGATTTGGGCAAGTAATATCTCAAACCTATCGTGCAAATGATGATCAGGTCTCAGGAAAACTATTGTATTCCAGCGGGGACTACGGTAATCGGCAACCATTGGTAAGCATCGTGCTCCAAGATACGATGGAACTGATGGTTGTTTCATTAGGGCCATTTCTCGAGATCCAGAAGTCTATCCTGAGCCTCACGCGTTCAAGCCTCAGCGTTGGATCGATGACCAAGGTCGCCTGAGAGACGATCTAAAATTCTTTGTCTATGGATTTGGTCGGCGGTATGCACCGTCTTTCAGTTATTTGTTCTTTGAATGACTTTTCTTCCAGTGTATGTCCCGGTCAACATGTCGCGAACAGGTAAAGTTATCCTTCCACGTACATCGTCTTCCGAGCTCACTTCGACTAATGAAGATCGGTGTTCATCAACTCGCTCCTTATTCTTTGGGCCTTCCGGCTTACTCTGGATCCTACGAAGCCATTGGATGACATGGCGTACATGAACGGGGAGATGTTTAAACGGCCGTGCGCAATTGAGTTTGAGACGAGGATTCCGGAAACGGATCTCAGGCGCATAATGCAGAATTATCCTGAGGTTGCAGGAGAAACCTCGACGCTTGGATGATAGCGCCGCCCCTGGGGAGGTAACGAAGAACCGGTTCGAGATGAACCAATTCATGGTATCTTCGCGGTATCTCTTGTCATACATGTAAATCGTGTATTGTAATCCACTCAGATATTGTTGCCCATCTCCTTACCTGGTACGCAGGAGGACAAACGATCAGTAAAACGATACCACACTCAAGGTGGTCCATGTATGATACTTGACCTTGAAATTTTGAAAGGCTGGTTTCATTCTCGTTCATTGATAGAACCCATCTGAGCAATCAAATCACCATCAACACATCACTCGTCCAACATTCCACATCGCGACGACCTGATGAGGCCGCGCGCGCTCTCTCTTCAGGCTCTTTGGTGGTAACGTGTCATTCCGAGGAATAACACCCAGCGCAGTCAAAACCATGGTCATGAAGTAATCGCTGGTCAATCTCCCAATATTAGTATACGGTCCTCTTTCGCGAGAGACAGACTGTATGTTCCCATAGCTTTTCTGCGCTTCCCAAGGAACAGTAAAATGATCTGGAGATGCGTTCGTTTGGAAGGTGTTGGAGGGCCTTCCTTCTCGCGAGGTTCGGAGGGAGACATACCATGCATGAATTCATGATCTCTCGGGTTTCGCTCTCTTATATTAGCATCGTCGCCGGTCGGTCGAAACGTATTGAACACGGGCGGTTAGCCCGAAAGTCTAGCCTATCACTGTTAGCAAAATTTCGCGTGACCCACGTAGTTATGAGTCTGAAGATGCAGGCTTCGGAGTACTTGTCAAAGTTGCCATATCATTTGACGTCGGCTACAACAGTACTTGATGTCAATGCACAGTAAGGTTACCTGGTACAAAGCTCTACCAAATAGTACTGGCCACCCGCGGGCAGCCCAAATTTTGGATGTCGATACCCGTACCCGCCCGGGTGTAGCACCCAAGCCAACCCGTAACCCGTGGTACCCGACCCGCACCCGACCCGTGGGTTCCACCCGGGTGGGTACCCGGGCAACCTCTACCCATGTCAGGCCCTAATGCCATCGCAGTCTACATATACGGTATTGCTACAGTAACACAGTCATTTCAAGGAGAAGAAGTCAAAAAACAAGTCAGTGGATAGACACAGCGCCACGAACACATCCTGCGACACGCATCGATCTGAAGGTCCCACATTCCGCAGGCCTCCTGGCCTCGTTCGATTTCCGTGTAAATTTGAGGTCTGCGTATTAGCCAACAACGAAGGAATAGATAGTCCCATAGGAACAATGAAAACGCATCAGTACACCTTGGCTTCCAAAGAGTTGGAACAATAAACCTACCCGTCGCCGGTTACAAGTGTGCGTGATAAAAATCCCATTGAGAGTCTTAGAGGTTCCGGGGTCGCACAGTCAGGCGGCCCTCTGTGGGCCTCTATCACGAGTACAGCGTTTGGATGCACTGGAAAGTTATGCTTGGAAAGACGATATGCAACGTGCCACATACCATCCAGTCCCATATAAAAGCTCAACACCCATATACGCCCTGCGGGGATTGTCATGTTCGTATCAGCATCAGCATGAGGAATACGTGAACCACGTACCCCCAGCAACAAATTCTACGCCCAATTCTTGTGCAATGCGCATGCGCTTTTGGAACATCCTGAAGCAGAAAGAAGCAACGAAGTGGTTCTCGCCCAGTCTATCCCTTTGTTGAACTTGAATCTCATCTGGAGGACAACACAAAAAGCGTCTCAAAGACTCACCCTTAGCTAATAGTGCATGATCAATGAATCAACGCGCTCTCGGGGAATCAAGTACTATGCACTTGCGATTGATTTTGCCTCCCAGATTCAGTTCAGTGAACAACGCGTGGTCGTTAGCTGTCATGCACGCGAGGCACAAGTCGGAAGAGCAGACACGCGAATATCTGGAAATGAATGGAGTAAACGCCGAAAGAGCTTCTCGCCGGTGATTTACAATTACCCAATACAGCGCGCGGTGTGACCCTCAATATTGGGTTTTTGCAGGAGGTTGGAGAACTCTGCTGCTGGGAGAGTAGCAGTGCAGGAGTCCATAATTTGGGCGACAGATGAAGGGGGGAAATTGGGAGAGGAGACAATTTCACGGATGCGAGATAGAACTGTGGCGCGTCTCTGCTTTGATTGTAGAAAAGGAAATAGGGATCGTCCGCATTGGACAGAATTTGCTGATACAGACGTAGAAATTGCATCGTACGAAGGGGGCGAGGTTTGCGGCGCGTTCGGGGATGTCATGAAGCGTTCGGGATTTGCTGGGATCCTTCTGCCTCTCGAGACAAACCAGGACAAAGCATATGCATCACGGCCTTTGGAACTCCGCGGTTTGCCTGCAAAGGCCACTCCGATCGAGTGCGACCTACTATGGACTCTGACTTTGGTCCGACTGCGCCTCTCTCACTTAGGCGCATCCCTTGTTCCGGATGTTGGTTTGGTGGATCTCGGCCTGTAAGAGTCGAAATAATGAAGTGTAAGTGAATTCCGACTAATGCTTGCCTACTTATGCCTAGTACAATGTACATCATAGTAGGACGTCGTGAGTCGTAACATGACTAGTCTGTGGTACTTGCATTGACCATCCAATTGGTCGTCCACAAAATGCCCCGACGCGCAATCGTTTGCTTTCTATGACTGAAATCATTGCTGGTCAATCTCCCAATATCAATATCTGAAATCCTCCGAGTGCTCCTTGCCCACCTTGTCTATTGCTACTTACGGTACTCGGTAGATCTCGTTCGATCCGAATCTATCCTCCACGCTCGGGTTGGTGGTGTGCGCATCTACGTCGGTTGGAGCTGCCCAAGGATTTGACGGACATCATACACTCCGGTGCCGAAACAGAGCAGGAGAATGGTGATCCAAAGTTTCTAAAACAAGGATAAAAAAGAGGGGCAGGGGCGAAGGAAGATGAAGGGAACGGAAAGAACGGGTGGGAAGTGTGGCTGGGGAACTAATCGCGTTTTGGAGAGTCATGTGGTGTTTGTTGGTGAAGTAAAGGGTGAGGTGGGGGATTGGGATCTCGTTCGGTGCGCTGCTTTCTTTTACTGCGTGTCGTTCTAACCATTGTTAATCCATTGTGGTTTCTCTGCAGTGTGCTGCTTATAGGCGCTCTGGAAGAAGGGCCCACAATAAATCCACGATGAGTAAGCTCTACACCCCGTTGGCTGCGACATACATCGTCTCGCTAGTCTCGCGCCCATATCATCCTCCTCGCCTTCACTTCCCGCAGCGATATCATTAGAACCAGCGATACCTTCAGAATCATCAATTTCCCTCTCGGGCGCTTCTGACATCCTCGAAGACACGACCAAGACTTGCGTTGCAACTACGCCGTACCTGTGTGCAAGAATTTCGTAAGGGGAACTATGTAATGTCAGTCAAATTGCAGTTCTGACCGATTCTGATGCAATGGAACTGTGTATTTTGGACTTGTGGGTTCGTCTTCTCGATGCCTTCCTTGCGTGTATGCATATACCACAGTTCTTGGCATCCTGAACACAGGCCGTCAGGGTATGGGCAAGACATCAGTTGCAAAGGAGATTGCTCGCAGATTTGAATCCGATGAACGTGTGTATGCTTGTGAGTGGAATATTTCATGCTACTTGAAATCATTCATATCGGACACATTTTTAGCTATACATTACATCGACTTCTCCCCACTCTCGTTCAAACCCTCTGTGCTCTCGTGTCACCTCTTTGTACTAGCACGATGGCACAGCCCCTCCATCCTCGTCTTCGATAACCTCGAGAAAGTGTGCACTGCAGAAGTTGAACACGCGGACTCCTTCCGCCAGCGGCATATAACAAAGTTCTTCCTCATGAAATACAGTCCGACGCACGCCCTACACCTTCCGACTTCCGTGGGATCGTGTTCCTCGTCACAGCAGAGCCTACGCTACTGCACATGCGGCATGTGTTCAAGGATGTAGCGTCTATTCCTCTGCTGGGAAGGGATGCTCGGAAGGAGGTAGGTTCGTTCTAGGATTGCTGGGAGCTTATGAGCTGAAATGGCTGAGAAGATTCTTTCGAATCTTGTCTCGCGCCGCCGTTCCATGGCTAAGAAGCCACTGCCCTTCAACATTGATGAATTTGACCCACTGGAGCACACTCGACTCGCGGAGGGCTATTCCCATGTGGACCTGCGGGACCTTGTGACACGGACGATACAGGTCGCTGTTGGTCGAGCGGTGTTGGAAGTGAGTGTGAGTGTTAAGAAGGTGAGTATCGTTCGATGATTACGTTTCGCTATTCTGCCGATTGGAGAAGGTGACGCTTTCGGCTAGAGATTTTGTAGAGGCTCATGAGGGCTTTGTGCCCCTCTCACTGAGGGATGTGCCGTTACAAAGTCGGATGTAGAGTGGGCTGACATTGGTGGTGCGTACTTCTACTTGGGGATGTCTATCGTCGGTTCACGTCCAAGGCTGACGAGACAAAGATGCAGCAGCGGGTAAGGAACTGCGCTCGTGTTGACATGAGTGTCTATGATTGAAATGAGCTCTACTTGCAACAAATCATGGCGTCGAGATCCGGGGGGACGGAGGCTGATAGTAGGATCGTGGCAACGCCCAAAAAGGTCTACATTCTTGTTCTTTTCGTATAGGTTCATCGATGTTCCCGCAGTATGAAATCACCCAAGAGCATTTATTGAAATCGCTTAAAACCACACGGCCATCTGTTCGCGCGAGGAACAGTGAAGGCTAGGGAGGATGTGAATATTGTTTTCTTTATTTGAGCTGGTGATAGTGATTATGGACAAACTAGATATCGAGAATTCGTGTCGGATCGGGGTGGTGGAGTTCCCGACACCGGCCCGTGATAGTGGGGTGGGGAGTCCAGCGTCGCTGGGATGATGCATCTAAGCATCCTAAATCTTCTGCCAGGCAGGGGGTGTGAACTAGTGTTGAGGATAGCATGTTAGCCGTACGCCTTCAACTCTCTATGGGGGTGATTGTCCTGATTGGTTTCACAGCCAAATTTTAGGTTTTCTTGCTTAGAAAAACACAGACACAACTCCTGTTGCTTAGTCTCTCGTTTGCAGGCCCATTTGAAGGAAGATATCTGTATTGTATAGGGGCAGCGCTGCGCATGCCACACGTGGGCAGTACCCAAGTTTTAGCCAGAAGCTGTGTCACTGTGAACACCGAAGCCGCGGCTACGGCGTCCAAGCGAGCGCCGTCGGGCAGACTACATACACCCTTCGCACCCGCGGGAGTCATCCATCTCCGAAGATAGTGCTCTGTCAGCGACGGGAAGGGGATGCCGAGACGGATTGCTACCAGTTTCGAGCCGACGAAAACTCCCATATCCAGGGAGATACCACGACTCCGACTGCTTGCCCATCCCCCTGGGTAGTACGAAGTGGCTCTTGTACATAATAGCCTAGGAGGTACGTACACCCGGGCCGCTCTCCCATCGATGCAACATCGACGAATCAAGGCCCTTGAGACGTGGCACCAATGGAATGCTACAATGAGATGCTTCCCAAATGAATTACAAGCGAGGCCTCGTTCTAGTGTCCGTCGGATCACTACTCTGCTGTAACTGAATTTTGAAATGGGGTTGACAAGTATGACCGTCGGATGCACTCTTCAACGGCATCTCTTGGGGCCAGTTGGGTGCTACCATTGTAGCCCATATCCACCCCAGGCACATGTGATCCATCTTCAGGATAGTTGCACGGTACTTAAAAAGAGTCATTGATATTCATGACTTGAATGCCCCGTGACTTACGATGAGTTCCCTCCAAGCCTTCCTAGCGCTCCTCCCATCAGCCATGCTGCATCCGCCTAACCTGTCCATCTCTGACAACATGCAGCTCGTCCTCAGTGCTGCGGCTTGTCTTGGGGCAGTAGGAGTCATTGCTCGGGTTTATCTTCCTACATCAAAGAGTGGCCTTCCTCTCCCACCATCACCTCCCAAGGCTTGGGGACTTCGTGGGCACTTCCTGCCGCCTCGCAGGTAGAGTTTCATAGTCGACTCATCGCTTTTAATGCTGACCGTGTCTTATGGCTGATCAGCCCATTTCTCACTGTAGCGGGATGGGTTGAGGAATACGGTCCTGTAATCACCATCCGCTCAAGATTTGAGAACATCGTTATCATCGGCCGTTACAAAGTCAGTCCCTTCATGCCGAGTTTGTCATATCCAGGCTCAAAATTCTGTTGAAGGCCGCGGTAGATATTATGGAGAATCAGGGAAAGTCACTAGCTGATCGTCCTCGCATGGTTGCTGCTGGTGAAATTTTCGCTGGCGGAGTCGGCATCGCCTTTCTGCCCTTTGGGGAAAGGTTTCGTTCCATGCGTAGGTAAGTAATCCGTGATACCTTCCCCTATCCTATCTTACTTTTCAACGTGATACAGAGCACTTCATTCGCATCTTCAGCCTAAGGCAGCTGGGGCTTACGAGCCCCTGCAAATGTCACACGTGAAGAATACTGTTCTCGACATCCTTGATGATCCAGACAACTTCCAGAACCACGTGCAAACGTAAGGGCGTTCGGTTATGATAGTGCATTACTCACAAATATTTTGAAGTTATGCTGCGACGACAATTATGAAAGTTGCATATGGGAAGAATACACCCACATCTGCGACTGATCCTGAAGTCATTGAGATTAACAAACTCATCAGGATGACTGGTGAAATCCTGCGCCCTGGTGCTTACTTGGTGGACACGATCCCTTGGCTCAAATACCTTCCTTGGTACGGCCGAGATTTAAGGCTGGCGTTTGAGAGAAGCACGAAACTCAACATGGGTCACCTGAACCGTGTGAAAGAGCAAATGGTATGCATTGTATTGCCAATTCTTCCATTAAATGTCTGAGTTGTTCCGCAGCAGAGCAATGTGAACATCGGCCCTTCGTTCGCGAAATATATGCTAGAAAGCAGCGATCACTTTGGATTGACAGAGGCTGAAACTGCCTCGCTTGCTGGTTCCTTTTTTGGAGCTGGATCAAATACGGTGGGGTGTTCTTTTGTCTCTGAAGACGTGTGGCTGAAATCAGGTGAAAGACTGCTGTGGCGATATGCACGGTGCTCATGGCAGCCGCTTGTTTCCCGGAGGAGCAAGCTACAGTTCAGGCAGAACTCGATGCGGTCATCGGAAGGCACCGAGGTAGCCCAGTTCCCTGTTACGGTTCTGTAAATTCAATAATTTCTACACTAAAGCGCCGACCTTCGCCGACCTTGAATCCCTTCCTCGCCTGCGCGCCTTCATTTCTGAGGCTTTGAGATGGAGACCCGTGGCTGTCAACGGTGTGTATTTTCGTCGTTGTTTTGTCCCTGAAGTTTACATTCACACTGCACACTGCAGGGTTGGCTCACCGAACAACCAAAGACGTGATTTGGGCAAGTAATATCTGAAAACCTATCGTGCAAATGATGATTAGGTCTCAGGGAAACTATTGTATCCCAGCGGGGACTACGGTAATCGGCAACCATTGGTAAGCATCGTGCTCCAAGATACGATGGAACTGATGTTTGTTTCCTTAGGGCCATTTCTCGAGATCCAGAAGTCTACCCTGAGCCTCATGCGTTCAAGCCTCAGCGTTGGATCAATGACCAAGGTCGCCTGAGAGACGATCTTAAATTCTTTGTCTATGGATTTGGTCGGCGGTATGCACCGTCTTTCAGTTATTTGTTCTTTGAATGACTTTTGTTCCAGTGTATGTCCTGGCCAACATGTCGCGAACAGGTAAAGTTATCCTTCGACGTCACATCATTTCCGAGCTCACTTCGACCAATGAAGATCGGTGTTCATCAACTCGCTCCTTATTCTTTGGGCCTTCCGGCTTACTCTGGATCCTACGAAGCCGTTGGATGACATGGATTTCATGAACGGGGAGATGTCCAAACGGCCGTGCGCACTCCAGTTTGAGACGAGGATTCCAGAAACGGAACTCAGGCGCATGATGCAGAATTATCCTGAGGTTGCATGAGAAACCTTGACGCTTATGATATCACCGCCCAGAAGACAAGGAAGAACCGGGTCGGGACGAACCACTAATTCATGCACGCTGTATCATCGTCTATGTACATCGTGTATTGCAATCAGCTCAGATTCTTTCTTGCCCATCTAGGTACGCAGGTGGACACACTGATCAGTAGAATGTGTAGCCGTTGCACTGATCCGATACTGTGGTCCATGTATCCTATTCGATGATAGTAACCTTCAAAGGCTAGCTTCGTCCCTGTTCTTATTTACAGATGAAACCCAGCTGAGCAGTCACATCACTATCAACGCTTCTGGGTAGCCTTGACAATTCTTGTAACGTTCGAAGATAACGCCAAAAGGTGGAGTCAGCTGTATTGCATGCAACACCCTGTATTGTCATCTCCAGCTTTGCATGTAGGGTGCCATTGCAGTCCACATACATTCTATTGCTACAGCAAACCAGTCAGTTAAGGAGAAGAATCACAAAATGTGTCGGTGGATACGAGTACATCCTGTGACACGGGTCGAACTGAAGAAGCTTCAGGGAAAGACTTACTCGTCCATCGGCCAATCACCCAACCACTCCCGGGCCTCCTGGCCCCGTCCGATTTCCGTGTAAATTTGAGATCTGCGTATTAGCCAACAACTGACCAATAGATACTCCCATAGGAACAACGACAACGTAGCAGTACACCTTGGCTTCGAAAGAGTTCCGTCGCCGGGTATAAGTGTGCGTGATAAAAATCCCATTGAAAATCTTAGAGATTCCGGAGTCACACAGTCAGTAGTCTCCCCTAGCCAGACCATATAGAAGGAAGACAGTCGTTCCTTCTTGATTATGGTCTGCTTTCGTTGGCGCCATCGATACCGTAGTACACTTTGGTTGCCTTATTTGGTATGCAAAAAAACTTGCCGGATTGTTCGGCAACGACTGTCAGAGCGGAGACTGACCCGTTGAATCTGCAGCGAGGTCTGTTTTATTATGGCCAGTTGTACCACTCCACTTACGAAGAGTGCTCGCATCAACCGACAAACTAGTTCACTTCAATTTCTATTACCGTCTACACCTGAATCATACCCTAGGTCTGCACCAGCCAATCCCTACCACTTCCCTTCCCCTTCACGTGTTGCCGCACCGCAGACACCCACCCCACTCAAAAGGTCGTTGCCATCCGACGAAAACTCCGTTCCTCAATTCGTTCTCCACTCATCGAGTGCGAAGAAGGCACGGACAAATGCAACCAGCGTCCCCGAAACCAACGGCAGCAAGCTCGCCTATATACTCTGTGCAATCGAGCACGTAAACTGGACGCTTGCGGAGTTCCTATACCATGCCTTTCGCCCTCCTTTAAAGGGGGATAAATCCACTTCTCGAACGTCTTCGCATGCTGCTTATGTCCAGCATTTCCTTCGTGGTCGCACCAAGTATACCCCTGCCGACATCATTCACGCGTGGTTTCACTCACCGGATGGCATCCTTAGCGAAAATGACCCCGAACTCAATTTTATGTTCGCGATAACTCCTCCCTACACCGATCTCAAAGGAGTCCGTCCTGCACTCTCCTCATTTGCAGCTCAGACTGTGAAGCAAAAGCTTGTCGCGGACATCAAGCACGCTGTTAGGCCCGGAAATGGCCTTCATGTCTCATTTGCCCCCTCGGAATCTCGTCAATCCTCAGACTGGGATGACATTGGGAGCATGACTGTTACCAAAATCGAAGAGACACTTCGCAAGGAACAACCCCTTGCAATGGTGCTTCTAGAAGCCATCGCTACTGGCCCGCAACGAAAGCACCGAGGCAAAGACACTCAGCGGCGTATTCGCCCTGTCCGACTCGTGAGATTCATTTCATTTCATCTTCGTGAGGCGTACTAATTTTCACGCTGCAGGTTTGTACACATGCACTGTCTTCCCTAGCATTCTGTCATTCTACTCATGCCCAGGCCCTGCCAATGGCCCGCGGAATTCATGAATTTGCATTATCCATTCCGTACGATCTTTTCGTGTACAACAGCCGCATTGGCACCTCTCCGTCATATAGTGCCATTTATAGAGCGCTTCAGATGCTTTCTGTTCGAGAAGCTGATGAAACCCGCTTGCTCGGACAACATTTGACAAAATGAGGTGTTCTTGTGATTGACAACGTCCAGAATTACCTAAGGCAGCGCGATTCTCGTATCGGTCGCTCAAACATCATGAACATTGGTCTCGCTGGTACCTACATTGAACTGGAGGATATTGACGTTCTTGCCTTTGACATGTCCGCCAAGAGCCGTCTCTTGGATGAGAACAGGCGAACGACTGCTAAAGTGGAAGACTTCCTTGATGCCATTGACCAGTCTCACCTTGAACACAGTGCTCACACTCCACTGGCTCCTAGGTGCTCACGAAATACGTTCCAGAGCTCTCGTCATACCAGGAACACGTCTCCATACTCTTCCGCACACGAGGTGCCAAACTTCAGCTTCCCATTCGACCCAATAAAATCCACCCGCTCGCAACCAGCAGCAAGAACAAAACAGTGACGACGGAGTTAAAGGATGCCCTTGTGGACTTTTTGGGGCAAATAGGCCAGTCAGTTGAGGAGTTCCAGAAACAGCTCTTACTCATCAGCGGTGATGGCTTGACGTACGAGAAGATTATCCAACTCAAGAAATATCTACAATACCATGGAGACGAGTTTCAGCGGTTTGAAATCCTTGAGCCAGTGCTTGCCATATGGCATACTCTATGGACTGACCTCAGTTGTCTCTTCGAGACCCATTGGGGAGCCACGCTCAGCCGTGATCCATCTACACTTGGTAATAGTGCAACCAAGATAGGTCGGTTGGCCCCTTCATCCCTCAAAAAGGTCGATTACTATCCACACTCCGAGCTCGCATACACAGTCCTTGAAGTGAGAATGCTGGATTGTTGGCGGTAGGTTGATTTTCATGCTCAGCAAGATCTTACCTTGACTTCTTACCTGTAGCATTCACTTCGGAGCAAAAGACCTTTTTCAACACTTCAAGAAACTCGCCGTTGAGCAGAAACTCCCCCCCATTCGAAGACTTGGAGGTAGCTGCACGCAAACTTCATCGTGCATATTCAACTACTCGAGCATTGCATCGTGCATTAGGAGATGTACGGCAGGATAGTGTATGGTCACGTTCCATACCAGAAGGATCACCGTGGACCAAGCCACCACCAGATGGAGCGGAGAGTACCAAGGGTGACTTTGTCCTTGCTCGCTCGGTTTCATTCATGTGCGATGCTCTTATCTCTCGTGAGGCTGCATATGCTGCAGCTGAAGGTGACGTTGGACGTGTTTATGAAGTGGTGAAGGTGAGTGTCCTTAACCTTCGGTACGAAACCAATACTGATGGCTTCATTGGAGGTTATGCTATTCACGTTCGCCGGCTCAAGTCACTCAAAATATGTGACATATCTACTTGAATTTATCACCACCCTTGAGATGGAATCCACGCCTCTGCTGCGAGATGCGATCCTTCGCAGCCTACTTGTCAACATTAGTGGGCAAGCGGGTAGCTTCATGGCTGTTGATTTCCTGCAAGAGTACCTCAATCGTCTCCTCCAAGCCATTGTCGAGCGCAAAGGCATGGATTATGGTGAACGCTACATCCGAACAGTCATTGCCAGAAACTTGCATCACTTTGCCCGGGTAAAGACAGAGTTCGGAAGAGATGGACTTGACCTTTCTGCATGCAGTGGCCGCCACGCTACACCTCATCTCCGTGCAGAAGTTCGAAAGCTTCTGGAAGAATATCAGCAATACGAACTACACTTCCGTCACCCAGGTCGCCAGATTGACCCCCTAGACCCTGCTACATTCGATGACTTTCATCAAGGAGTTGCACGCTTGCGAAAGACCAAGCTTCCGTTGTGGATCAAGCAGTCATCCCAGTATTGTGACCTACGTATGCGAGCAGGCCTGGGTGAAGATTCCAGTACCGTCCCTGGTACTGGAATTGATCAAGAAGTCGATGAAGGCAATGACTCTGAACCATTCACACTAGGGGATATGTATATGGTTGATGGCGAGTTAATTATTGATATGTCTAACATGGATTTGGATTTGGAGAATGAGGAGGCATATTTAGCGAATGATTTGGACAGTGAGTCCGAGTTGACGGATGAAGAAGAGCCTTGTGTAGTACCTAACTAACTTTAACTTGTGTTTTGTCCGTCATTGTCTCCTGCTTCTTTGAACCTCCATGTCATCCTTATGCGAGTGGTGAGTTGATTTGCAACAAGTAACTTTACAAACAAAATCTCACCCTTGCCAGTCGGGTGAGAAGCTCCACATGATGCCACTCTGTTGGTGAGAATTCGACCCTCCCCGAAGACCATCAAAATTAACCCGCATGTCAACTAGCTTTGCAAGAAGTACATTGTGATGGTGCTTCTTAAGAAATGGTAATTGTTGCAATAGGGGTCCCAGGTCATCTGCCACCAAAAGATGCTCGAGGCAATCGACGAGCAGTGATATAACGTTATCTGGTAACACCATGTCAGCAGTGTAGCATTGGTACTTAGACTCTTCCATACTGTCCCATAGGACATTTTCTCGCCACCGAACCAATTCTGCTGTGGCCTCTTTTTTCATCGCCAAGGTCAGGTAACCATCCTTCTCTTCTTGCCGCTTCTTTCTGACCCTGCTTCCATCAGTGGGTGCGACCACCTCCTGACTCTCCTCTGGCTGACACCCACTGCAATTACAATCCTGGGCATGTGATGGTGGTGGTGGAGTAGTCAGGCATGTAGCACAGGTGCAGGACATGTCAAATGGTGGGTTTTCGTACAGGGCATCAATCTCGTTGACCTTGCATTGCGCGAGAATGAGCCGGGCCATTGAGATCTGCATGGTCTCCTCCTTCTCCTTCGATTTCGATTTCGTTGTTTCAGTGGTGTTACCTTGGCTGACTACTCGTTTTGCTGTCTGAATAGCATCCTTCAACACATAGACAATGCCTTGTGCATCTGTGAAGTTTCATTTGCGATTGGCACGCCCAAAGTTCTGAAGCAACTCGTCACTTGTTGCAGGTTGAGGGAAGACAACAACACGTCCAATATTTGGAGGGTCCACTCCGTTGGTAAGGGCTGCAGTCGAAACAATGATGCGGGGGGTTGTGGATGAGTCGTCGCGTAAGTAATCCAATGTTTTGTTGTTATGGTTGGCGAAGTTGGCTGAATTGTATAGGCAGATGCACTCATGCCTGTCTGGTGTCTCTGTGGCCTGTTCAAGCAGGTAGGCGTGCACACGGAATGCCATATGGACAGTAGGTACGAAGATAAGGGAGTTATTGGTGCAGCTGAGGATCCACCAGAGCTCTGGGAACTGAGTTCCACTGACACCTGACTTGGCTATACGGAAGATGATGCGCACATCACTCCTTAAATTCGACCGTCGTACGACATGGTAATGTCCCCTACGAAAGCCCAAGAATCCAAGGACCTCTGCCTCTGATTTTTTTTGCAGTGTGGCAGTTACAGCAAGCACGGGAACATGGTGTCCTGCGCGAGAGCGCATCCAGCCTATCTTTTTGTACGATGGCTGGATAGATAAACCCCAGAGGTCAATAAGGTGAGCCTCGTCAACAACCATGACACATAAGCGTGCCGCAAATGCTTTGTTATCCACAACTGACCGGAAACCCGATGATTCGAGCTGCTCTGGAGACAGCAGGATAATTGCAGTTCCTTCACAGACCTTTTTGAACAGGTTGGAATCATTGTTGCTTGCTTTGCGTGCTGCAGCGACAGTGTCTTGGTTAATGACGACATTCATGAGTTTAGCATGGGTCATTTTTTCTGCCTGTTGATCACATTGACATCAATTCTCAATGGACATTAATCGCTGTGCGGAAACGTACCAAGTCATATTCAAGTGCTTTTGTCGGGCATATTGCAAGCATTGCAGGATCAGGGGGAAAGTTTTTGCCAGGTGCGAGTGACAGGTTTTTGGACAACGCTATAATGACGTGCATGAGTCGAATAAAGGCGTCTGTCTTCCCGGATCCTGTAGCCGTTGTGCATAGGACATCCTCGCCATCCAGCATGTGTGTTATGACTTCGAGCTGGTAGTCATGAGTGTCAAATGGCATGGTCTCTTGGAGTAATTTCCGACAGAGCGCACGTCCTTCATCTGAACAGAAGACAAATGCCCCCATATTACGGTCATAGAATAGATTAAGTCTTACACTATGTTCAAATCTACAGGCTATCTGACATGTTTCGGCCGTTCGGCTGCTCAGCATGGTCGCACTGAGTTTGATTTGTTTGACATTTGCGAAGTGACAGTGTCTAAAAAAGGAAATCGAGTGTACTACGGTATCGATGGCGCCAACAGATGCAGACTACACAGTCAGGCAGCCCTCTGTGGGCCTCTATCACGAATACAGCGTTTTGGATGCACTGGAAAGCTATGCTCGGAAAGACGATATGCAACGTGCCACATGCCGTCCAGTCCCATATAAAAGCTCAACACCCATATACGTCCTGTAGGGATTACCATGTTCGTATCAGCGTGAGGGATCTGGCCTGGACCACGTACCCCCAGCAACAAATTCTACGCCCAATTCCTGTGCAATGCATGTGCTTTTGGAACATCTTGAAGTGGAAAGAAGCAACGAAGTAGTTCTTGCTCAGTCCATCCCCTTGTTGAACTTGAGTCTCATCTGGGGGACAACACAAAAAGTGTCTCAAAGACTCATCCTTGGCTGATAGTGCATGATAAATTAATCAACGCGCTCTCGGGAAATTAAGTACCGTGCATTTACGATTGATTTTGCCTCCCAGATTCAGTTGCGTGAGTAATGCGTGGTCGTTAGTTGTCATGCACGCGAGGCGTAAGTCAGAAGACTGGATACGCGAAAAATTAGAAATGAGGAGTAAACGCCGAAAGAGCCTCTCGCTGATTCATAATTGCCCAATACAGTGCGGTGTGACCCTCAATATTGGGTTTTTGCAGGAGGTTGGAGAACTCTGCTGCTGAGAGAGCATCAGGGCAAGAGTCGATAATTCGGGCGACAGATGAAGGGGGGAAATCAGGAGAGGAGACAATTTCACGGATGTGAGATAGAACTGTGGCGCATTTCCGCTTCGACTGTGGAACAGGAAATAGGGATCGTCTGCATTGGATGGAATCTGCTGACAGACGTAGAAATTGCATCATATGAAGGGGGTGAATTATTGGCAGTCTTGGTAGTCATAGTGGATGAAGTCAAGAAATAGGGCCTGCCAAGCATTCCATCTCATCACAAGTCGTTATTTTTTTTTCTCCTCTTTTATTAAAGAAAAAAAACAGGATGTGATAACTGGTCCGCCGGGTCGTGCCCGTCGCTCACATCTCAGACACCTGGGGCAGGTGCCAGGTGCGATGATGGATTGGACTACTGACATGCGGCGACAATAAAGGTCAGCGGAAATGAAGAAACCGTGCGTATCACCAAAAAAAAAAAAACAATAGCAAGACTTGAGCGCTTGATCTGCACAGCCTGTGTTCAAGCCATGAAGCGAACACAGCATAAAAGACTCACCTCTAAACCTCCCTCCCGACTTGACTCCGCATCGAAGAAAACGTCCACTCCATCGTAGCTTTCATACTGCATGTGTTAAAGTGAAGTACCTGTGAGTAAATGACGTCATTCGTGCAGCTTTGAAGATGAGAGCTGAATTTGCCCTCTACCTGTTAGGTGGTCCCCAAGCAACATCATGACTTCCCCAGCACCTGGGAAGCAGGAGAAATCAGTGATAAAGCCTCACAAAAAGATGCAAGGGCATATCAGTACCGTATATGGTGTCCTACGGCTGCCCAGTGAACAGCGAATTGTCACCTGTTCAGCAGACGGCTCACATCGAGTCTGGGACTTGGAGAGGGGCACGCAGGTTGGAAAGGCCTGGAAGGACGAAGGGATTAGAGAAGTGCACGCCATAGCATTGTCGCCGGACGGCAAGAAAATAGTGAGCGGGAGTCTTGATGGCGCACTGAGATTGTGGGATATCGACACGGGTAAGGTCATCAAAAAATGGATGGGGAAAAGAGCGGAAGTGGAGTCTGTCTGCTGGAGTCCAGACGGAGGGCGATTGGTGAGCGGATCCCAATACAAAGCGTCATTCACAGTGTGGGATGTCGAGAGCGGAGAGAGATCTCAAATGAAGATAGGCTCGGACTAGGAACGAAGGAGAAACTCAGTCTTCAATTGAAGGACTGAGGGGAGATGATCCCGAAGGAAGAGGAATAAAAGGGTGTCGTTCAAGAGACGGAGAATGAAAAGGTAACTTGAACGTGCAGGATGAGTGATAGTGTGTGTAAAATGAAACACGTACGGAGATAAGAGAATCGTTGAACCGATCGAAGACCTTGTTTATTCACCAGATGATATAGTATGATGATTGCGACGGACAGGTTCAGATTGGAAATCCGGGATGCCAACACAGCAGGACAATCCACTCTGGTGCTTGGCATGGACATCAAATGGAAAGACCCTTATCGCCAGGACCTACGACCATCAGAGAACTCGCAAGTCTACCCAGGGTACTTGACGTCGATTATGGCGTCGATAGAAGATGGGAAGTATTTGCAAGTGGAAGGAATGCATTCGACTTGGCAGGTAGGAGCAGAGACTGTGGGTGATGGAGTCCACAGAATGACTTCTGCTAACTGTTGCACCCAGCAAGCGACGGCAGCAGAGATTCTATCACTGCTGTTCGATGTTATCGATTCATCTTGGAAGAGGTAGAATTCGCTAATGAAGATTATAAGCAACATGTGATGGGAATAGAGACTGACGAATAAGCTGACTATTGGGATGTTCAACTGGAGCTGTGGGAGAATAGGTCCAATCTTTAACCTGTGCCCATTGCCCTCAGCTTAGTCCAAGCAGAAACGAAAGAAGGACTCGTGGTGGGTCGCTTGTCTCCATGGGAAATATGGGATTAAAAGTACTCGCGAGTTGGTAGGTTACGGACTGGGAGGTTGAGAGTGATGGAGTCCACAGATTGTCTTCGACTAGCTATTGCAGTGTGCATTAGACTGCAAAATATATCCTGTGGATTGACAAAGAATTTTAGTGATGCTAAGAGTGAGATGGGCGTTTGTGAGTAATATGGACGATTGGAGGCGAACATATTCGATTGCAGCTACTTTCATATCAATAGACCAGAATTCATTTTTATTCATTCACCGCTTTTGTTTACTTGTGGAGCTGGACAAACAAAAGTGTGGCGTTGGCTATTTAGCGTGCGAAGCTTGAAGGCAACGACACAGAGAGAAGAATGCTTTCGGTCGAATGACAGGGTAAAAGTCTGGGATTCGGGGGTCCAGAAAACACTAAGGTAAATCTAGTACTCCGACTCGTATATAAGTAAGTACGGCTAGGGCTATATGAAACTCGGGATAAACAGGAAGTAATCTAATGAGATAAGGAGTAGCTAAGTTACCCATATTGAATAAATAAGAGAAATATATCAGTATCACAACGACAGGCAGATATCGAATATAAGCGCATATTCGAGGGGTAAAGTTAGATGTCAAAAGAAAGACAAACATATCAAAGGGACATGGTACATGTGGTTAGTGCAACCGCAGCTTGGCTATGGCCCACTCCGGCTTGGTCTTCATTGGTTTGCAAGTATTTTGGTTATCCTAGTGAGCCAGGCTACTTATATATAGTTTGGTCTGGTTCGTTAGCCGTTTGGAGTCCCACAAACCAACTGTGAGCCAAAAATAAACAACAGCAGCTCAAGCTGATTTATAAATACAAAATCACGTCTCTGTTGAAGTCTCATTCCCGGTTAGTTTGACTGTTGCTCCTTGAGGCCTCAAGGCTCAAGTTATCTCATAGTATACCCACCATGAACCATAAGGTCCCGATACGAGTTGACGGTAAATTCAGACTTGGAGATGTTTTGGGATCTGGTTCATACAGTGTGTTGTTCACAAGCTGACTATGATTATAAAAAATTAACATACTATGGACCCTACTTAGCTGTTGTGTACCACGCTCGGAACATCATCAAAGATGATGCAGTTGCCATCAAACTCGAATCCATCACAGCCCAGCCATCTTCTGTACAGTGTGAATATGCCATTCTGAAACAACTTGAAGGTGGAGTTGGGATACCCCGCGCTCTCTGGTTCGGTCGAGAATCAACATATCATGCTTTGGTTCTCGGCCTCCTTGGGCCATCACTGCATGATCTTTTCCTTGCACATGATCGAAAATTTAGCCTTCATACTGTTGTCAATCTAGGAATCCAACTGGTCAGTCGGTTCATGCTGGGTTGTTGCAGATAGGCTAACCCATTTTCCAGCTCTCATGTCTTGAGTATATCCACTCAAACAATTATGTTCACTGTGATATCAAACCACAGAATGTCTTGGTGGGCCTTGGCCATTTGAAGCACACTGCATTTATAATCGATTTCAGTATCGCGAAGGAATACTGGGACACTGCAACCAGAGTCCATATTCCCTTTCATCAAAATCAACGTCTCACTGGCACTCCTGCCTTTGCTTCAATCAACAACCACTTAGGAGTTGACCCGGGTCGTCGTGACGACCTTGAATCGCTTACATACATGTTGATCTATCTGTTATGCAGCTCCCTTCCATGGTTAACTAGTGACCACAAGAAACTCTCCAGCTCTTCCATACTTGAGCGCAAGGTCAACACCACCATTGAAGTCTTATGCGATGGAATTCCCATCGAATTCACAAGTGTTCTCATCTACATGTGCTCTCTTGCGTTCTCGGAAGACCCTGACTATGGGCATCTTCGCTCATTGTTTTGTGGTCTTCAAGCCACCTTGGCTGTGCCATCTACATGCTCGCTGGATTTCAGCATGCCCAATAATCACATCACACATCACCCTCCAATCTCCAATGAACACTAGATGGCTGAGGCGGCCCCATGTCTGCTGGATGCAACACCACTTCGCAGATCTACTTGTGTGTGAGTATTCTGTCTCATTTTCCCATTCACAATCTGAAGCTAATGTGATTTCGAAGTTTACACCAACGTAATGCCTCTCCCATGCACCCAACTGCACTGTGGAAAAAGCCATTAGTTGCTAGATCACGCTGTTGAATATGTCTTTCTATCTCTACATAACTGTACAGTGTACAAATCTACAATGTGTTTTTCATAGGTTTCAAACCATTCAATGCGGTCAAATACATGTCGACAAATTTGCGTCTTGAACCCTAGGTGTTATGACAAACGTTCACCAATAATGATGAAGGCGAGCGCACAACCACTAGGACTCGGTCAGAGGGGATAGTGAACAAGATGGTATTGAGCGTAAATGTCTAGGTCACTCACTACAAGTGTAGGAAACGAAGAGGTTAAGTCTAAGGAGTACTTATGCTAACTAACCTACTTTTATACATAACATTGAATAGGAGTCTAAAAGAAATCAGCCAATGAGAAAAGAGTCATACAATACTGCGGATGACTAAGTATGACTCATGATATATAAGCGAAATGAGTAAGACGGCAACTAAACAGAAACCCAAGTTCCGACCGATTCTTCTTTAGGAAGCGAGATTGTTCTAGCCCGTGGAGTAGGGGAGCCAATCAGAGAAACCACGGGTGATATGTGAAGAGGTGAAGGTGTGACTGGGTTGGGAGTCACGTGACCGGTTCAGGTACTGGAAGTAGCCGAAGGAAAACCGAGAAATGAAAAATGGTTCGTATTTGGAATTCGTGACACTAGGCCTGATTCCCAAATCCCGACTCCTGACTCCTGAGGGCCGACTCCACACTGAGTCATGCAGCTTCTTATCTTTTTCTCACCCTACCATCTCCTTGCCCATCCTCCTTGCAAGTTGCAAGTTGCAAGTGCTGTTTTTCTGCAAATTGGTCGGCCTGCTACAGAAACAAACTTGTCCTGGATACCTGTACCTTACTCCTGAGGCCTGATTCCCAACATCTACCAGTTTCACCTTATTGAATCATATCACTATCATGACCAACAACGCATGGGGGATTTTTCACAAACACCCCAATCCCCTTGCACTGTATCACAATTAAATGCTCAATCAATCAGTCATTGACTCCTGGAATGAAGGTAAGCATTAACTTGCTTGACCCATTGGTTGATATTTGAAACATGTGTTCAGTGACTGTCAAACCACCCACCCTGACAACCATGGCAAACCCTCTGCAAACATGAGATGTCCCTTTTGCTGGATGTCCTTGCTATATCACAATCTGGCTTCTGGACAGCCAGTTGACTCTGAGGATGTAGGTAAGCTTTACTGTGCTTGATATAACCAACTGATTGCGAGATCTAGGGTACATCAGAACGCACATCTTATGGTATCAGTATCCCTCTCATTGGGTAAGTAGTGGGCATTGGGGAAACCCCACACATATATTGTGCTGCCTAGGACCACTCGAATGAACAACATCTTATGGTACGTACCCTGGGCATACATTCAGTTGTCCTCCTGGTGTCATATCACAATTAATAATGTTGTTCAGACCTTCGCTTGTGCATACACGTTGGACTTGTCATTAGTTGACTCAGCACTGGTGTTTCCCTGCTGTTTCCCTTGATGAAGATACATAAAGACTGTGTCTTTGAATCTTTACTGTCACTCAAACATGCCTCCTCGTCGACAAGGGCAGAAGTCTCAAGTTACCACTGTGCCTCCTCATGCTGCTGTAACTCCTACTGCCGCTGCTCCAATTGATGCTACCCCCATTGTTACCCCCATCGCTGCCGCTATTGCACCCATTGCTGCCACTGTTGCGCCCATTGCTGCCGCTGTTGCATTGAATGCAACTATGCTTCAACACCCCCAAAGGCAATGGCAACTGCCTCTGAGGTTCCGCAATAATAGCCCAGTTCGTACTGGCACTAGTCGCACGCTAGATGACGGAGAATACATTGACATCAGCAATGTCTCCGGGGATGAAGAAGATAACTTGCCTGCACCCAGCATTAGGGCTTCTCCAGTTCCCAGCCCTCTGCAGACAGTTACAAGTACCATCTACTCCACCCAAGTCGATCCCTTGGCTACGGGTGTCTGAGGAATGCAGCCTAAAAGCACTGCTGATATCAATTACTTCTTTAGGGAAGATTCAGCTACTAAACGCAAGATTTGCCGAATTTGCAAGTGAGTTTTGCATCTGCAATTATTTTGTTCTTTCTTACAGCCTCGTCCAGGGATTTGCAGAAGGTGGACAGTTCACACCAGGTTATGTCATATAAGCACTCAACTGGCACTTCTGCCCATTGTACTCATGCTTTCTATCACCACACTGACATTTTCCTGCAAGAGGTGGAGCGCCTACGCTGGCCTATCTACGTACAGCCACTCAATGAGTGACTTGCTGAAGGGTGGACTTTGGCAGCTATCTGTGAAAGGCTCTGGGACCCTGTGTATCACATTGAGTCGCTCGGTACCATCCCTAATCAGGGACATGGCAATTTTCCGCCTGGAACCACCTTATCTCTGGATGATTATATCCCAGATTTCAGTATTGATGAGATGCACCGTCAGTTGGTGAAATTCATAGTTGCGGATGATCAGGCAAGTTGATATTTACTTTCTACGTGCCCTTGCTAATTCATTTTCTGCAGGCAATAAACATTATTGAATGTGTGGAGTTTCGACGCCTGATATGTTTTTTGTGGAAGGATTTGACCGATTCAGACATTCCCCACCACACAAAACTTCATGAGCTCATAATCGTTGTGTGGCAGGAGTATTTCCAGGTGTTGAAAGGTGATCTTGCCGTGAGTGTCTAGTTATCGAGAATCCCGCTGTGGGGAACGTCCCCACTGTAGGCCCGATTCCCGCATATTTCCCATGCCTTCCCACCATTTTCCTGCGCGTTCCGCTACCCATCCGCATCTTCCCCGACCCGTCTGCTACACGGAACCAAGCGGAACCCAGTGGAACCCAGCGGAACAATTGCGTACCACACGCATTATATTCCTTCAGCCTTTGGAACATCCTCCTACGTCCTGTCCATGTCCTTCCATCCTCGCTGGTGAGTACTAGCTACGTTCCCCATGTCGCTAACATGTTCCTATCTCATTTCCCATGTGTTATGGTACTTATACGGATCCTTCCGCTACTCGGGACCGATTCCTTATCTCACAGCCTCACCCGGTTGTAGCATATCGCATTTCAGAACCCCTTCATATATAGGTAGCAATAGATGGGATCTTTTTTTTTTACCTTCTGATAGACTTGACTCCACTTCCACTTACAGAGTACTTCCCAGTACTCCACTCACTGTTTAAAATATCTTCCCGAATCTATTCCTGATCACATTGCATCGTTCCTGCCCCCGTGAGTTCTGCTCGAAATGCCCGACATCAGATCCAATGACTTGGAGCAAGTACCAGACACAAGCCTGGTCCAACTTTGCCCAATCATCCTCCTGCAGGCTCGTAGTTTCTTTTCCCTCCATTTGTTCCCCATTAGTTCCGTTTGTTCCCCATTTGTCCTGTTTGCTCCACGTTAGTTCTGTTAGTTCCCCGTAGTTCCGCTCGTCGGGAACCCTCCGCATCTTTGTGTTCCCAGTCCTAGTAAGGACTGGAACCCTTCGGGTCGCTAGACAGAGTCTAGTCTTTGTTTCCTCGCACTTATTTGAGGACTCGCTACCCAGTAGCAATCCCCTTGGGACGAGTATAAGCCTCACACCCTTGTTAGACTTCTGATTCACACAGAGTCTATTTTCCTCACCCACACCACCATACATCTTATGTATTCTTACAGAGGGCGCAAGGAAAAATATCCTTTACATCTGACCTCTGGTCTGATCAGAAGCTCCGCCCCTTCATGGCACTCACCACTCACTGGATTGCCAAGGAAGAGCAGACATCAGTGCTTGTCTTGAAGGCAGCCTTGATTGCATTTCACCATGTTCCAGGAAGTCATAGTGGCAAATCTCTCGGTTCAGTAATACTGCATCTCCTCGATCATGCTGATGTTGCAAAGGATGTGAGTGTTCAGCTGTACCATATGATGTGCTCTGACTTTGTTTAGCCTGGACACTTCATGTTGGACAATGCAGTAAACAATCAAACATGCATGAAGGAGCTCTCAAACTTACTCAAAGAACACAAGATCGAATATAATCCAATCGAAAACAGAATCCCTTGTTTTCTGCACATGATCAACATATGTGTGAAACATATTGTTGATGACTACGCGACAGCGGATTTCTCATCCGTGGAGAAGACCTGGAATGTTTGTGGTCAAATTGTCGACAAGAATGAGTATGTTGGCACCATCACCGGTAAAGCTCTCGCATGGGCCAGACATCTTGTGTGCTCCATCCGTGCATCAAACCAACGACGTTCAAATTTTAGGGATACCATCGTGATAGGTAATGAAAATGATTGGTTCCGAGGAGACACAGGTGAGCCTATAAAGCTCCCTGAAGTCGAACTCCTGCTCAATGAGCCAACCTGCTGGGATTTGGTATATGTTATGCTCAATCGTCTACGCAATCTACGTCAGGTGAGGTCTCATCTCACTGAACATTTGTGGTGGGCTAACCATTGCCCAGGTGGTTGATATGTTTTTCAAGTCTCCCAATCAATGCTCTATATACGACAAAAAGTTGAGTACGATAGAATGGCATTTCCTACAGGACTTCGAAGTAATTCTGGAGGTCAGTATCGACATCTTCGTAACCTATGTCGCATTTAACCTTATAATTTCAGCCCCCCCCACAGAGCTCAGCAATCCATGTCGAGTGAGAGCACTCCCATGTTGGGTCGTGCGGTTCCAGCATTTGAAAGGTTACTTGAGGATTGGAAGCAGGTGGCCAATAGTGTCCTGCACTGTGCACCACTCATCAACATTGGTTTGACTTGGGTGGAGAAGTATGACGACAGGATGTCCTGCACAAATGCATATGCCGTTGCAATGTGTAAGTCCCTCGCATTTTTATAAAATTTGATGTCTTATGATCGGTTTATAGTTGTTGACCCCACATGCCGAATGTCATGGGCTATGGATCATTGGGATGATAACCAGGTAAAGTCAGCAAAGGAATTCATTCTCAAACTAGTATGTCTATCTAGCTAGCAACAGCATGCGCTTATATGTCCTGTAGATGCATGTCAAGAGAGCACAGCAGACCTCCAATATACCGGCTCCAACCCAATGACCCTCAAGACTACAATCACGCATGCTAGGCTCCCATATCTATGGACTTCGTGAGGGGGATGCACTGCTGGTTTGCGACGATATCATCCAGACAGTCAATCAGGAGTTTGGGGCTTATAGCACAGCTAATATCAGCCCCAAGGGAACAAATATACTCTCCTTCTGGCAGGTGAGAGTCGTCTCCGTCAAGTGACGTATTTTGTTGTTGACCACAAGGTTTTGACCAGATGTCTGAGGGGATGTTCCCAATGGTTTACGCCGTTGCTATGAACTACCTCCCAATCCAGGCATCTGCTGTTCCCTGTGAGCAAGTGTTCTCGTCGAGCAGTGAAACATGCACAAAGAGGTGTAACTGCATCAGCCCAATCCTCATGGAGGTGCTACAGATGGTGAAGTTCTCCTTAAAAAAGGAGCAACTTAACTTCACCAAAGGTTGGGCGGCATCACAATGGGCCATGGAAACTGTGATGGTATCTGACAATAGTTCCGACGAGCTTTTGGGACCTGTCTCAAGTGGACCTACAGATGACAGCTGTGCATATGATGCTGTCCTCAAAGCCATTGCAGAGCATGAGTGCGATGACATTGATGATGAGGTTGTCATCTATGATACCTGACATCTCCTTGATCTTTTATTTTTGTTTCTCACTTTTTGTTTACCATCACGCACCTTATGATTCTTCTTGCATTGTGTTTGGATATTGAATTTCAGTTGTTATCTGACAGTCTCCTCATCTAGGCAATCCAGATATTCTTCAGTCCACTACTGGGTAAGATCCTTGATATATGTTGAGCTCGAGGATCGCCCTTCTCCTCAGGCGAAGCTAAGTTGTTGGGGATTTTGAAGGTTCTGTTTCAGGCATCATCTCACCCGTACCAGAGAGTGCCTATTGGCACTATATCCCCATATTGGATACCCTGTGAGTGCCCCCTATGACTATTGTGAGGCTCTCGTTCATATTATGGTCTTGTCTTAGGCTCACTTTCTGACTGGCATTCACAGAGTTCCACCCCCCGATGATGTACTACACAACAATTCCACTCGTCTCTGAGAGACCTAACAACAGGTGCTGGGATGCCTCAAAATTGCACGAACTCCAGAAGAGGCTAGATTCTGGTACAATGACCGTGGAGGAAACTGATCAAGTTGCTGGTGACTTTTTGGATGGCGAGATTGTTGACTTGGCCTCGGACTGGCTGGGCAACACGGTGGGTATCCCCACACCAAGTCCAGTTGCCATGGCTCGTTTCACGCCCCACCTGTCACATTTGTGCACACACAAATTGGCATCTTTAACCGTTGTCAGGATTGTCAACCAGAAGATCGAGTTCAAAGCATCCCGTCAAATTGTCCAGGCATTGTTCTTGTCTCCCGGGGGCCATGTTCTTACTGACGTGTTGGGCGACCAAGTGAACGGTGTGGCGGTTGTGCACGAGATCTTGACTAGCCCGTTCATTGACCCTATTGACAAGCCAACTTATATCAAAGCCACTAAGTGGGTTTTAATCGAGCTCCTGTCTATCGCTCTCGCTGATCTCAACAATCTCAAGGAACGTTTCACTGGGGCAATACAACATGCATCATGGATGAACAGATCTGATAGTACTCAGCTGACCAGTGCTTGGTAAGTGACAAATTTATCGTTTTGATTGAGGCTTATTGAAATGTTGTTTCACACAGTGATGAAGTGAGATGGCAATATGTATTCAGCCCGGAGACGAAGGCGAAACAACAAGGAAGGATCTCTACTTGGTACGTCTGCTCTTGACATTGCGCTACCCCCAGCTCAAATGAAGCTTCCTCAACACCCCTTTCACCCATTTCTTCACCCGCCCTTCACCCACTGCTCCCTCGACTCCCTCGATGTTTCTTCTCACCCCCGTTTGCGATGATCTTCAGCTTCGCAAAGCCGCATTCCTTATCTCTGCTTGCTCCGCCTGGATCCTGCAAGCGTGATCCAAGCTACAGTACAACTAAATCGGGTAAGTTTTCCAAACATTGGATCAAAACATTGACTTACATCGTTTTGGGGGCCCATATCGAAGGACAATTGTCAACATTGGATACTATCATATGAGTTTAGATTCTAGCGTGTGTTGTAGACAGACATTAGCGCTGCCTAATTTGGGACCCAGGCCTTGGGCCTTGGGCCTTTGCTATTATTATCACTTAATGTATTTACTATTTATAAATCAATACAAATATATCATATATCTATTCTAATTTTAAATGTGGCTGGAGCTGGCTTGAAGACCTATGAAACAGCTCAAATGACCGGACCGAGCCATGTATTATGTAAGCTTAATTTGGTACACAGCTAGCCTAATTATAGCTCCGCTCTCGGCTAAAGCCGGCCACAAGCCAGAGCTGCAGAAACACTACGTGCGGTTAAGCGCAGCCGTTACATCTCCCCCTCCAGAGAGGACCCAGCTCTCTCTCTCTCTCTTTTCTCGTTCAACCTTCTTACATGAATTGGTTGTCCATCACTTCATCAATGGGGAAGCCGTTCTGTGAGTCGATTGGCATATCAAGTGGAGTGGTTAGGTCAGGCACTTGAGTACCAGAAGCAGCAGGGGTGGTGGCAGCGGCTCTCGAAGCGGACGCGCTAGGAGCTGTGAGTGTAGAAGTATTCGCCTTTCCAAACCCCTTTCTAAAGAGCTTGCGCTCGTTCTTCTTCTCGTAGTTCTGCATCTTCTTCCTCTGCTGCTGCCATTCGGTGATGTGCTTGTGTTGGACCACCGCAGAACTGACGGTATGCCAAAGCATCTTGTTGACCTGATCCATTCGATCGGCAGTCAGGGAAACAGTTTGTTCCTCATTGACAATGAGATCAGACATCTGAACGGCGGTCCCTTCAGACACAACCTGCCCCGTGGCCTCATCCAGATAGGAGGCCTTGGATTCTAGGCTGGGCTTGCTGTTGAACGCATCAATGAAGTGGTCGTATCCAATGGGATAGTGGGGACGTTGCACTATAGATCGGTTGCGCAGAGCGTTGCTATAGCCAATGTAGGCTCTGAGCTGCTCGCGAGACATGAAGCAGGGAGTAAAGGTAGCGTCCGGGCTGTGAATGATGAAGTCCCAGCCGTGGGCCTTGAAATACATGAGGGCGACGTTCTTGTCTAGAGGCATGCCAATTGAATAGAGTGATATGGGTGACTGGGGTGTGGGTGATGCAGATCTTGAGGAGAAAGTAGAACCGGGCGACGACTTTATAGTCATTGTTTCTCTGAGCGTGACACACCCAATAAACAATTGGTGGTCATCGCAAGGAGACATTCTTAGCCCATCTGTCAAGTTGCCAATGTCAGATATACCCAGCAAATCAAGGTACTCAGCTAGTGCGTCGAGATGCGACACTTGTTCAAATGGCAACCAGGTAATGTCACCAGCGCGCCACTGTATTTGGAAGGTGGTGTTCTCCCCAGCACCCGAATGAGATAATATCTTATCTACAGCCCATTCGGGTTCTTGTTCTTCGCCAAAGTCGAGGACTTGGGCATCTGCTTGACCTGGGAACAGGCGGTCGTCATTTGGCACATGTATCCGAAGCAACAAAGAGTGAATGACCGGGTGTATTCCTCGTTGCCGCAGACAGCTAGGTAAGTCCATTTTGAAGGATTTATTGCCGTAATCGTGGGTCAACTTGTAGAGTCTGATATATTTCGGGATAAACTTACACGCAAGTCCCTTGGGTAAGGACATGTTCTTTGTTGACATGTACACCAGGTCTCCTTCCTTAAACGGAGCTAACTGACGCCTTCTATTAGCATTACAAGTTTGCTTGACTTGTGCCTCCAGCATGGAGTCATGCACTGTGATTAGTGTTTGCTTCATCTTCTGGGCGTATACCCTCACACTTGGATACTCATCTTTGGTGGGGTTATTCCAGACCATCGCACGAGGCGTTCGACCCATGTTAGCTTCAAACAGTGAGATCAAGGTCGACTCAGAGCTGGCAAGGTTGATCACAAATTCTATAGCTGGGAGCCTGGAAACCCAATTGGTTCGTCGGGGCGATATGCAGGCACGCAGCATCTGCGTGACCATCTGATTTGCTCATTCTGTGGCCCCATCCAATTCCGGGTGGTAGGCGCTGGACATCTGCTGGTTCACCCCTAGCAGGCTATTAAGGTTAGTCCAGAATGCGCTTGTAAATAGCACATCTTGATCGCTAATTATTGATCTAGGCAATCCATGGTGTTTGTATACCTCTGTGAAGACTAGCTCCGCGACTTCGCAAGCCTTGTAATTGACTTGGCTCGGCACCAAATGGACCATTGAAGTAAGTCGGTCTATTATCACGGTGATAGCATCATATTCACCATTTCTGTCCCTAGATAGTGGTGAAGGCCCGATAAAGTCTATTCCAATGGACTCCCAAGGTCTCGAAGGTACTTCCAATGGATTTAGCAGCCCATATGGCTTCTGATTTGACGGCTTGCTTCGTTTACAGGTTACACACAAGGCACAAAATGTTTTAACGTCGTGTGCTATGCTCTTCCACCATATGTGGTCCTGTAGGTACGTAAGCGTCTTTGCAGCCCCTAAGTGGGCTAACAATGAATGCGCTTGGGAGATGATTATCTCTCTAATTGCTCGGGCATTTAGTTTTACGTCTGGCACACACAGTAGTGTCTTGTCTTGCAGGCGCAGATGGATCAGACCATTCGTGACCTCAAAGTTTCTATACTCATGTGGTGAGTCCAATATGAGCTTGAAGAACGGATCCTTGTCATACTGATTCTTGATTCAGATTATTAGTTCATCCTCATCCGGGTATACTGCCGGGAATGGAACTCGTGGTGGTTCCTCCTCAAGTTCATTGCTTGTGGGGTGATTTGCAGGTGCTTTCCCTGCTTCCTCCCCCTCCTTTTGTCCCTTGGGGCCTCAAAGGACAAAATGACCAGCCATCTGCTTGGCAAATTCTGCAGCCGTCTCAGGCCGCCCAGTCTCAGCAGCTGCCACCATTTGCCTGCCTCGTGAAGCAGGCTTAGGCGTAGGAGGTGAGCCAAGTGCTTGGGGAGCCAAAGGTGTGTCAAATAACTCTGTCTCAGTGGACAAACCGATTGATGGTGTTGTTGTTGGCTCTGACAAACTGGTTGATGGTGTTGTCATTGCCTCCATGGTCGACAAACCGATTGATGGTGTGGTCATTGGATCCGACAAACCGATTGATGGTGTTGTTGTTGATTCCAATGAACCACCATCCTGAGGAACTCAAGTTGTCCGTTTATGACCATAGGTGCGTCGTTCCTTAGCTGTGAGCCGCGTACTTCGACGCTCAGCCAATCCTGGGGATAATGCTAGTGCCTCAGTACCAACCAACACAGGCATCGAGATGACTACTGCCAGTGTCCCCATGGGTGTACCTGCGACATCGTCATATTCAGTAAATTCACTAGGGGAACGTACCGTTCCCAGAGGATCAAATGAATACATCTGGGACAGGGCGTCAGGTAGGACATTTTCAATCCCAGGCACATAACGGATCTCAAAGTTGAAATCCCCCAGTTTTTCCAACCAGCGAGCTTGCCTGCCAGAGAGGTCGCGCTGGGCCAACAGATGGACCAGCCCCTTGTGGTCCGTCAGCCAAATGAATCGTGCACCCTGTAAGATATCATGATGATGCAACATGCCTTCCATCCCTGCTAACATCTCCTGTTCGTGAACAGGATAGTTCTGCTGTGCAGGACTCAATTTGGCGCTATAGAACACCACTACCTTAGCGGTTTTCCAGTCGGGGCCTTGGGCGATCACACAGGCGACGCCTTTGCCGCTGGCGTCAGACATCAACCAGATAGGGTCTGCGTGCGGCCCATATTGCAGGGGAACGCGCGAATGTTCTGCGCAATTCGCAACATATCATTTGACTTCGTCGAATGCGTGTTGCTGAGTGTATTCCCACCTAAAAGGTACCGTATCCCCTGTAATCTCCGACAAAGTGCCCATCGGGACTCTAACATTGTAAATGTCATCCGCTAGGAAGCCCACAGCGTCCAGAAAGCTTCACAAGGCGTCCCGGTTAACTGGCGTCTTCCAGGCCAGGATTTTATCGACCTTTGCAGGATCCATGCGGATCCCATCATTGTCTACGACCCGTCCTAGGATCTTAAGGTTCTTGCATAGGAACTGCAGCTTTCCTTCACTTAGGTAAAGCTTCTTGCGCTCAAGAATGCATAGCACGGTCCTGACATGTTGCATGTGCTCTTCCAGGGTATCTGAGTAGATAATGATGTCATCTAGGTATATGTCCATCCAACGGCCTATAAACTCACCAAATAGATGATTCATTAGTGCTTGATAGGTTGCCAGGGCATTACAATCCCCTTGTTGTAGGACAGTACTGACAAGGTTCCCGTCTGGGGTGGTTACCGCGGATCATTCAACATGCTCTGGTATAATTCAGATCTGTTCATAAGCATCCTGGCCGTCGATGATTGATCAGTAACACTTGTGGGCGACGCAGCATAGGATTCCATTGATATCAGGTAAGGGGGAGGACAGTTTCTTTGTATTCTTGTTGCGCTCATGCAAATCTACTACAGTTCGTAGTTTATCCGTTCTGGGTTTTCGGATAAACAGCATAGGTACTGTATTCCCGGCGCTGGTCATTCGCCAGCGCCCTGTGGCCAAGTACGCCTTCTGCTTCTCTCCCCACTGAGGTTGCAGCGGTTCAGGACAGCGCGATGGTCTCCACTTGTAGATCTGCTCTGGGTTGATGAGCAGAATGGTGTGATTGATGGCCCTGAGAGGTGGTAAGCCTGTTTCGCTTGCTTTAGTGCATAATGGCTTAGCCCATTGGTATAATTGCTGACGCACCTGCTCCAGGTTCTCCTTGTAGGCCTCTGCAGCCCGTGATTCTAATACAGAAACCTGCTCACCTTTGATTGGTAAGGCTTGAGCATTTCCAACGACAACCCAGGAAGGGTTGAATCTGACCATCACCTGGTGCTGGAACAGGAATGGTGTCCCGAGGATGAGATCGTAGTTTTGTAAGTTAATTATATCAAAGAAGCGATCTTCACTAATCTTCTGATATTCCAGTTGCACCTTTGCACCAAAGTTTACTTTGGAACACAACCCCTGCACCGCCAACTGAATGGTAAGGGGTTTCTCTAGTGCGATTTTCTTGACGCGCAACTGTTCCTCCAGGGTCGAGGACATGAAGTC